AAAATTATGTCCATTATCGGTCTACCTTTGTTAACGGGTATAATTTTTATCCTCATCCCCGTCTATGGATAAATTTTTAATCCCCGATTTTCCCGTACCCGCACAATCTCAAGCTCAAGTCTAAGCTCAAGCCAACATAATCTAAAATTCTAAATAAATTCAATAATTTAAATAATCCAACAATATTCTAAATAATCTAACATAACATAATGTAGCATAACATATTCGAACATAACACAAACAACAAATGTTCAAAATACAACGTGCTATTCTCCAGTTCTAGAGGGGTTCTTCCGGGCAGAATTAACAATCTTCTAAGCTCCTGGGATTAGTTATTGCATTAACAACTTAATGCGTACGGCCTATGGACCAGGCTAAGCTTCAGGTAAATTATTTAAAGTGGGAGCGATACCAATCCAAACAACAACTCAAAAGGAGAAAGAACACAAACATATGTATAAGAACAACAAGAAACATGATAGATATCGTTCAAAAAGAAATGGAAAAGATAGAAAGTATAAATTGTTTCTCATTCTTTTCTTGGCAGTAGATAATAAAGCAAGGAAAATCTCAAGTTTACGAAAACCAATCCAGCAAAAGGTAAGAGAAAATAACTAAATATATCATCCAACGGATCAGGGCTTGTGTTGCTTCCTAGCATGAGAGGAACTATTGCAGATGGTCTGCTGAAGTAACTTTAAGAGGTCTAATAACTCTTGAGCATATCAGACAACAATATTTAATGAGATGTGTCATAACAGTGGTCATAATCATCCATCATGGTCATGAAGTAATTGAATAACTAAGATATAAATGCATAAATCAAGTCGTTATAAACCATTATGTAGTCAAAGCAAAATCAGGGCACAAAACTCATTTACTGAGGCAAGAACTTTAGTATAATCAAGTAAATTACAGCCGCATTCACCACTCAACAGCAATCAATCCTACGTAAAGAAGTCAAACCAACAGGCATCAAGTGAACTTCCTTGCTTTAGATTATCTAAAAAGCTATTGGCCCCTTCTAGTGAGTCATTGGATGCTAGTATGGATATGACTTGTGAGGTGCGATTGGTTGTGACTTGTGAGGAGCTGCTGCTGAGTGCAGCGATCAGCTATGCCGATGGGTGTGGGTGTCTGTTTCACTGAAAGAGAGAGAGAGAGAGAGAGATGGACGCGGCAGCTGAAGGCGGTTAGACGAAGATATGAGTTAATTAGGGCTTTAACTGGGGCTGAGAGTATATATATATATATATATTTTAACGGGTAAAACGGGAACGGGGATAGGACAGGAATAAGGGTAAGTTCATCCCCGTCTTCATCTTCGTACGGATTTATACAGGTATATCCGTATATATCCACCGTCAAATACGTATAATTCATCTCTGGTCCAAACGGCACGTGTTTGAACGAATTCCCGTTTTTTCCTGGTCTACTGCCATTCCTAAATGGGATAGGTTTACAAATATTTGTATTTAATTTCGGTTGTAGTTTTCTGGTTATTGAATGACCAAAAAAAAATTGTCAAAATGGAGAAAATATAACACTATCATATCACCTTTGCATATCGATAATATCATGCATCAGAGTTGTACCATTATGTCTTTATTTTATTATTAGGGATAATCCGTGTCTGAAAGTACGGTATAATGTGAATAATTTTTAAATAAATATTTATAACTATTAGATAAATTTATTTAAGACCGTTGGATAAATTTATTAAAATCTATTCTATTTTATATTATAAATTTTATTACTTTTTTAAACTCCGCGTGATGGAGAATTGGTACCTGACTATAACATGAAGATTAGAATACATTTCTAAAGAAATGAATAATTAAATAACCAAAAACCTAAACTTAATTAAATAACCAAATAAAAGAATATAGTATCAACAAACTTCTAGAAAAGGCATATTGCCTTTGGGAGGGTAAAGAATTTGGCTGCTTGTGGCTTTACATATAATTGTCAATGTTACATATAATTGTTAATGCTGGACTGGTAAAAATTGGGTAGTTTAGTAGTTGAGTTTAATAATTTAGACATTTTAGGTTCAATTTTTTCTTATACCCCCTAAAAACTAGCTTACCTTTGTCACTTTTGGGGACATACTTTAAATCCGCTCAAGTTACAAAGTTCAACCTTACGTTTAAGGACCCAAATTTCCGCTGCACAAAAACACCAATTTGGGTATAAATTTTTATGTTGATACAATTAAAAATCCTGTAGTGTAACTTTTTTTTTCTTTTGTGGAAGGATACGGTGGTGGGTGGTACTGACACGACCTCCAGCACAATTGAGTTCGCCATGGCTGAGATGATGAACAAGCCAGAAGTGATGAGAAAAGTGCAAAAAGAATTGGAGACTGTAGTTGGCAAAGATAACATAGTGGAAGAATCTCATACTTCTAAATTACCTTACTTACATGTTGTGATGAAAGAGGTTTTGCGTCTACATCCAGCCCTCTCACTCCTGGTGCCACACTGCCCCAGTGAGACATGCATTGTTGGAGGCTATACAATTCCAGAAAGCGTTCGGGTTTTTGTCAATGTCTGGACAGTACATAGGGATCCTGCGATATGGCAAAACCCATTGGAGTTTCGTCCCGGTAGGTTTTTGGATGGTTAATGGGATTTCAATAGAAATGACTTCAATTATTTCCCATTTGGGTATGGGAGAAGGATTTGTGCAGGGACTGCAATGGTTGAGAGGATGTTCTTGCTTTCGCTTGCTTCACTTGTTCATTCTTTTGATTGGAAACTGCCTGAAGGTGATAAATTAGACTGATCGGAGAAATTTGGGATAGTGTTGAAGAAAAGAGTACCTCTCGTTGCGATTCTAATACCACGGTTTTCTAATCCAGAACTTTATGACTAAGCTCAAACATCTACCGAAATGTCATTGACTCTTTGTATTACTTGAACTGGTAAGCAAAAAAAAAAAAAATGATCTGTCTCAAGAAAAGGTTCCTAGAAAATACATGTTTGTCACCATTTGAAATTAATCATATATGGGATTTGTTTTCCCTGCTTCAGTGCAAAATCTGCATCATTTTGCATACTCAAAAACTCAAGTTTGAGTGATTGGGACTCTATGTGAGAGAAAATATATAAAATGTGTTATCTTTTTGGCATTTGGTCTAGTGAAGTAGATTTTTGAAACTCATAATTGAAAAGCTATCCAATGAAACAATGGCCCTGTTCCTGAAAAAAAACCCCTTTTCAATGGGTATATATTTACCATCTATTAAACATTCCTTTTTATTTTGTTCAACGGTCAGAAGTTTACACACACCTCACCTAATTCTTTTCCGATTCGATCAAATGTAAGTCATATACGTCGAGACTAAAATATTTATGAGAAATAAATCATTCATAGTCTCTCATGGAGTTGCCACAAAATCCAGAAAATAAATAAAAGAATTTGTCTTTGGTTAAGGGGTTTGACTTTCTGAATGAGGTTTTACCTGTTTTGAATTTGGGCAATATTATGGTTGAATTTCGACATGAATTTTAGATCGATATGTACAACTCAAAAATCAAAATGAAATAGAATCAAATGTCAACATGATTTCAACCCCAAATTCAATCTGAAAATTGAATCCAAATTTCAATCTGTTTAAATTGAACACACATCCCTCAGGAAAAGGAATTGGAACCCTATGGTCTTCTTCTCCTCAAACAATATACAACAAAAAATAGAAAGAGTCTCCGTTACAATGGATTAGTCAAGTTCTTTAACCGGTGAATCAGTCTTGTTTTCCATCCTTTACCGAATTGTCCTAACACACACACACATCATACACTGAGCACTCATATACCAGTGTATATGGGTCTCTGTTCCTTTCCACTTGCGAATTACTCATGAGTTTCCCATATGGCTCACCACCAGTTTTCATACTTTTTAGTTACTGACACCATATCATATGAGTAATGGTACATAATTCAAATAAAATTCAAAAAATTATAATTCAAATATATATAATCATTTGGATGAGTGGATTCCATCAATTTTTTTAGTGACACACATTCATCCAAAAAAAAATATGCGTTTGAATTGCAATTTTGGATTCCATTTACATTGTGTAGCATTTTTCAAATCAGATATAGTACCAACAATTAAACTTTCAATAGGATAGGATTATCCTAAGAAGGTTGTTGGAGACTACGTGACAAGCACAGTACCCACGTATAATAGAGTCCAACTTTGAAGGATTCCTTTGCTTTCCCGAAAGGATTCCTGAAATTTGAATGAATATTCCTTTCACTTGTGTGTAGACCAATCTCTTCTCATGAAATCATCTTGGCTTTCACCATTTCAGGCCAATAATACCCACTGTTATTGTCTTCTGTCTTCAAAATTGGCATTATTGAATATGCAGGCCTGTCGACAAGGTGTGTAAGTTTTAAATGAGAAAAAATAAGACAAAAAATATCAATATATCACTGTCATATCTTTTGATTCTTATTTTTGTTTTTTTTTAAGTCAATTTAACATTATTCTTTAAGAATTGATCAATAAGAGCGTGTAACGTTTGTTCTCATTTTGTTCCCATTTTAAGTCAATCTCATTGTGATCATATATTAGTAGCGCACTTTATTCAATATTAGAATTTAATATCAATTTAATGATTCGTTTTCTGGATCTCAATATCATTGCTCTTAAAAAATTTAGGTGAAAAAGTTCAAAAAGAAATTACTAGGAATATCGATCTTCCTCGAAGTTTAGCAGCCAGGAAGATCCATTCCAACATTCTGCCCGAACAGATGAGCAATAAGTCCAAGTCTAAACCCATAGTTGGATGTCAAGTGTGTAAAATCTGATTCAGAAGATCCGCTTGCCATATTCTCCCAACAACTAAAACATCAAATCTTGTCTTGACCCTAAAATTCTCAGCTATAAATACCCATCCCCGTTGTATACCAATTCATCCCCACCCTCTCTCTCTCTGTCTCACACACACACACACACACATATCCCAGATCGACTAGCCCACAACCATGCTTGGAAAACTCGTCACCCTGTTATCTAATGCTTGGTCATGGTGGTGGCAAACCAGCAATGCCAAAGACGAGCATGCCCTTGTGCTTCTCACTGCCACTATCGTTGTTCTCACCCTATCCTGGTTGGCATTGATGTACTTCATCAACAAATCAAGAAATGGACGCTCAACACCGCCATTGCCACCAGGTCCAAGAGGTTTGCCTCTTGTAGGAAACCTTCTCTCCCTTGACCCCGAGCTTCACACTTACTTTGCAACCCTGGCCCAAACCTACGGTCCTATCCTAACCCTGCGGCTGGGTAAAAAGGTTGGTATTGTGGTCAGCTCGCCCGGGGTGGCGCGTGAGGTGCTAAAAGACCAAGACACCACCTTTGCCAACCGAGACGTCCCTGCAGCAGCCAAGGAGGGTACATACGGTGGCTCAGATATAGTGTGGACACCGTATGGCCCCGAATGGCGCATGCTGAGGAAGGTCTGTGTACGTGAAATGCTTGGCAACTCCACCATGGACTCCGTTTATAGCCTTCGACGCCGGGAACTCCGGCAGACTATCAAGTACTTCTATAGCCTGGCAGGGTCACCGGTGAATGTCGGTGAACAGATGTTCCTGACTGTTTGTAATGTTATTACAAACATGTTGTGGGGTGGAACGGTCAAGGTGGAAGAGAGGGCTACCCTTGGGGCGGAGTTCCGACAAGTGGTAACAGAGTTTACAGAACTTTTGGGGATGCCAAACGTATCGGATTTTTATCCGGGTTTGGCCCGGTTTGACTTGCAAGGAATAGAGAAAAAGATGAAGGGTTTGGCACAGAGGTTTGATAGGATCTTCGAGATGATGATTGCTCAACGGGTGAAAATGGCTAGTGCCAGAGAAAGTAAAGATTTTTTGCAGGTTTTGTTGCAGCTCAAAGACGAAGGAGACGACAAAATGCCTCTCACAACGAACCATCTCAAAGCCATACTCATGGTATGTGCACTTGAACCATAATTCGGATTTGATTGTGATTCAATGCCAACTATATATCAAGGTTTGAGATGACTTATTTACGACTAGGACCGATAATTGAGTCGGATTGTTCGATTTTATCTCGAACTCAGTTCGGATAGAATTCAATTCGATGTGAGTCGAGTTTGAACAATTATTTAGGTTTACAAAATTCAACTTGCTTATATATAAAATAGTCGAACTCGACTCGGCTCATTTTCTAAATAAGCTGAGTTTGAATAATATTTAAAACTCATGTAAAAAAAAATAACTCAACATGTTTAACTCGAGCTCATAAAACTCGGCTCGAAAAATTGTTCTATTTTAACACATTTATTATAACTGTTTTATTAAAAAAAAAAACATTAACTAAGCAAGCTGTTTTTTTTTGGAACAATAACTAAGCAAGTTGTTCACGTTAGGAAATACTTGCATAAAAAGCACTTCATAAGAGAGTGAATTTGGACGATCAACAAAAAAAAAAATATTCATTTGCGTTACAAAGACTAATATCTCTCCAGGTGCTCACTCAACAGTCAACAACCACACACGTATGTGTGGCAGGCAATGGTAGTGACGCCAGCGGGTGTTGCCGGTGGCAGGTAGGGTGGTGGTAAGTAGTGGTGGAGGCAATGACAGTAATGGTGGTGGGTGGGGTGGTAACAAGTGGTAAGAGATAGTGGTGGATGAGGTGGTGACAAGTGGTAAGGGATGGTGGTGGTGGTGAAGAGTAGTAGTGGTGTGGCGACAGTGATGCATACTAGTGGTGGTGGTAGTGGTAGTGGTGCTGGTGAGATGTCAATGGTTCTAGTGATAAATACGGAAATGAGAAGTGATTTGAATATAGATGTGTCCATGGTTAGGCTCGGGAAATTTTTTTTGGGTCGGGCTTGGTTAGTGTAAGCCCGAACCTTTACCCAAATGAATTATTAAGTGGATCAGGCCGGGCTTCGGATAAGAGTAGACTACCGACAGCCGAACCCACGAGCCTATTGGGTAGGCTTGCTAGGCGGCGGGCCTACTCACGGGCTTTTTTATATGCAACTTCATTTAAAAATAATGAATATTTTTGTAACTTAACATTTGTATAAATTATATTTTTGAATCAAAAATAGATAAAAATAAAATAATGATTAATTTTAATTTTAATTAGGGGATGAACTACATCCAATAGAATGAATATATCTCAATTAAGTTGACACATACTCACTTATCTATCATATATAAATTTTTAAAATTTCAAATTCCGACATTAGGAGACTTATTTCAAAGTTTCAAATTTAATGGTCTATATAACTTTTTTTCAAATGAAGGGTGGGCGGTTGGTTTTAACGGGCAGGCTCTTAGGCCGTGTAATAGGTTAGGAGGCAAATTCAAACCCTCTTTTTAAGGATATTGAGTTCGATTTCGAGCAGGCCAACTATCAGACTTATCGAATTTCTGACATATTTTTTTGGGTCAAATAACAAGACTCGTGAATAACCTGACCCATGGACACCCCTATTTGAATATAAGTCCTTTGAAGGAAGTTCAAGACTTTTTGTTTGTTTTTTTTTAATGCACTTATTTAAGTTTTAAAACTAACCTTAACTTATTTGGAAGTAATTTAAATAAATTGTTTGAAATACCATTTTTTTTTCAAAGTACTTATAAAATATCATAAGTCCCAAAATTATTTTTTTATGTAATTTCAAATGTCACCTAATATGATGAAATTGAGTTAAAATTCTTATATAATTTGTTAAAATTCAACTTCAATCAAGTTGTTTTGATTGGATTATAAATTATATCAAATTTTTAATTTTTCAACACATTCTAATGCGAATTATGAAAAGAAAATATATTAGGTAGATAAATGAGATTTAAAACTAAATTTTCAAATTAGTTTTAGATTCTAATCTATCAAAATTTATATAATAAAGTAATTTACAATTCAAATTTCAAAAGATAAATAAAATGACTTTTGTTTTTTGTTGTTCAGATTGCTTTAAATTTTACTTTAAAATTAACCTATTGGCTAATATTAATACCTTAAATTTAATAGAAAAAATAGGTCATTAAAGGTGTGTTTAGAGTGACATTTTAAAAGTACTTTTAAAATTATTTTTCAAAAATACTTTTAAAAAAATAGTGTTTAAAACCACTCTACCACTACCTCTACCACCACCACCCCCACCACCACTACCTCCACCACCACCACCACTGTCGCTGCCGCCACCATCGACATCACCACCATCTCCGCCACTACAACTACTGTCATCGTCGCCGCCGTCGTCACAGTCATTGTCACCCACCACAATTATCAATATCTCCTATCACCACCATTGTCACCCACTACCTTTCACCCTCGTTACAACTAATGCTTAAATTTCATTTCTCCTCTATATTTGTTATTTGATTTTGGATATGAATACAAATATGTTTATTGTTTACCATTTTTTATTACTTTGTGCTTTTAGGAACAGATAATAACTAGTTATATTATATCGAAACCCAATTCAAATCACATCCATTAACTGATCTATGATCACATAACGTAAGCGTAGTCGTGTAGGTATTATTTAATTAAGAGCAATGTTATTGATATCTAATTTATTGATCTGACTCAATTCCCCATAGTCATTGGATTGATTATAAATCTCATTAATCATTAAAATTTAATGTTAATCGAATAGTTATAATGAAATCACGTCATTAATGTTATGTATATTGGCATGCCTTATTTAAAGCTCATATTATGTCGGCAAGCATAGACTACGATGCTATAGAGACAAAACTTTGATCACTAAATTCATTATCATTATCATTATTGGATTAACAACCAATCTTATCTAATAATCAAACTCACTATGAATTAAATGTTAATAATAAATTGGGTTAGGAAATTTAGCCCAATTGCCATTTTTTTTATTAAGGCAAAATGGGTGAAGGTAAAAAAGAGCACCCAGAGACCACCCTGATAAGTTTTTACTAGTGGGATCATCAGACCCTTGATCGTGTTCATTACTCTTATTTCAAACGAATCTAGTTAGTCTAACATAACGATCAACTGGCGAGCTCAATTGTCATGGTGGTAGATTGTCTCTGGTCAATGGTGTCCTTGTATTTAATGAATTATTATTAACAAAAGGAATTATTAGTACACTGGGATGCTTTAATAATTTATATTTAAAAACAAGTAGTCTCTTATGGTTGGTCATTTATTCTGAAGAAACGTATGAATTGCAGAAGGATTGATTTCTAATGGTTTAAAAACCCAGATTTCTTCTGCATAAAAGCATCAATTTTTGGTATTATATTTTGGGTAATAAACTAACATAATTTAATAACGGAAACAATCTCTTCTCTTGCTCTAAACTTTCTCATATTCCGGAATAATAAAAATCTCGTGCACGAGGCTACTTTTTGTTTTTTTTTTTTTCTTTTCAAATTATGTCATGTTGTGTAACTTGTGTGCGGACAGGATATGGTGGTGGGTGGGACTGACACGACTTCGAACACGATTGAGTTCGCCATGGCTGAGATGATGAATAACCCTGAAGTGATGAGAAAAGTCCAGCAAGAATTGGAGACAGTTGTGGGCAAAGATAACACAGTGGAAGAGTCTCACATTCACAAGCTACCATACTTGCATGCTATGATGAAAGAGGTTCTGCGCTTGCACCCAGTCGCCCCACTCTTGGTGCCTCATTGCCCCAGCGAGACATGCACTGTTGCAGGTTACACGATTCCAAAAGGCGCTCGTGTTTTCGTCAATGTCTGGGCTATACACAGGGACCCGACAATATGGCAAAACCCATCGGAGTTTCGTCCAGAGAGGTTTTTGGATGGTAAATTGGATTATAGTGGAAATGACTTGAATTATTTTCCGTTTGGGTCTGGTCGAAGAATTTGTGCAGGGAGTGCAATGGCAGAGAGGATGTTCTTGTTTTCAATTGCTTCACTTGCTCATTCTTTTGATTGGAAACTAATTGAAGGAGAGAAATTAGACCTCTCGGCGAAATTTGGAATAACGTTGAAGAAAAAGATACCTCTTGTTGCAATCCCAATGCCAAGGTTATCTAATCCAGCACTCTATCACTAAGCTCAAACATGTCTGTATGTGGCTTTGGTGTTATGTAAGGGCCTATGGTTAAAAAAACTGTTGTTGGTTCTTTCGTTTCCTCTTATTAAAGGGACTTGCTTTTATTTTCGTGTTCTATTATTGAGGTGAAATTTGGGATTTTTAGAATTGACATATCAATAAAATTGTAATGTTATGTTGATCTAATCTTACTTGTTTTTAATATCAATGGCACGTAACCGCCAGTAAATCCCAATGCCTTGCGGAAAAAAATCTACAAATAATAGTGAACACACGGAATTATCTAATTTACAATGAGTAATGCTACAATGATCAAATTTTGGGATCAAATTTAGAGTTCAAATGACATGACAATTGATTATTTAAAGCTTTTATTGAGGCCCTAATGACATAACACCAATCAAAGAAGTCCAAATCAACTGTTATGTTATTTGAACTATAAATTTAGTCCCAAAATTTAGTCATTCTAGTATTACTGATTTACAATTATTAGGCCCACTTCAGCAAACTCAATGCTCTAATAGACCCTCATTACTATTAATATTCTAATTATAGTGTAGTGTTGTATTTAGTTATACCTTTATCTATAAGAATTGTAATTTTTAATTTTTATGATTGATCGAATCTTACTTTTATAGTTATGAATTTTATTTCAAAAATTATAATGTAACTTTAGAAAATTATAAATTTCTAGATAATATAAATTTCGGCGATAGTTTTTAGGGGTATAACTTGGGCGGATCAACCCGAATTCAATCCGAGTCCAACTCAAAAAAAGGGGATGAGGGTTTGAATTTTTAATAATTGAGTTGGACCTGAGTAAAAAAATCTCAACCCGCACTCCCCTTAGAGTAGCTCTAAAGTGGTTTAATCTTTAAAGGAATGGATGAGAGTTAATCAATTAAGCTAAAACTCTTGTCAGAATTGAAATGAAATTTCAATTCTTTCTTTTTATGAACACAAAATAAATTACATATAATTTTTAAATATATTTCACCCAACAACATTTTACGTCACTTATTACTTTTACTTCGGACACAAAGGTCCACTATGAAGAATGGGTTGCTTATTAGAACCGTTCGACCCATTAGGCTATATTCCTTATATTGTCTTTTTCCCTCGGTGAAGAGCTAAAACCAACATAAGAAGAAAAAAAACTTTGAATTAGACTTGAATTTGTTTCTTATTTTTTATTTTTCCTTCGATAAAGACGAATAAAAGATATTCAATGTAACAGTAATACCACGTCATTATTGACGTGTGATATCATCAATCAAAAATAAAATATCATGTGTACTGAGTGAATCTCACTATTTCAACAACTACCCATAACCACAGCATCAAATAACTTTTATGTAAAAATAATGGGGTTCATTTATCTTCCAACGTATTTTATAATTGGGTAGTGATACAATGTATCAATGATTAGGAGGGTAATTCGAGCGGGTTGAGGGGTTAATTTTAACTCAAGTCCAATCCGACATCAACCTAAGTTATTCAACTCAAGTATTGCCCAAGTTTAATTTGAATGGGTTCAGGTTACGTCATTCAGACAAATTTTATGTTATAATTTGAATTGGGTTCAAGTTATGTGATTCGGACTGATTTCAGGTTAGCATTCGAGTTAGGTTTATTTAAGCACTTCGAAATTAACTTGTTGTTTTAAACATGGTACATATTATATAATATTCACCTAAAGTAACAACCAACAACTTCAATCAAATATTTAACATGCAGAGCATAATAGCCAAATATTTAACATAACACGAAACTAGAAGACTAATCCTTAGTATTTTAACTTGTAAGTTATATTGCTATATTAATTTATATATTTATTTTTAAATATGTTCGTATTGCGCCTGATTTATATATTCGGGTTGAATCCGATAACTCGAGGCCTCAACCTGAGTACTGTCTGAATTCAATTTGAGTTAGTTTTTTTTTTTTTGTCGAAGTCCAACCGAAATATTAAAAATCTTAATCTAAGCCCTATTTATCTCGGATTGACCCACCTAAGTTGCATCCTCATTAATGATGACATAATATCACTGTTACACTTCATGACGTGAATAACTGAGAGGTACGAGCAGCGGCTCTATTCCAGCGAACTATCACTTACATATGAGGCGTTGGTGGATAAGGAGCGGAGACAGAAATAGAGTAAGTTCGAAAGTCATTGAAATAGATAAAGGGAGTTGAGTGTGCTCCGTGCTCTATTTATAAGTATATGTGGATGTTCATTGTAATAGCTTAGTAAAGTGCAAATAGACAAAGGGACAAATGATTCACATAGAGGTTCTAGTTCATTTTCTCTGTATATTGCTTAAAGAAGAAGCTAGTTGATTATAAAATAATATATCTCTTTTCAGTATGACATCTCTTTTTATTTATACAAGAGTACGTTTTTGTATTCTTCCATGGATTATGTGGTCCCTTTGATCCATTAGAATTGTTGAGAAATATTTAGTCCAAAGAGGCAATCATATTTGTAGGACACGTGGGCTGTTTCTTGGTTGTAGCCGAACTGTTTGGATATCACTTGGTGATCTAAGAGCTGAGATGCTTGCGCTGGATGGTTTGGGACAAGTGATGACGAAGATGACGGAACTTTTGGGGATGCCCAATGTGTCGGATTTTTATTCGGATTTGGCCAGGTTTGACTTGCAAGGAATCAGGAAGAAGATGAAGGATTTAGTAGAGAGGTTTGATAGGATCTTCGAGACGATGATTGATCAACGGGTAAAAATGGATAGTGCCACTGACAAAGAAAGTAAAGTTTTTTTACAGGTTTTGTTGCAGCTGAAAGATGAAGGAGATGCCAAAATGCCTCTCACAATGACTCATCTCAAAGCCTTACTCATGGTACGTGTTCTTGAACATGGTGTGCTTGCTTTTAGGTATCAATCAACCTCAACGAGGATCTGATTCATCAGATTGATCGTGGGACTCAACATATTTTAGGATCAACTGTTAATTTAATTATTATGAATAACAAAATAAATAAATTATATTCAAATAACATTATTTTTTAGATATATAGTATTCAATCAATTTTTAATTAAATCCAAATTATATATACACATAATATTAACTTGAATTTGAGATGAAATATGATGGTAAATACAAGTTAATATTTAGGTGTATATGAGCTCAAAGGATCATATCCGAGCTATATACACTCATAGGATGAATTTGAGTTAGAAATCCATTCTTGTGGTATGTGTTCGGACATGCCTTTATCATTACTTATTTAAGTTCATATTGGGGAGAATTATATTTAGACTTTTTTAGGGTTGTTAGTTAATCATTCAAGTTCTCTGACATTTAAAATATTATACACAGATCTCTTAAAATTTGTACACACATAACATTTAAATCTCTGTCGTCAATATATGTTAATAAATTATATTCAGATCTCCTGAAGTTTGTAGACGTGTAATACTTAGACCTCTTAAATTTAAAATATTATACTTAATATCAAATATTTTAAATTTTACAATTAAAATTCATGTTCTATTGTATTATTATTGAAACAAAATCAAAAATAAAAAGTCAATTTTTTCTCAAAAAATCGTAATTAATATACAATTATCTTATCTATTGAAATAAAATTAAAAAAATCAAATAAGAAGTCTAAGTAATTCATAATAAAATATGAATTTTACAATCAAAATTCATGTTCTATTTTGTCATTTATTGAAATAAAATTAAAATTAAAATTTTATTTTTATCTTAAAAAATAATAATTAGTATACAATTATACTATATATTGGAATAAAACTAAAAAATCAAATAAGAGGTCAAACTGTAATGGATACAATATATTTTAATTTTAACTAGGATAATTTGGTAGTTTAATTTGGTCGTTTAGACCACCAAATTAAATTTCAATAAATAATATAAATGTATATTGTGATTTTTTTAAGAAAAATTTAGATTTTTATTTTTAATTTTATTTCAATAAATGTCATAATAGAACATGAATTTAGGTTGTAAAATTTAAAATATTTGATATTTTATCTTTGATTGGAGAATTTTTTATCTAAATATAATATTTTAAATTTGAGGGGTTTAAGTATTATATGTCTATAAATTTCAGGGGGTCTAGGTGTGAATTACTAACAAACATTTGACGACAGGGGTGTAAGTGTTACGCGCATATAAATTTCAGGGGTCTGAGTGATTAAGTGACAAACTTTAGAAGGTTTGAGTGTAATCCTCATTTCATAATATTATTAGTATTATTATATGGATAAACATGCAAATTTTGTGGTTCACAAGACAGTACCGATATTTAGACTACAATTATTATTTAATGGATTAATATCGGACGTCATATAATATTAAAATTTACTTCAAACTGAATAATTTTAATTGATTCGCTCAGTCAATTTAGCCCAATTAAATCTATTAATTTCACAAACTGCTCCCGTTAGCCTACAATTCTGCAATACAAGTTATGCAATTGATCGAGAAGGAAACTAGGGAAGGCATAGGATAGGATAGGTTTACAAATATTTGTATTTAATTTCGGTTGTAGGTTTCTGTTTATTGAATGACCAAAAAAAATTTGTCAAAATAGAGAAAATATTGCACTATCATATCACCATATCGGTAATATCAAGCATTAAAGTTGAATCATTTTGTCTTTATTTTATTATTAAGGATAATTTATACTTGAAGATACCGTGCAATGTGAATGATTTTAAAAGAAATATTGATGGCCGTTTGACGAGTATATTTAAAACTGTCGAGTAAATTTATTGAAATTTTTTTTATTTTATATTATATATTTTAGTATTTTTTAAGGCTCCGCATGATGATGGAGAATTGGTACCTGACTATAACATGAAGATTAGAATACATTTCTAAAAATGAAAAATTAATAAATCAAATAAAAAAACATAGTATCAACAAACTTCTAGAAAAGGCGTATGACCTTTGGGAGGGTATAGAATTTGGCTGCTTGTGGCTTTACATATAATTGTTGTAAAATTTGATGGTTCAATGGTTGAGTCTGTTACTTATTAATTTATAAATTATAGGCTCAATTTCTTCTCATTCCTCTTAAAAACTTGTTTATCCTTGTCACTTTTGAGAACATACTCTAAACCCACTCAAACTATAGAATTCGAGAGAATAGTCGATAACTTTTAATGTTTAAAAACTCAGATTTTCACACCGTACAAAAACACCAATTTGGGTATAAATTTTTATGGTGATACAATTAAAAATCATGTAATGTAACTTTGTTTTCTTTTGCAGGCAGGATATGGTGGTGGGTGGTACTGACACGACCTCCAAAACAATTGAGTTCCCCATGGCTGAGATGATGAACAAGCCAGAAGGGATGAGAAAAGTGTAAAAAAAAATGGAGACTGTAGTTGGCAAAGATAACATATTGGAAGAATCTCATACTTCTAAATTACCTTACTTACGTGCAGTGATGAAAGAGGTTTTGCGTCTACATCCAGCCCTCCCACTCCTGGTGCCTCACTGTCCCAGTGAGACCTGCATTGTTAGAAGCTATACAATTCCAAAAGGAGCTCGGGTATTCGTCAATGTCCGGGCAGTACACAGGGATCCTGCGATATGGCAAAACCCGTTGGAGTTTTGTCCCGAGAGGTTTTTGGATGGTAAATGGGATTACAGTGGAAATGACATCAATTATTTCCCGTTTGGGTCCGGGAGAAGGATTTGTGCAGGGACTGCAATGGCTGAGAGGATGTTCTTGTTTTCGCTTGCTTCACTTGTTCATTCTTTTGATTGGAAACTGCCCGAAGGCCATAAATTAGACTGATCGGAGAATTTTGGGATAGTGTTGAAGAAAAGAATACCTCTCGTTATGCGCTCAAACATCTACCGAGCTGTCATTGACTCTTTGTATTACTTGAACTGGGAAGCAAAAATAAATGATCTATCTTAAGACCAGGTTCCTAAAATATACTTGTTTGTCACCATTTGAATATAATCATATATGGGATGTGTTTTCCCGTGCTTCAGTGCAAAATTTGTATCATTTTGCATACTCTTTTTTTTTTTTTTTTTTTTTATCTTAAGATAATTACAACCACTCACTTAAAAATGTGAAGGTCATAGCATTCATTTAAACACAACACACACTCTAATGTTCCGTTTGATAAGAATGATGAAAAGTAGGAAGGATAGAAAGTAGCAGGGATACACTTTTTATCCTTCAATGATGGAAAATAAGAAAAATATATTTTCTATTATTCCTATAATTGCATGGATGAAAAATAAAAATGACTATTTTTTTTTTTGTGCTGGTTAAGGTTAGGAGTGACAATAGAGTCAAGTCGTGTCGTGTCAAATTCGTCTTGAGTCATTACGAGTTTGTGTCAAATATTAGTCAAACTTAACTTAACTCATTTAACTAATTGTGTCATGTCGAGTTGCGAGTTGACCTATTTATTTTCGTATCGAGTTCGAGTCGTGTCATTATGTTAAGTTGAAAATTTTCACCTTTAGTAAGATAGAAAAAATATTTTTTTTAACTTAATTTTTTTTTTAAAAAAAAAAAAATATATATATACATATTTTACTATTGTATTTTTATATAAAATTAATGTATACATAAGATATATAGACAAATAAAATACATCTCAGCACAAATAATTAACTTTTCATCCACTTTCCTTCCGATTTTGGAGGGATTGATTTTAGTGAGTTGGAAAGAAAGTTAATTCATCCACTTTTCCATCCTTCTTACTTTCCTTTTTTACCAAACATAATATTTTATTTATTCATTCAACTTTTCATTCTTCCAATTTTTTATCGTACCAAACGGAGTATAAGAGTGGAATCGTCCCGGCCCTTACCCAACCAAGCCTCACCCAACCTATGATCAAGCCCAAAGAGAGAAGAAACTGAGCCCACAATCAAAAACTCAAGTTTTGAGTGATTGGGACTCGACGAGAGAGAAAAGATATAAAATGTGTTATCCTTTGGGAATATGGTCTAGTGACATAGATTTTTTAAGCTCATACTTGAAAAGCTATCCAATGCAAGAATGGCCCTGTTCCTGAAAAAAAACCCCTTTCTCAATGGGTATATATTTACCATATAGTAAACATTCTTTTCTATTTTGTTGAACAGTCGGAGATGGCTAAACTAATTTACAAGCACTTCTCTTAATCTCTTTTTCGATTCGATGCAGGTCATCAACGTTGATACTAGAATATTTGTGAGAGATAAATCTCTCATGAAATTGCCAAGAAATCCACAAAATAAATAAAGGAATTTGTCTTTGATTAAGAGATTTGACTTTTCGAATGCGGTTTAACGTGTTTTGAATTTGGGCAATATTATAGTTGAATTTTTGGGTTTTTCAATAGTCGACATGAATTTTAGATCGATTTGTACAACTCAAAAATCAAAGCGAAATTGAATCCAATGTCCACATGATTTCAACCCCAAATTCAATTTAAAAATTAAATCCAAATTTCAATTTGAGTTGATAACCTGAGTTCAAAATTTTAACCATGTGAGTAGTACTTGGACTAAAATTTTTTGGATTGAATCCGGATTAAAATATTTAATAATCTAAAATAAAATTTAATTGATTTTTATATAATGAAAACCATCAAAATTGCACCCATAGCCCATAGACAAAAAAAGAATAGTGTTCATATGAGATTTAAACATCATATTTTTCTTTATAATAATATTGGGCTTTAAAAATAAGGGGTTTGAATATGTACTTTTGAGATAGGCTCTCATTACTATTAATATTCTAATTATAGTGTAGTGTTGTATTTAGTTATAACGTAACTTTACAAAATTATAAATTTCGAGATAATATGAATTTCGGAGATATTTTTCATGTGAAAGCCTTCCAGCCGCCATACTTCAACGGATATGTCACTTCAATTAGATGTTGTCAATTACGTCATGTATTTACATTTATCTTCAACAAAGCAACTTTACATATGCGGTGGAAATTTCACAAGATATCAAATAGTTGCGTAAGAGCCCTTGTCAACTGTAGTTTTCCAATTTCTTCCTGAAATACAGTAGTTCTGTACCTGATTCATCTCTTCTTCAACTCTACGGGTCTTGAAAATGGTTTTAAAACTTTTCAAAACGGCCATGCTTTCAATTAGCAACCAATTGACATGGTGGTGTGAAGGTATCAGCAAGAAAGACGAGTTTTCTCTTGCAGGTCTCACTCTCTCGCTACTGATATTGGCAATTTTCTGGTTCGTATGGGAATTTGTGAAGCCAAGCAAAGGAATGAAATCATTGCCACCAGGTCCCCATGGCTTGCCTATTGTTGGGTACCTCCCATTTCTAGGCACCAATTTACACCATACTTTCACTGAATTGGCTCATCGCTACGGCCCAATCTACAAGCTCTGGGTCGGAAACAAACTGTATGTCGTGGTGAGTTCTCCAGCGGTGGCAAAGGAGGTGGTTCGTGACCACGACACCATCTTTGGCAACCGTGACCCTCCCATCGCCGCCTTGGCTGTAACCTATGGCGGACTCGACATTGCATGGTCCTCCTATGGCTCCTACTGGCGCAATATGCGGAAAGTATTTGTTAGAGAGATGCTAAGTAATAGAAGCATTGAGGCCGGTTACAATCTTCGAAGAGATGAAGTGCAGAAGACTGTTAGAGAGATATATACCAAGATTGGCACACCTATAGACATTGGTGACATAGGTTTTCTAACTCAGGTCAATGTTACGATGAGTATGCTGTGGGGAAGCACACTCGATTGGGAGAAGACGAGTAATATCAAAGCTGAGTTTCGTGAAGTCGTAATGAAAATCACTGAAACATTTGAAAAGCCAAACATGTCTGATTTTTTCCCGATGCTTGCAAGGTTTGATGTGCAAGGAGTGGAGCGAAATATGAAGAGGCTCTTTCAGTGGGTCGAAAGAATTCTTGATGCTGTTATCAATGAACGAATGAAATCGAATACCATGAATAAGGAAGGAGCACTGGAGAATGAAGAAAAGAAGGATTTCCTGCAGATACTCTTGCAGCTACAGGAGGAGGAAGATACTGGAAAACGAATTAACATGACACAGATAAAGGCCTTGTTGATGGTAAGTTATCCACTGTTAACATATTTTGATACGTTATTAAGTAGGTATTGAGATTATTATAGGATTAATTATAAGTTGCTATCACGAAAGAAAGTTCGAATTTTAAAAATCTTAATTTGTATACACAGTTGTCTAAAACTAAATAGATAAATTACACCTAAATCTTCTCATATTTATCACTTAATCATTTATACCTCACATCTAAAATATTACTCGTATACCTTTTGACGTTTGTGCACGTATAATACATAACTCTTTGTTATTGATATCTATTAATATAATTCTTAAAAAATATGATTTCATCCTAATAAAAAATTATAATTTCGTACAATCTTTTAACCAGTGTAGCTGAATTGAATATCAAACAGTTGAACTTGTGTTGGATTAGTGGAATCAGCTAATAAAACTAATGGGTCTTTCTTTCTCCCCATCTACTTGTACTGGCAAATGATCATAACAGGACATTGTGGTGGGTGGGACAGACACAACATCAACCATGGTAGAGTTTGTTATGGCAGAGATTATAAACAATCCAGAGGTGATGAAGAGGGTCCAAGAAGAACTCGCAGATGTTGTGGGTAAGAACAACATGGTGGAAGAGTCCCATCTGCAAAAATTACTCTACATGGATGCAGTTGTGAAGGAGACATTCAGATTGCACCCTCCACTCCCTTTTCTAGTCCCCCGGTGCCCAAGTCAGTCTTGCATTGTAGGTGGATACACCATTCCAAAAGATTCCAACGTCTTCCTGAATGTTTGGGCAATGCACAGGGACCCTCAATTCTGGGAAGATCCATTGGAGTTCAAGCCCGAAAGGTTCTTGAATTGCAATGGGGAATGGGATTATTCTGGAAATAATTTTCAGTATCTCCCATTTGGATCTGGAAGAAGGATATGCGCAGGCATTCCCCTGGCGGAGAGGACACTGAAGTATGTGTTGGCTTCATTCCTGCATTTGTTCCAGTGGAAGTTGCCTGAAGGTGAAGAACTTGATCTTTCAGAGAGATTTGGGATTGTGATCAAGAAGAAGACGCCCCTGATCGCAATCCCTACTCCAATATTATCCAACATGGACCTCTACAAATAGTACCAAGTATGTTGGTGAGTTGGTCTGCAGAATACACCAATGCACCTTCTGTATAAGCTCATCTCTCTGCACAAAGGAACTGTGGTCCAGACGCTGCCCTATTTCCATAGTGAATAGACTGATTGTAATAATGTGTAATATTGATACATCTATATTCGTTTAAACTGTAATAAAAAGTTGAGACACGATCTATATTATATAAGCTATAAAGATCTCAATTTTAGGACGTATCAGTCAGCAAAACATGTCCTCCATTTGCTGTGTTAGCTGTCATACCGTTGCTACCAAGCTATAAGCTCGAAATGGAAGATGACAAGAAAAAATCAAGAACAACGCATACCGAATCAAGGAAAGTCGGGTCTAGGAAAAGTGACTATAGCACTGGAAGACAATGCTCAATGTGTTCCATAATTCAGATGCAATGCGGCTTCTTAATTTTGGTATCAGCTTTCGCTCCAAGACAGAGGCTGCTAATAAAATTTCAACAACCATTCCTTCGTTTAAGTACATATTCCTGCTGGAAAGCACACCATTTACCACTGTCATATGCTTTTATCATCCATTGAAAGAAATAAAGCAAATATATATATAACAATTTCATTTGTTAGTACCAAGATAATCAATGGCTTCTGTTTCTTTCATAAAATTTGTGAAATACATCACCTAAAACAAAGAAAGCAAAATAACAAGGTCTCAACACTATACACCTATGAATATTTGCTTCAAGGCTTACGAAGATGCTATAACAGTCTCAGATTCCAGTTCCCACCAAGACACAGTGTCATCCGTCTGCATAGAATCATCTTCCCCAGAAAGAAAACTTTCAATATCCGAATCCTCGCTCTCATCATCAACCACTTCATTGCAATCATATTGGTTTCTCTCCTTTTCAGGGTCATAAGTCCACTCCAATCTTCTCAAAACATCACGGTCCCTCCACCTCCCCACAACCGATATAGCTTCCTTCTTGGCCTTCCCCATGATGATTTCCTGCCATGAAAATGCAGCATCAGCAGCTCTCTTAAGAGCCCCATCATTATTATCACCCACGACAACTGTCTTCAAACACCTCAACTTTGCCTCGTTCAAAACCTCCACAAAATCTGAATCATCTGACACGAGAACCAAGCACTCAACGCTCCTCTTGTCCATCATATCCACCATATGATTCATCAATGCAACATCCGCTGCTTGTGGTTTATCCAACACAGTCCTAACCCAAAATCCAGCCCGTTTCAATTCGTCTGCCAGGCCATACCCCACTTTTGGAGTCAAAACATCCCTTGAAGCATTTCTATACTTCTCCATTTTCATTGAATACTTGGCCACTAACTTCACCCTCCTAGTCCCCCTGGCAGAATCTATCTGATTCAACCTCTTCATTTGCTCACGCTCATGAATTTGCTTAAAATGATTAATAAACTTCTCATTTGTGTAAAATCTCCTCCCACAAACTCGACATAAATATGGTTCATTCGGCTTAACAACACCCATATTTTCCAACTGATTCAATGCTGTCCTCTCTTTCCTTTGTGCCCTAACATTTGGTGGAACATAAGTAAAGGCATGCCGATTGGCATAAGCGACCATGTATCTAACAACACCAAATTCTGCCGCCGCCTTCCTTAACCTAATGGCAGCATCATAAGGAGGAAAAGACTTTGGTGGTTTGTTTTCCAAATCCCAGAAAATGGAAACATTGCTTTGGGAAACCCTTTCCACCAAGTTCAAAGATGGGTTTGAAGAATCGAAACCAGGGTTTGATATTGTCATTTTGTGACAATATCTATACAATACAGAAATTGGGGTTAGCTTTTGTAGTTTTTGAGTGTGTATTGCATTAAAAACAGTATTAAAATTGAAATAACCCACCATACCCAGATGTGCTTTTCCGAAGTACTGGTGAAGCGCAAGAGATATTATGAATCACAAGAACAGAAACTCAATGTTTGCCCAATAAAGCAACAGAGCAGTGTAGAAAAATAGTCAATCTGAACCAGCACCAGTGCGAACCATCTACTTCATATCCCTCCCCCAAACACCCATGGCCACGGCAGGAAACACAAAAACTACCCCCAAAATCCCAACCTGACAGAGTCCCTTAGCCACTGTCGCAGCCACCACCCACTATCTCCAATCACCACCGATCACCAATACACCAAAAAGAAAAGAAAAAAATGAGAAAGAACAAGCAAGCTGCAAAATACACCAACCACTACCCAGCCACCATCACCGCTGCGTTGTAACGCCACGACCACGACCACCACCACCAAACCTCTGATTTTATCGATTCGGCACCCAAGAAGAACAGAGCTTTAATTTTCCCCAATAGATCTACGCACTGATTCGGATTGAACGAAGACCCCGAACAGAGCTTCGGCAACGGAATAAAGTGTATACGCCCATCGGGCTGTTTGACTGTGCATTCATGTTCCTTTTCTTGTAGACAGAGGGGGTGTCGATGACTAGGATGGGTGTGGGTTTTGGAGCTGATGGTGGTCGGACGAGAGTGGCGGTGGTGGTGGGTTGCAGTCGAAGAGGGTGACCGCTAATGGGTGAAGGGTAAAGTTGCTGATCATGGAGGAGCCGGGGGGAGAGGGGGGGGTGTTTGAGATTTACGGTCAGCGAAGGGTTTTTTGTTGGGACTTGGGGTTTGAGATTTTTGTCAATATTTATTATTTATTATTATTATTTTATTTTTTTTGAAAAAAAGATCAGAGGGTAAAGTAGTGTTTTAATTCAGATGAATTTTTCGGGTCATTTGACGAATTTCTGTCAATGTTTTTATGGTGGAGTGTTAACGGCATGGGTAAATGAGGTAATGGTCAAAGTACAAGGGGCAATTTGTAATTAACTATTTTTTAAAAGAATAAATATCATAATTAATTTTTAAACTTTTTCTCTTATTTCAAGATGGTTTTGAATTGAGGCTCTAAAATATTAATTTCCAGTCAATTTAATTCTTTTGTCAATTTGAAACAATCAAAAATTCACCGACTATTTTGAAACATTAGAGTAAAGTAGCGCATGGAAGAGCATCATCACCTCACTTGAGGTGTTGTTACTGTTCTGCTATGGTCTGCTACTATTGATGATGCACGACCGCGAGTATATGGACTGATTTAAAGTTGTTATACTCTAACCTTTAATGACTGTAATTGTTAGATTTTTTTGTTAAGATTTTATCACTTACAACATTATTATGCTATCAAATTAGATTAATAAATTTTGTTTCACTCGACTATTTCATTTATAATTAGATGTGGAAGCATATATAATTGTTTTTCTTCCCTATATGCTATTTTATTGTTACAACAAGTAATATCAAGTATCATTTATATACGTTATAGGCAACACACTGTCTCGTATGCTTGAGCTCTCAATTTTGCAACAAGAAAACAGCATCAGCATTGTCATCACTGCAGTAGAGACAAGGATGTTGCTCAAGGTGTTGCGCCCGTAAAAGCATCCTAGCCCTCATCACTACGTCCCTATTGCAGAGAGGACCCGAATCTTCCTTCAACACCATTTGAACCGCATTACTGAAAGCTCCATAGGCCTTCCCCCCACTCTCAACCGCTTCCATGTCGACAGAAGTCTCATTCGCTTGACACCCGCTTAGCAGAATTCCCTCATCAGGCCACAGAGGTCTGAGCAAATTGAGCTCGAGTCGAGGTAATTGGAATCTAAGGCTGGCATCAGGGCCAAAAATCTCCAGCAAATGGGTGCCAATATCGGATGTATCTATGTTTGTGATTGATGCGAGGTGTTGCAATACTGATTCAAAGGGAATGGTCTTGGGCTTGTAGGGAGAAAGCAAAATGGCTTTGCTAGAGGCAGTGGAAGGCCCAATTTGCTCTTTCTCTTTGTCGATGAGGCCGCCACTATGGCAGGAATCTGAAAGCATGGTGAAAGTTGCTCCCTCCGGCAGGCGGTTCACCAGGTGCCGGAAGTCCACATCTGCACACGGGTGTTTTTAAAGTACGTACATTATGCCACAATAAACAAATAAAGGATGGTAAATGTGTTTTTCCAACTGAATTCAATATAGTTATTTAATTAATATTTCAGTTAACTCACTCTCAAACCGATGAAATTACCGGTAATTAGATTGAAATCAGAAGGAACAATTGCCTGATCCTGCCTATATGGATGAACTTGCTTCACCGAGGGAATCCGCGTTCCATGACCACTATAGTGGAAGAATAGAACATCACCTGGCTCAGCCTCATCAACCATCCGGCTAAGTGCCTTCTTGATATTCGCACCGGTGGGCATGACCGAGGAGCCATGTTCATCGACCAGGAGCTCGATTTGGCTCGGGTCGAACCCAAACCGCCTTACGAGCACTTGTCGCATGGATAACGCATCATTGATGCATCCATGCAGCTGATATTTGGTGCGTGGGTAATTGCACCCTACTAAAACAGCCAACCTCTTTCCCTTTTCCATATTCACAAACAATGGTGAATGAATCCAAGAAATTTGTCTTTTCAACTTGAAATTGACTCTCATAATTAAATTTTCATCCCTTTGATTTTATAGAGATGGAACTTGAGTTTTCGAAAACCTCAAGGTCCGTTTTTTACCGATACAACATGGGACCGACCGACCAACAACTTTGCTTCACAAAAAATTTTGTTTCCATCCTTAGGAGGTGTCTTCTTAGCTTTAAAGTGATTATTGCCTTATAAGCAATATTCATCAGAATCCTTATCAATATAAGCTTTGCAAGGATACAATTTGCCTATAAAGGCATAAAATTCTTTGTTCTTTTGTTTTTCTTTTCTTTTTTTTTAAGTATAAAAGTAAAACCCAATTAGATATTAATTTCTATGTGATAAATTTATCCGAAAAAAGGATGAAATTCTTTTATTCTGTAGCCCTGTAGTAACTTCGTGTGGCTATAATTTAACGGAAAAGGAATAATTGTTTGTTATTATTTTTCTCCCCTTGGTAGTTGGTCCATCACAAAGAATACAGATGGCAAAGAAACTTGGCTTCTCCATTTACTTCGTGTGGCTATAATTTAACGGAAAATGAATAATTGTTGGTTATTATTTTTCTTCCATTTGTCCATTCACAAAGAGCACTGACTGCAAATAAATTTGGCTTCTCCATTAACAAGTGACGTGCATTGTTTGGTATGAAGAAAAAAATTGAAGAATAAAGAGTGAAAAATGATAGGCAAAAAATCATATTTAGTACAATAAAAAATTTGAAAGATGAAAAAGTTGAAAGATTAGCAATCCTTTCAACTCATAAAAATCTATCTATTCAAAATTAGAAAGAAAATTAATTATTTGTATTTAAATATATATTATTTATTTTGTTTATACTGTAATATATGGTTATAACCTATTTATTTGTTACAAATTATGTAAACATTAGTTTCTGTATGGGTGATTTTCTTGTATAATATTGAGATAGTAGTACTTTGGTTGACACTCAAAGATTGCTCTCGAGCTTGGGGGAATACGAAAATATAAGGATTACGAAGAAGGGTTAGAAGGGAGGCCGAAGGTGTCTCCAGTGATTCTTGTCTGATGCTTAAGTCAGTCTTTGAGGAGGGAAGAAGACACAATGTTCAATATAGGGGTGTGAGAGTGTACCGTTTGTTTTTGCTTGAGAGTGTTATTTAAAATTTCTTGGTGGACGAGTGCGCCTATCAAGGACATCTGTATGATCCTCAATGCCATTTTTTCCGATCCATTGTTGGGAGGTGCGTTGGCTTTAAAGTTATTATTAGCTTACAATGTGGATAAGTTAGATATGATCATCACAATCCTAGTTAATTACAACGATAAAATTTGCTGATTAAAGCATGAAAGTCTTTGTTTTTTTTTTTTTTTTGTTTTAAAATTTAATTATAACATTGAAACAAGATTAGGTGTTGATTTTCAATGCTAAAAATTTGCCAGAATAAGGGATGAAATTCTTTGTCCTCTGTTTTTTTGCTTTTTCCCAATTTCAACTTCATCACATTTGATTATTCTCTATTCTTTTCTTTTTCCTTTCACGTTGGAATCAAAACCCGATTGTTATTATGGGCAAACTTACCAACGACAAAGGGTAAAATTCTTTTATTCTTCCCAACCAATTTTCAGCAATAAGAACTCATATCCTACCTCTAGTAACTTCGTGTGGCTGTACTTCAACGGAAAAGGGGTATTGTTGATTCTTTATTTTTCTTTGTTTTTAAGATACTAGTTATTGTTGCACGTGAATCGGTTTAGGTAACAAATAAATTCATGTTTCACAATTTCACTCAAACATCCAACTTCCAAATAATCAAAAATTTAAAACAAAAAATTTTAATCATTTTTTCATTTCCCGCATTCTCTCACCAAAGAAGCTAATCCCAAATATTACTCATTAATCAAGTAAGGTCCAATGACTTGCAGTCTCATATAAGTACCCAAGAAATGGCATCCAATTCATCCTTGAAGGCACATAGGACCGAACTATATGCTTCTTGCTCTATGTAGTGGGTATGGAGCAGTACCGACAACTATAGAATGTCCGTTTCCCCCACGGTCCCAGTTGCAAATCTATTTTGGCATGAAGGAGGCATGCCACCATCGATAGAATGCCAATATATTCAATTGATAAACATTAAAAAAAATACCACAATGCAACCATGAATAATAATAACAAAGAGACAACATAAAAGAATAAGATACAAAAAAAAAATTGAAGTAGGGAAAAACCATGGGGACTGTGTCATAAAACCAAAAAAAAAAAAGTGATAAACAAACATAAAACTGAACCAAAACTCCTAGAATTATCGACCTCCGATTAAATGCATCGACAGTGGATGATCAGGATCCACCATCTACATGAGGACGTGTCAGAGGCTCTTCTTGAAGGTGAGTAAACCATCAACTCGAGTTTCTTCAACTTCGTCAACACCATTGGTATACAAGGAAAGAGAGAGTTGGTAGTTGATCAACCCAAACCGTAGAGTGGTAAAGAGGAAGGGATAGAGAAAGATATGACTACACGGATGGTAGAAGTTCTGCATCTTTGACATATTTTCATTTGGATTAGCTACAACAGATTTGTGCACTAAGAATCAATGTTGATGATGCTAATTAACCCAATGTAATGAAAGCAGATGAAAGGACATAAAAGGATTTAACTGACTTTAGGAGAATAAACAAGAGTAAAGTCAGAAACTTATACTGCGGCAGAGGAAGTGTTGATTGGTTTAAGTGAGTTTCTTGAACTATTTATTGATCGGAAGGGTTTGAGGTAATTAATTTATATAGTAGGGACATTATGGTCAATTAAAGTTTTTCCATTATAGGTACATTTTATAATAGTATAGATTTTATAAATAATCATTACTAATATCTTAAGGCACTATGTAATACACAAAAAAATTACAAGTAATTGCTCAAATTTAAGACACAGTCTAACAACCATCAAACCTATTTTATTGACATCATCCTCCAACACTATGTATTTAAGAGTTATTTGGTAACGTTTTCGTTTTCGTGTCTTCAAAACAATAAAAAATAGAGACAATTTTTCTCTTTATTTTGTGATAAACACTAAAACAAAAAATATGTTTGAATTTCGTTTTTGTCTATCAAATTATGAGAATAAAAAACAAAAAACATATTTGATAACTATTTCACGTTTTATTCTAAATATGCTTTATAATATATCATACAACAAAAAAACAAATCCAAAAATTCATCAAACCAAAACATCTACTAATTCATCAAAGAACACCTAAATAAAAATAATTAGATTACATAAATCACTACTCACATTAATTGTATTAATCTATATTAATCCATCAAAGATCATCAAACTCATTCAATCTACTCATTAGTTTGTTAGCCAAAAAAAAAATGGGACTAAATGGAAATTCAATCAATTCCAAAGGGTAATTTAATCCCAAATAGGTATTCAATCAATCCTAAATTGCAATTCAATCAATCCTAAATCGCAATTGAACAATTCCAAATGACAATTCAATCAGCAATTAATCCAAACACAACACACATACACGCAGAACATAATACACACACACACACAACACAACACACACATACACAGACTCATTTCTCTCTCACACACGCACAGATCTGTGTCTTTGTTTTTGGTTTTCATTGATAGAAAGCAAGAGAGAGAGGGTTTCAATTTGTCTTCGTCGTTGAGAGAAAGAGAGAGGAGAAGAGAGAGTCATTGAGAGCTCCGGAGAAGAAAGAGTTGTTGAGAGTTGAGGAGAAGAGAGAAAAAAGACCCCCTATTTATACTTTGAGAAATGAACGAGTCTTTTGTGTCTAACAAGACTCGAAGTTGAGACCTCATTTAATCAAGATGCGCGTGTTTTATGTTTTGTGTATTTCCTGAAATACAAATTTTTTGTTCCCATTTTTTGTCTTTGTTTCCAAATAACTAAGGTAAAACAAAAACAAAAACAGTACCCAAACATATTTTTGTTTTTATTTTTGACAAAAAATTAAAAATAAAAACACAAAACACAAGACAAATACAATAAATAAACACCCCTTAATATCTCAGTTCATGCCATTAGACAAGAACCTAAGAGTGCACCACGTGCTTTGGACGTAATTTTTTTTTATTTTTATAAAATCTATAGAAAGAAAATTAAAATATGAATAATTAAATTAAATGTCATCTCATTGATTATACTTGTATCATAAATATTGTGCTTAGTCGAAAAGGTTTTACAAGTTAAATGTAGTAATAAGGCAAAGAAATAAATAAATAGCATACATTCTACTTTTTGATATATTTTGACTGAGGTTGATTGTTTATAGTGGCGCTTGGTAAATAAATGGAAAATTACACCCCCGTTTGAAAATAGACTTAATTATAATAGTCTCTCTTTGATATTCAATAATTATATTTCCCCTCTTCTGCTAGACATATCGTACAGAGTATAATCTCAAATGAACCATTGTTTAAATTGAAGAAGTTATTAGAAAATTATGTAACTAAGTTTGAGTTATATATACAAATACAGAGGGATAAATTATCAAGGGATGAGAAGTGAGAATGTGAATAGCTTATGAGAAGTCCAAGTTGTATGCAAAAGACTTCGCTAACCCTTTGAAACATGCCTCGTCCCAGGTGATGTTCCAAATTGTTGCAAACGTTTATAGTATTTGATGATGCACATTATGTATGATTAAAGTAATTGAGTGTGTGATGTAAAATAATTAATAATAAGAAATACAGATTGGGTGGTTGGGTCTGAGTGACCTAACCACTGAAGGTAATAACAGTGACCGGAGAACTCTATTAATGATAAAGTACAAGGTAATAGGAGAAAGAACAAGAGTACGCTTGAGATGAAGTATGTAAGATTTGCCCTCATGTATAGGGGATTTATAATTTATAGGCACAAAACTCTAACTATGACGGTGACGTGAAGGTCAAGATACTAATTTATCGGGGAAGATAGTTACTATTGGTACAAACACTATCTTAGAATAATGATTATTCTTATAATTGTTCTTCAATGTGCGTTAACTCTTGCTGAACTCTTGAATTTTAGATTGAACTGAGATTATGAACTAAGCTTAATCTATCTTTTGATTTTGATGGTTTGGACTCAACTCAAGAACTGAACTCAACCCTTATCTAAATCTAGGCTCATCAGTGACGATAACCATTTGTCTTGATATGAAGATTTTACTTGGCAACCACCATCCAGCTAGACACATAATAATTAAAAAGAATCACAATAAATAAAAACAACAACATCATCAATAAATTAACAAGCGTATCGTTGTTTTTAATTATCATAAAAAGTGAAAACAAAAAAAAAATCTAAAAACAAAAGCAATTACAAAACGCAACCATATTTATTTAAAATCAAATTTTATTGTGATAAGTTATTAATTTTATATTATTTTTTTGTGTTCAAGTTGATTCATGTATTAGAAGAGTCTCATGAATCAACCAACAAACTAAACTGATTGCTCAAAATTTAGGCAAAAGACATGGTATCTCCACCAAATATATATATATATATATATATATAGATATTTTGATGTTATATTAGAATTGATATGAATTTTAAAACTTGTTTTGATGTATTTTTAATTAGTAATTATAAAAATGATTAATTGCACTAGATGTCTAAAAACTCCAAAGTATGAAGTTTATTTCATTTTAGTCTATAATATTTCAATTATATCATTTTAGTTATTAAAATATTGAATATATTTTTATATAAACCTTCAAGCAAATAATGTCTAGATTAATAACGATTTTTGATTATAAATTTGTCATATAATTTCTAAATATGGGGAATAAAAAATTAGATAACTATTGAATAAATTTTTACCCAAATTTTTGTCAAAGAGTTATTTTTTACTTATATTTAATTATCTCGTGACAAGTTTATAATAAAAAATTATTATTAATTTAAATATTATATCTATAATAATAAGATAGGACCAATTTTGAATCTTTTCTTAATTTAAAATTTAATTTAATTTAAATTCATTTAAGAAAGTATAAGGACGGCTCAGATTCATTCTAATTTTAATTTAATAACCTAAATTTCATCTCAATTCTTCAAACTTAATCCAAAGACTCACATTTTATCTCACATAAACAAAAATCCCGCCCAAATCAAACCCACCCCCTACACGTTACCCCTTCCAGTCACTTCCTCTGCCACGTTATCCCCTCCAGTCACTTCCTCTTCCACAGCGGCAGCACACGCTACCCAAACCCCTTACCCCTCTACCCACACCCCTCTCACTCCTCTGTCATGGCTCAGCGGCAACACCAGCGTTCTCAGCGGCAACACCAGCGGCGATCAACACCCATTCACCAAGTTCAGCCCAGGTACCTCCCTCTCCCCCACTTTTTCGCTCAGCACCCTTTTGGGTCAGTCCTTTCTTCTTTGTCTGTTCAATTTTTGGAGGTTGGTTGAAGCTTTGAGTCGGTCCTTCATTGATTAATATGCTTTGTTATTGGGCTAAATTGGAGTTTCTTCTTCTAAGTGGAAAAAAATATACCCACTTCTGAGTTCATTATCACGTTGTTCTTTGCCTAAGTTAATGGGTTTTCATTTTTTTTTCCTCTTTATCAAATGAATCATGTGTTTGGCTGCTTCATGGAAAAAGAAGTTGCAGAATAGACAATTCATGGGATTAGAAAAAGTTGATTTTGTTTATTGGAAATCCAATAACTTTGCGAGAATCTCTTATTACATTTCAAAAATTGGCTTTGCTGGGTTATTAGAGATCTTTTATTAAAATGAATTTCAAAACCCGCGTGTTCTTTGCCCAAGTTCTTGGATAATTTAAAGTGAATTCATTTTGCTGGGTTATTAGAGATCTTTTTTTTTTCCTGAACAGTTTCTTTCATCTGCTATTCACGAATTCCATTAAAGCATTGATATGGGTTTTAAAGCACCGATATAATTCCATTAGTATTTTAGCTTTGCATTGGGCTAAATTGGAGTTTCTTATTCTAAGTGTGAGTTCATTATCACGTTGATTGGAAAAAAAATGAGATATGATATATGAATCATAATTTGTTTTAACTGTGTAAGATTGAATTTACATATGAAGTCTGATCTAGCTTTTAGTATGGAGTTTTTTTGTTTATTTGGAATTAAAGGACACCATCATTTAAAAAAAAATTTGTAAATGAAGCAACCAAACACATTCTATAGTGGTCGGAAGTTGTCAATTTCTTTACTCTATTTTCGTTTCTACTTTTATTTGTGTTTTTTTAAATTTATGGTTCTTCCATAATTTTCAAGTTTGCCCCCTCCATACTGAGAGTCAGTCTGGGGTTATATAACTACTCCACCTTGGTGCTTGGAAATGAGAGTTTTGGCTTGATTTGCTGAGTATTTTATCTGCATTGGTGATGTACATACTATTTGTGGTTTTGAATATGAATTTTAGTATTTAATTTGAACCCCTGTGAATTTTTGTTTAATTTGAATAGCCTAATGAAATTGATAGGTTCATAGACGTGTATCAACATATTAATATGCATACTTTTGATGAGATATCAAGTTGGCAATTTTCAATTGGAATTTGGATGCTCTAAATTGATTTGATAATTTTGGTGTTCATTTGAGTGTTTTTTCAAGTAAGTTTGATAAGTTTTGTTATAGCTCGAATGTTATAGTTTGGGTATTTTGAATGTTAAATTGGTTTGAATGTTATTGCTCCATTGGTATATAAAGGTTGGTTAATTTCCAACTCTTCTGTGGAATGAAGGGTCGATTTTTTTGATAAACATGCGTTTCTATTGCCATTAGGTTCAATTTTACGCAAATTGAAGGAGATGTTTGCTATGGTTGAACTCAAGCGGTGATCACGATCACTCTACACTCTCATGTCGTAAGGTAATTTTTTATTTATTTTGAGAATAGCTAGGTTATTTATTTTTAGTGTCATACTACTTTGAATGTGATCTATTTTGTTTGAAATCTATAAAAGTTTACGGGTTTTAGAAACTTTCTCAATTAACTATTGATTATGTCATTAAGTTTTATTGTAACTCTTTGTTTTGTGTGGCTTTGAGTTGATGTTGAAAGAACCCCTATCATGAAAGGAATCCTCTTAGCTTTGTTTTTCCAATTTTTCCGTTACAAATTAGGTCTATTTTTGTGCTTCCATTTGTTTTATTGGGTTTAGACAATTGCTTACACGCTTCCATTTTCTCGCATTTGCTTGATTGGGTTTGTAATTCATATTTTCTCGCATACGCTTATACGCTTCCATTTTTCCTTTTCTCTTTGTCTGGTTTAGTGTCCTACGAATATGACTAATTCATTTATTTTAGTCACACAAAGTTGTTGTTTTAATAGCTTGATCAATGCATGGCTGGACTGTAATTCTTTTTCATAACCAAGGAATCTTATATTGTTAATTTTTGAAGATGACTTTGTTAAAATTATTTAAAAAATAGTAAGCTCATATTAATTTAAACTTATCTGCAATTCAACCAATACTTGAATGGGGTTAACCAATAACTAGGTAAATTGTTATGTTGTTAAATTGTTGTTTTAAGGATGGACTATGACATGAATGATTAATACTATGGTGTTGATTTGGGTATGACTATGAGATATATAATCTTTGTATACAGGTTAAGATTTTTCTAAATTACTATTTTTAGAGGAAATTATGACGATTTTTTTAAAAAAAATTGTTTCAAAGTGACGGTGTTTTTTAGTTGTAAAGTGCCTTTAGGCACGGATTATTACTAGTATGCGATGAATCACATAAAAATATACTCAAATAATATAATTAAAATATTGTCAGCAAAACAAAACAAACTAAGAGTGTTTGGTTTTAAACTGTTAACCCTAATTGATGAAATGCAATTAAAGAAGGCATCTCTGTCATTTTGACTGTTCGAAAGTGCGAGGGACCCATCCACATGGTTACATCCTCGTTCTCCTTGTCAATCTCGTAGGCACAGCTAACAGTTGAAGGAATTGGGAATAAACAAACAAGACCAATACACACAACAAACCGAGATAGAAAGATAGTGTTTTTGAGATCAAACAGTAATCCTCCAATCATTGACATGTTGACATGAATAGAAATTATATATTGTGATGGGCTTGTACAGATAACGTCAAAAGCAGAAATGAAAGGCGTCTCTTCGGCGCCCGGTGATTACATCTACTTCAAGTCTCAGGTCCCCCTTCACAAGATCCCTGTAAGTCATTCTCGATTTTCTCCTTCTTTTTTTTTTCTCTCTTTTTAGATTATCGATTATGGGTTTCACCCTAGAGCTTCCTTTATCTACTGGGCTTGCCTCTAATTTCAGTTACATGAAGTGTTTATGTACATGGATTGAATTTGTCTGATCATTAAATGAATTAGGTCTATTTATCATTTTAATAAGATTTAAAATTATGTTTTGCTTTTGGGTTTGTCAGCAGATTGACACTTCTCGTTTAATTGGCTTTTGTTGTTGTCAGGTTTAATTGGTTTGGTTTGGTTTTTTGTTGGCAGGTAGTTATTAATTTAGTTTTTGTGATTCTTAGTCAGAACTGGTTTGTTCCTAGTTATTGATAAGATCTCACAGATCTTGAAATAGTACTGTGGAACAGACTGCGGTGCTGGTTTGTTACGATCTCACTTCGATAAAAAAATAAGACTATTAAGACTAAATGTGTGTATATGAACTTTTAAACTGACCAATATAAAAACTGTTGGACACTTTTCCCTTGCAAGCGGGCCCAAATGGGACAAGTTCTATCGATGAGTTCATAACAATTAGTATCAGAGCTAGCCAGCAAGTGGACAACGCAGGTTTAGTTGCTGCTTTCTGTGGTCAAGTTACAGAAAGGGGCCATCTACGAATTGGATTAAGATGACTTGGTATTTTATATAGGGCATAGTGGAGCTGCCAAATGGAAATAGCTGTCGTTGGGTCAATGTCGATAGAGAGTAGCATAGAGTGGGCCGATGTGGATGTCGGCTATGGAAATGTAGTGGAATATTACAATCTCATATCGATTAAAAATAAGACTAGATGTGTGTATATGAACTCTTGGACACTTTTCCCTTGCAAGTCGGTTATTAGGGACAAGTTCTACCCATGAGTTCATAACATGGAATATTAATTCATCATCTTGGATTCTGTAGGCTAATTTTATTGAACCTTCCCAAACCTGATGGCTGTCTTGAAATAACTTTTTTTTTTGCTTACTAGGATATTTTGGGCCTCTTAGAGCACCTGCCTAATTCTGTAGGCTGCATATGCAGTCCTTCTGTCCCACAATCTTGAAGTAGTTTTGTGAAGGATAGCATGATCCTAAAATATTGTTGATCATAGGGTATTGTTTTCTGAGTTGACGTTTTGTGCTATCAATTGTCAACTGACACTAGTTGGGTTAGTGGCTGTTGCTAACTATGAGAATACACAAAAAAAGTATGATGTTATAGCATTTGTATATGTGAACTTTGCTTCTTACTTACCCGAAAATAATACAGCTATCAAATTCTGTTGGTCCTATGCCTCTGTTTTACAAGATGCTGCTTAATTTGCGATACAGTATCTAAGCAAAGTTTTTTCTTTTTCTTTGTTGTTTTCTGCAGATTGGTTCAAAGCAGTGGCGGTATTATGACTGTGGTCCAAAAGTGGTTCCACCACTTATTTGTCTTCCTGGTATAGCGGGAACAGCGGAAGTATACTACAAGCAGATCATGTCATTGTCCATGAAGGTAGTAAGTTTGGTTCTATGATTCTTCATTAGCTTTTTGTCTTATTGCAATGAGATTCTTCAAACTTTATCATCAAGTTTTACATCTTGCCCCTCCCCCGCCTTCCCCCAACCAAAAAAAAATTCTTGAAGTACAGATAATGGGTTTTACAATTATAATTTAATAAATAATTATATATATATATATGTTGAGAGTTTAAGAACTTACATCAGAAGCATGAGCACATTGGGTGGTTGTTATTTCCCATTTTTCCTCATGAGTTACAGGTCTAACTAAAAACCACCAATCAAGGTGAAAAGTTTGTACACATGGATAGAGAAACACCTCATAAAGCAGAACTCTATGTGGAATGTATCCCTTTCATAAAGTCTACAATATTGGCAAAAGAAAAATAGGCCCTTCCTGGTGGCTATATTGTAAAAATCTAACAACAATGGATTTTAACTCATTAATAAGCGGCTCCTCTTTTATCAAAAGCGCACATATTCCACTCCTTTTGCCCACTGAAGGAGTAGGAGGGGCAGCCGGGGGCTGCTCATTATGCCAGCCTCACCCTAGTCCTACACTTAGCCCTAGACTGTAACTCCTAGTACCTCCAGTATTGAACGTCACAGGACACAATGAACTCTGGAAAAAGAAAAGAGGATACTACTCCCAAGATAGTGGGCTCAACTATTGCACCTTCCGTTCTCATACCAAACAGTTGGTAATCTAGATTCTAGAAACTTCATTTGGTTTTCTCCCAATGCTTTGTGTAAAGAGATAGTCTTCAACACCCTCAACTACAGAGATTCCAACTTTGAAAAAAGGATAAAGCATACATCAGATTTAAGTGATGCCTTTAAAAAATGTTGACATTTCTAACCTGCATCTGCTTGTAACTGTCTGGGTTGTATTTGCAAACCTCTGTGGTTTGGGTATGAAATCTAAAGAATCCCAAGATATGTTGTGGGGGACAAAACCCAACCCAGTAATGAGAATTTGACGTTAGGCCTTCCAGATCTTCCCTTTTTACCAATGTAATAATCTTGCCCTTCATAAATATATCCCATCCATCGTTCCAGCAGAAGATAATGTACTATAAATGGAATAGGGATAAAGAGAAAGAAACGAACATAACTAAAACAGGATCCCATTACTAAACCACTAAGCGTCTTTATACCATACTAAATGTGCAACGCACTCTAAAGATTTGAGGGCAAAAATGCATTATCTCACCCCTATACAACCGTGAGCTTTGTTTTCTCCTTTTGACAACTGGTGAGGCATCTTAATTATCGTTTGGTTTTGTTTTTATTTCTGTTTTGGAGAGGGATCATTATGAGGTACATAGACCTTTGGAGTGGTGCCAAAGAAGGTTTTTTTGGTAAGAAACTCTTTTTATGAGAGTGTATAAGAGGTAGCCTTTTCAACCTATTGAATGAACCTTTGTTCACTTGGCAACTTTTTTCTTTTTATGTTCTTACAATTGACTTAATGTTCCCTGAATTGGAAAAATATATTTTCTCCTTCCTAAAACAGATATGTAAAGTAAATTGGTATTATCTCAACTTATTACAAAGATTGGACTTAGTTATCTAGTTTTGGTGGGATATGCATCCCAAGGCAGAGGATTATGGCTAGTGGTCAATTAATGAAAGAGAACTTATTTCTGTAATGCATTTTGGGTAAATTTTAGTACTAAGGATTTATAGTGAAGCGAGAAGGCGAGTACTTTGCACCATAACCCTACCAGGGAGACATTTCCAATTTCTATTTTTGGTATTTTAGCCCAGTGATATAACACTTCATCCATGGTTCCTAGAAGCTATACATGCTCAGATTGTACAATTTTTTTTCCTGTAAGTTTTATCAATTTGTGATATTATGTAATATTTCATCTCAGGAATACACATACTACTACCCAAAATGAGTGACAAGATTGTCAAGCATACATCATAACTAAATGAATGGCATAGAAAGTAGAACAATATTTCAGAGCACTGATGATGTGATAGAGAAATGTGATAGATCTGAAAGGTATCACCTAATGCTGTGATGGATAGATTCTACTCACTTTTATATAACATAAATTGGATGACTACAGGGGCGGAGCCAGACTTTTTTCTCTTTGGGGGTAACCTAAAATTCCTTAATAACTTAGAACAAAGTCCTCTGCCTAATGCCACTATCTCGAACATTTCTTTCTTGCGTGGGAGACCATTGTTCCAATGTTCATTTTCTTTTCAAAAATGTATCCATAGCAGATTTGAAAATCAATTTGTTTAGTTAGGCGCAAACTCAATAACCATCATTGTATTTTTAACAAACAAATTACAATAACCATGAGTAGGAAATACAAATCAAGAAATTTGAATCGAAGCAATTTAAAAAAATTAAACATATCATAAGTCTATTAAATTGAAAGAAAATATATTAAAAATGTAAGCTATTATTATCAAATTCTTCAAGTATGATTGATCAAAATAACTTAATCCAAAATGTGATGCTTAACAACCAAATTACATACAGAACAATCCAATTAAATATAAAAAATTCTTCATTATTCAATCCAATGTAGATAATTGTAGTTCTATCATCACCATTAGGGAAAAAAATAAAATGGGAAGAAAAAATAGAAAACCTAATCACTGTGCAAAAAAATCACAGAAGTTTTTGAAATCGAAGCTATCTCTAGTGGGTTACCTCTTGCAAGCAAACTCTAATAGCATCCACTAAGCTCTCATCTCCTTTAAAACAATTTTCTCAACGAACATAAAATTGAAAATGAAGAGAGAGATGATTGAAGGGGAAGCATAAGTGGGGGAACCAAAAGAGGTAAGACTAAAGAGAGCAAAACACAAAGAGAAATTGAAGAGAGGGACTTCCAATACTCTATTAGAATTATGCGAGGGGCCGAAGAAAATTTCAGTGAGGGCAGCTGACCCCATTGCCCCCGGTGTAAATCCGCCCCTCGATGACTATCTGCAGGAATGACATTCCTTTGTCCCATATTCCAGGCCTCTTTTGGTGAATTCAACTTACTACTGGAATAATATTTGGAACCTTGAAATACAGTGGAAATGATTAATTCCAAAGAGGCTCTCCATTAAATTAATCACTTTTAGTTTAGCTTTTTGAATTGGACATAAATCATGGGACATTCCTAAATAGAAAAAGAGGCCCATTTTAAGGATGAAGTTCTACAGATGTATGTTCTTCTTTTTGGTGTATTTGGTTACCCTGCATAAGAAGTTATTTGGTGAATCTCATTTCGTTTTCTTAATTTCTTTTGTTGTTTTTTTGTTGTATCAGTTTGTGGCAAACACAGCTTCTAAATTATTAAGATAAGTGAAATTTGTGATTTTTCTCCCAGGGCTACCGAGTGATTTCTATTGATATTCCACGTGTATGGAACCATCATGAGTGGGTTCAAGCTTTTGAGAAGTTTTTGGATGCTATTGACGTTCATCATGTAAGGTTTACATTTTTTGCTTTTTGCACACCTCCATTATGCATCTTTTGTTCACTTTTCAGAAAGACGTTTGAAGGAGAGTTGTTAATGCTAGTAGAATTGTAAAGTGAATCAAGTCACCTAAAGTTGGTTTGAAAACTTTTAGTGGCTGACCTCAGCTCAAGCCGTGTATCCAGGTTAATTATACAAAATGAACTAAGCCCAATAATTTCTAGTTTTGATTTGTTCAGATCTAGATCAAGTGCCTTGGGAAAATAATCCATTGAATAGGTGGAGATTGTCTTTTGCGTAAACATGTGGATATTCCTTGGATTGTTGTAATTTTATAGGTTGTTAATTGCAAATATTATGTCCTCCAATTGAATATCTTGTGTTATAGAGAGGGCAGATCCTTTTTTTCCGTTCTAAAACTCCCCTTAGTGTACTCGCATTTAGAAACGTAGTCACTTTTCAGAAGCTTGCAACTAATAAGAGTAGGGCAACTAAAGTCAAAAACCCAATTTTATGTTCTTAAAGCCACTATTGCTTTTGAAACCACACAGGGGATTAAGTAAATTTGTGTATTGTGCTCAATATTAATCCATAATGCAGTTTAAATATATGGAATTTTAGACTAGCAGATAAATTTAGTTTCCTGCCTCCCTCCTAGTTTTTTGTGTATATCTTATATCTAAAGGTTCAGAGATTCTGCTGGTTTGTGTACAATTAATTTCTGCTGATATCCAAGAGCCCACACGACAATACTTGTTTGGTAGTTGCTGGTTATCCAGTATAGCTGTCAGTGTCACCATTTCAGTTAAGCGTTTCTTACTGCATTGAACATGCTAGTATGGGGTATGACCGACCCCATTGATCCAACGCCTAATGTTAATTGCAGCATTCTTGTGTTGTGCCAGTTTCAATTTTATTTAACAATTTATGTAACCCTCAGTGACATTGCTGTTGAAATTTACTTTAACTATTTTTCTTCTGCTATCAGAGAATCATTAGCCTTGAACAGGGTGATGGTCTTTCTTCTTCGTTCTCATTATTTTTGTTCTTGCATAGAATAATTGACAGTATTGTAACTAATATGAGGAAATTTTGAACACAAATTCAAGGGTTGATTTTTCATGATCAATATTTCTTAAATCATTTGTCCTGAAATCTTTGAACTTGGATAGTGTGTGTGACTAGGTTATATAGACATAGTGCAACAAATGAAAAAAAAACAAACGAAATGGTGCTCTGTATTCTGACTTTGGGAAGACAGCATAAAGCAATTAAATTACCATGCAATGGAACTCCATTTGTTGACTTGCTAGCAGTTGCAGCTTAAAATTTTTATCTATGTTTTAACAAAGATGTATTCTACGGTTAGATGAATTGCTTGCATTCAACAGTTTAAACACCAAGATGAGTAGTCCCGGGACCATGTGCCCATGCCCTTTGGCTGTGCGGTTATTGCATGTTCAATTCAGTATGATATGTGACCTATCCCCTCTCTCTAAATTTGATCCGGGCAATTTTATCTGTCCTGTTTGCATGGAAGATAAGATGTTGCAGCTCCTAATCTATTGCATTGGAAATTTTAAGTGTCAAGGTTTAGGAAAAATAATGAGTTTTATTGGTAGTTGGTTGGAAAGGCAGATGCGTGATTTTTTCCTACGGATAGCCAGGAATGGCCGTTAGTGGACACCCACCACTTTCCACCAGTTAGAGGGGCCCTTCTTTAATACATTAAGAAAAGATATTCTTTTTTTTTTTTTTTCTTCTCATTTTTTTGGGGGGAGGGGGGAGGGGAAAGGGGGAAGGGGGTTTGAACTCTTGACCTCAAGAAGGCAAAACCTTTATAAGGTAAGGAGTACCATTGGACCAAAGGCCCGTTGGTAAAGAAATGATATTCACAGGGCCAGAAAGACTCGGTTATAGGAACTTAGACCACCTTTCACGCTAATAAACGAAAATCACCTCGATTGATTTTTAACGTATTAGTTTATTTTGCTTTGTATGAATTGTACTGAGATTGGTTTGTGAACAGAGTAAGCTGATCAACCTTCATCTAACAGATACATCTATACGGAACATCCCTTGGAGGCTTCTTAGCACAGCTTTTTGCACAGCATCGTCCACGACGGGTTCGATCATTGATACTCTCAAATACATTTTTGGAGACTCGTAGTTTCTCAGCTGCCATGCCATGGGCTCCCATGTATGTTTCCATATTCAGACAATGCTTATGAGTTGGAGCTGATTAAATAACTGTTGTAACTGGACAAAACCAAATTGATTTGTATGTTGTATTCTTTTGAATTCAATCATTAAATGTATTTATCCGTTTTGCTGTTAACTTACCTAGTTACCTAGCATCTTGTACATTGTAGTAATAAATCAATGTTTTGGTTTGTGAAAAATCATGCCCATAACTTTGAAAGAAAAATTGTGCATATTGAAAGTTGTTTGTCTTCAGTCATCATGCTAAGCCAGCCTTCACGTTCACGAAAATGCTGTAGTTCAATTAAAAATTGAAAGAAAAATTATAGATCCCTTATATAAATTCTGGTCTATTTGATACCAGAACTCAGAAGGCTCAATAACCTAATATTAATATTCGTAAATGCTATCTGAGTTATACTCTATTGTGTAGGATATTGGTTAGCTAGGAGTACGATGGACTTGTTTACTGGCCCAAATTTTAGCAATATCAAATAAATTGTAGTTGTTCAGGAGATTAAAAACACAACCCATTGATGGAATATCTAATGGTAGTGTCGAACAAGGACAAACAGAAAACGAGTACAACAGTTATCTTCTAGATATAGCTTTGAAGATCATAGTCTTGCACATCACCACTAAACCAATAGCTTGTGAAAAGCATAATATGTATGAAAGACATAACTTAGTCATAAGTATGGAAATCACCAAAATAAGCATAGGGCATATTCATGTTAATATCATGTAAGTATAAATATGTGACACAGGTAAGAACTACTTTGTCCAATATGCTTGAGAACCTATATATATAGCAATGACAATGCAAAACAAGTTCTTCCCTTTAGTTGGTGTTCATAAGTAAAATAATAAGTGTAAAATAAATAAATGTAAAATAGGTGATTAAAGTAAGGGGGAGTTTGTTCTCTCCATCTAAGGGGGAACATGATTTGTGTCTAACAAAACATTAAAACTTAAAGAAAACATGGTTATGGTGTGAAGTGGACCAATTCTAAGAGAGATTGTGATTCCGGTATCAACGAGTATCATGCACTTTTTTAAGGATTTATTCTAATTGCATGAGAATCATGTCTTCTTTTGAAAAAACTGTACTTGACACTAGATTCGATCGTTCTCTCAATTTGGGTGTCACTAAAACATGAAGAATGTTTTCTTTTAAAAGTAGTGTCATTGATCACCAGAATCATTTTTTCTTCAAAAACTAAATTCGTTGAGTTCAAAATGGAGTTTTCTCCCAAGTTCAGCAGTGCCGTTAATGCCAAAGTTTTTTTCTCTCTTAGAATTTGTGTATTTGACAATAGAATCATATTTTCTTTTAGATATAGAGCGGTGTGACAATTGAATTTTCTGGTTGAATTAGTGCATTTACCAAAAAAATAATATCTTACCTTAGAATTGAGCGTAGGTGACACCGGAATCGTGTTTTCTCTCATGTTCTAGCATTTGACACAAGTCTTTCTTTTCTTTTTAGGTATACTAAAGTTGACACTAGAAGTCATGCTTTCTCGTAGAATTAGTGCATTTGACATCTGAATCATGTCTTATCCAAGAATTAGTGTTGATGACTCTGGAATTGTGTTTTATCTTACAATTGGTGCATTTTGCACAAGAATCCTGTTTTCTTTGTTAGTTGTTCATAATGAACCAGTGGAGTTGATCCTAAAATCATATTTCCTTCCAAAATTAGTGCATTTGACTCTAAAAATCTCAATCATGAGTTGTACACTATCATTGGGCTTCAGTTTTGCATGATGTAATACTTTGGCTTCCCATACTTCACTGGTATATGTATCTAGTACCTCATGTAATTCATGTTTTTTATGAAAGAGGAAGTATCGAAGATCTACAAAGCCACATTAAATTTCACCATACAGATAGAAGACACTTTCTTAAAGATGACAAACTATTTTAGACTTAAAGAAGGTATTCTGTGGGCATCTCTAGTTTCACATTTAAATTTGTTCTTCTTTCTGATCTTTCCTTCCTGCTTCTGCCCGACTTATTTACTGTTGATCTAGCTAACAAATCACCTTAAATATTGGAGTGGGCATCTTAATCTAGCCTTTTGTTGTTAGTAGTCTTGTTCCATTTGTAGTGCTAATTTTATCTGATGCTATTATTAGTTTCTAGCTTGGTTTTCACTGTATTCTTCACTTCCTGTTACTTAAATTATCATCAGTTTAGTTGAAGATTCTCCAGAATTTTTATTTGGATTTATTCTTTTTATCTGCATGGTGTATTTGTTAGGACACATAAGCCACTGTTAATTGATGACTGAATAGAGAGAGACGAACACTAATGTTTAAACTATATTCTTTCCGGGAATCTTATATCCATGGTTTCCAAATCTGTTATACATAGACAAGCTAGCTTGTTCTATTGTGGGTTTCTTCTGTTGCAGTGTTGGCTGGACCCCTTCTTTTCTGCTAAAGAGACATGTCTTAACGGGAATTCCTAACGGTCCCCATGAACCATTTGTTGCAGATTCTGTGGACTTTGTGGTTTCTCAGGTGAGAATTTTTATGGATCCTGGTGAACTGTTTGCTTGTAGTTATCTCATATCTGTAACATGCCCTGGGGCAATCTACCTCTGGTCTTCTATACTAGTTAATTTATTATTGTTGAATGAGACTCTGCTTGCTAGAAGATAACTTAGAATATTAGAAGGGTAATGCTACTTCTGAGAACCTGGCATTTTTCAAGAAGGTTTGTTTGTTGCAATGTAGTAATTAAGTAGACAAAAAATGAGAATTTCTAGGGATCTCAACAGCAAAGTTTTTCTGTGGAATAGAAAACTAAGGGCCTGTTTGGTTTGCATTTCAAAAAATAGTATCCGAAAACATTTTTTGAGAAGAGTTTTAAAAAAGTGGTTTTGATATTTTTTAAGATAAAAAACTTTTTTGGTTAGATAATTTCAAAAATAATTTTACAATACAGAAAATAGTAAAACCTGTTTGGACATCCTAAATATATATTTGAACAGTAATTCAAACATTAATAAAAAAATATAAAAAAGAAATGTTTATATTGACAATTTCATAATATATATATATACCCATATCTGAATATCCAAAATTGTTCTCCTTGTTTTCAAAATTTTCAAAGAAAACTCTTAAAACAAGCTACACTTATATTCTATTTTTTGACTCAAATCTCAATTTTTCCCAAAATTTAAAGAACAGAAATGTTAAACAAACAGTTTTGGGTGTTTTTGAAATTTTGAGAACAAAAAACTCTATTGCAGAAGTTAACCAAACACGCCCTAAGAATCCAGGCTGTTCTACACTCCAAACCAGTCTCTTTGTGTGTGTGTGTGTGTTTTTTTTTTTTTTTTTGGGGGGGGGGGGGGGGGGGGGCAGAACACAAAAATAGAGAATTAGCTGTCTGACTTGCAAAACATGCAAGTCTTTGTTTCTAGTCAACTGCATAGCCTGTTTGCCTAAGAGAAGTTGGTTTAGTTTTTCTTATTCTGGAAATTTCAAAAATATGCAGGTTGAAACTCTCTCAAGAGATGACTTGGCCTCCAGATTGACTTTGACAGTTGACGCTGCATCAGTTGGACCTCTTCTGCTTTCAGATTCTTTTATCACTCTAATGGATGTACGTTCAAAGAACTAGTATCAATGCATGCATGCAAGTACATGACATAATCTTTGGATTAAGGTCTTAATTTGCATAAAGTTATACAACGCCCACGCCCAAGGTTAGGTTAGTACCCTTTTTGGATCCTCCCAGCATCCCCTGTTTAATGGTCCAAATTGTGTATTAATCTTTATGTCAATACCAGAAATCAAGTACCAAATTTTCAATATCTCTTAAGAGGTATTAGTTTCGTTTCTGTTCCTAGAGGATTTTCCTTGATAAGTAAAACCAAGTTCTGCTTATATTCTGCGGAAACGTCAAAAGGGAAAAAAAGCTGTTTTAGAGTACAACTCATGTATTAAGGACACCAAAACCTCGTTAGTGTGTGCTTGTTGATAACTCCATGAATCTATTTCTGTTAGAAAAATGAGGAATAGGTATTAATTTCAACCTGTCTTTTTTAAAAAAAAATCTGGTTCTATAAGGTGCATGATTAACAAATAAGGTCTTTCCATTTTCGCTCGTAGCAAACATACGAAACTGGCAAATAACTTGCTTGGGCTAACAAACACAAGGTTCTGAGTTTGAATATGAGAGCAACCACTTTGTGCGAATAATGCTAAATTTTGGGTCTTTTTCCAGTCCATTCTTCCAAATACCCTCAATTGACAGGACTAAACTGAGTAATGACCTTTTTTATGCATGCACTCAGATTTAACCTTGAATGGTTGATATTAAATGCGCAATTGTCTAAGAAGGTGAGCAAACTGAAGCTCCACTACATTAATTGTTGTTACAGCTCTCTTGCCATCTAGGTCTGATACAGATTTTTTTTGGTTGCTTTTCCCCCATCTCTTTGGGACATGTCGACATTGGCTGCATAATGTAGTATGAGTTCAAAGTTTATTTTATGGCCTTTGGGATATTTTGTGTATCATATGGTTTCTGATGCTTCTTGAAGACAAATGACTACTGTTCAATCCCTCAACAACTCAAAGATCAAGTGATTGAAAGGTACCCTGGTGCAAGACGAGCATACTTGAAGAGTGGTAGCGATTTTCCGTTTCTTTCACGTCCAGATGAAGTTAATCTTCATCTTCAGGTATATGAAGCTTTCTATCCATCTTTTTTTTTTTTTTTTTTGTATTTTAACTTCAGATTTAAGTAATGCATGGAAGGATTGTCAATGATGATTGTAATTGGACCACTTTTGTATTTTAATTGGTATCTGTAACTCGACAGCTACACCTCAGACGAGTTGGTGTCGAAGCTCGGCCCGACTTGGTCCCAGGCATTCCAAAGGATGGTACTGGTGGAAGTTCTAGTGAACAAAATGATGGAAGAGAAAATGCTGATGATGCACCAAACGGTGATGGGAGAAACTCTCAGAGTCCTACGGGTGAAAGTCAGCCACCACCACCTCCAGAAAGTACAGATTCTCAAAATATAGACAACCAGCTCCTCAGCAATGCAAAAATCTCTGACCCCAATGGGGAACTATTGGCATTTCTGTTACTGCATGCATTACCCAAGAACCAGCAACAGTTGATTGCCTCAAAAGCCTTTTTGCACTTTGCATTGGACGCGTTTCTTATATACCTGCTTCCTCTATATCTGGAGACATTGTACATTAATTGGAACTATTTCTGGAAATTTAGACAGTTTGTGTAGATGAGACTTTGTACATTGTTATTTCCAGAAGTTCTTTTTTGTTTTTTTCGTTTTTTTGTTTTACAAATTCAAGCGACTGGTGCAAATTGAATATAAGTTTGTCTAGTCTGTTCATGTTTTGGTTGAGATATCTACGGTGTATTACTTTCATTGCATTTCTAGTATTCTGAAGCAATTTGTTGTATTAAGATTACTTTTGTGAATCACTGTGAGTTTTTAGCTATTTTTTTAGCTGTCTTTATAATCTAGATGGAAGAGAGGATTGTGTCTGACCCAAAATGTCGTAGGAATGCCAGGACATGAATGCTAGCATTGGGTACAATTCCCATCGAGCTGCATGAAGGATCATTTGTAGACGACTTAAATATGCGATGGGTATTATAATTGGCAAAGTGACTTTGTTGTCACGATTTAATGAAATTTGGTTCTTTGTCATTTTGATTCGTGATTTAAAATAAAAAAAATAAAAAAAAGGAATGCTAGTATTGGACTTGCATTATGATAGCATTGAGATTAAGCATATAATTCCCATGGAAACCTTAGAAATCCAACATAAGCAAACACTTTGTTCATTACCCTTCAAATATCAATGAAATTGCTCTAATATTTATGTATGTGCCTTAAAATAGTGGTAAAATTGCTCTAATATCTACATACGAGTGATCCCAAGGATCGAAAAAAGATATGAACCCAAGATAAAATCTATACTAATGACAATTTCGGGGTTTAAAAAATAAAACCTTTTTAAGAAAGGTAGATATATGATGGGGAAAAAGGAGATTTTTTTACTTTGCTTTTTCCTACTTTTTTGCTGCTCCAATTTCTTTTTTGGGAAAAAGTAAAAATCTTTTGAACAGTAATGTCTTGGTGCCCTTTGAAAAAAAGTTGAGTAAGAAGAAAACGCACCACTTTTCGAATTGAAAAAAACAGACCTTTAATTTGAAGTTGGCCTAGTAACAGTAGAAAGGTAAATCGAGATCGTGCAAGCAACTCCCACCTCTAAAACCCAAAGGAGAGAGAGAGAGACCTTACCATGTTAGACTAAATGAGATAGATGTTGGAGTATAATTGAGTCAAATTATTTGGACTCAGTTCAGATAGGACTTGACTCAAGTTCTGTTTTTATTCTAAACAAACAGAACTTGAATAATTTTTTAAATTCATTTAAAAAATGAGTCTAAAATAGGTCGGTTTACGTATATATAAAATAGTTGAGTTACTCGAATTCGACTCATTTAGACAAATAATATTTAGGCTCGTTTAAAAAAACGAGTTCTACAAGCTCAATTCGAATTCATAAAATTTGACTAAATTATCAGTTCTAGCTAAATTCCTCTTATTATGAGGGCAAAACTTCTAGAAAGAGAGACGAAGAGTGAAGATGGAAAAGAAAATTCATTAATTAGAGTTAGATCACATATTCAATGAATAAATAGTGTATCATCTTCTTGAAATTCTTTAAAGGTCTCAATGCTTCTACTGTTCAAACATTATCGTCCTAACCCCTCACATAGTTCGGGGATGATACTGCTCCGTGATTAATTTCAAGTTCAAATCTTTCAAAGGACGTCTTTATTTGTCCTATCCATACGTTATATAAATAATTTTATACAATTTGAATTTACATGGACCACGGACCCAAAAACACTTGGTTGCGTAGGCTTGTCCACATATCAAATTTGGATAAGATTTTGATTAATCCGAATTTAAATCAGATTTCAAAAAGCCAATTCGAATTTGATTTGATAATCAGACTGATTTTATTTTCGTGGTCTATATTCAAATCAGTTAACAATTAGGAATCCGATCCAATCTGATCTGAACAACTTAATTAATTAAACTTCAATAAATTATACCTAAATTTCAACTATTTTTTTAAAATAATCACTTATTTTTTTAGTATTTATATAAAAATCTATATAATAAATCGGATCGGATCATAATCAAATCGGATATATATATATATATATATATTCAAATCCAAATTCATAAAATATAAGACATCGGATTCGAATTCAAATTTAGATTATCAGAAAAAAAAAATATTAATCCATATCCGATTAATCAGATTCGAATTAGGATTACATCCATTGATATTGTTGAGACATTATTTTCTATCATCCGACAAAACCGGAGGTGTGTTAGAGCACAACCGAACAATTGCTGAACATTTGAAAATGAAGGCACATTCAATATTCATCCAACCTGGGCGGTCGCGAAATTCATTCATATTCTTCTCTCTTCTTCGTTCAGCAATGAATGCAGACTATGAATATATATATATATGAGTTTGATTTGAGCAACGAATGAGTTATGACATCCAAGTTTACTATCTTTTTGTTCAAGATATGATTTTACGCTAAAAAGATTAGAGTCTTTTGAGATAATTTTTTTTGTGACGGTAATGAAAAGTTTATTTGTTACCACAAATTTTATTTGAGACGACCGTTATTGTCATAACGATTTTTTTAAATTTCACTTATCATGACGAGACATGCCATCACAACATCTTGTCATAATAAGTGAAATTTTAAAAATTCTTTATACCTACAAAACAGTTCGTCTCAAATAGTATTTATAAAATCTAATAATTTTTTTATGATAGTACTATCGCTACAAAAAAAATCTTTTCTTCTCTAAAACATGTTTTTTTTAACACTGTCGTTGCAAAAAAAAAAATTGTCTCAAAAGATCATAATTCTTGTAATGTGGGTTTAAATTACAATTAAAAAAATACAACTTTTTGAGGCAACTTACACTATTTTTTGGAAAATTCATTTTGGGTACTTATGATTGATCATAATATTTCAGTATATATCCTAAATGTTAGAATCGATTCTAAACATCTCAAACAATAATGTTATACTTATTAAGTTTTTCATCCCAAATGATGTGAAATAATCTTCGTCATTGAATATTAATAAGACTTAATTATTTGATAGTAAAAACTGTACCACATTACTTGAGATAAAAATTTTGATAAAAAATCTTAATCGGCATAACATTGTTGATCGAAAAAATACTTTTCAATATCTTGACTTATCTTGGATATACAAGTCTATGTTCCTTGCAAATTTTGCAGTTGGTCCCTTTCCTTAACCTCATTTCAACTCTTTAAACCATTTTTAAGACTATACCACTCCACTCCCTTGTCAATCATGTCGTGAATGGTGGGAAGATTATGGAAGCAGTGTCACATTTCAATAAAATGGCATAATTTTCTTTGCCATGATGGCCCTTCGCTTTCTACTTCAAGCTTTTAGTTTCTTTTTTAACCCTTTCAAGAAATACTTTAATGCTGGGTGGGTTGGTACTTCACCCCTCGGACCCATTGATAATGATGTACATAAATATTTTGTCTCACCCATTAAAGTTGGTGATTTGCTTTCTTAGGTTGAATGATTGGGGCTGCATATATATTGAAAGCTCCATGGAGACCCACATTGCAGCTCATAGTTTCCTGGGCTCAACAAATTAGAAAAATTAACATCGATCTGTATGCTGTGAGATTGTTTCACTATGATCAAGGGATTACAGATTCTCGTCACAAATTTATCTTCCCATTTATAGGTATAGCCAGTAATTATCTATTACAATGTTTGAATTATGTATTTATAGCATTAGAGAAAATACCCATAAAAGAGTAAAGAAAAACTTGGAAGAGGGTACAATAAAACCTCCAAAGAGAGAGAGAGATATAAGAAATAAACGTTGTCTTTGGTAAAAATTGACTCCTTAGTCTCTTGTTTGGCAGAATGTTGCAGAAAAATGATTAACTAAGCTGGACCAAGCTTACAAGTTATATCACAACCAAAGAATGCATCCACCTAAATTGTGCCCCAATGTACAAATTCTGTTAGGCCAAACCCATCGTCTCATTGCTGATGTAATTACATTGTGATTGAATTTTCGATTAGTATATCACAAATTTCCAAAGAAACTTATATATATCACATCAATACACCTAACCAAAATGCCAAAACTGTTTATTTGCTCAGCCAATAATATACGAGGCTAATCTCACTTTGTACTCCGAAATATATTTTAATTCTCAATTTATACTGTCAAATATTAAAATTTTTAATTTGTATTCTCAATGTTATGAATTGGTAGCAATGTGAACCTGATCCATACTATCATTTAATTTTTCATCAAAAATTGAAATACGGGAGGTGCAAGTACTTCGGACATGAAGATGAGATATGTCTATCGCTACAGATCTTCTGCAATTAATTTGACACCGTTTTTGTATCGAAAAATAAGATTTTATTAATCAGGTAGAGGCTAACCGTATTATATGTAACATACATAAGCTCATGCGCGAAGCACTTATAATTCACGTGTTTTAATTTTTAATGAAAAACTGAACGACAATTTAAGTCTGGTTTACATTGGGACAAATTCGTAACATTGAGGGTATAAATTAAGATTTTTAATGTTTGAATGTGCAAATTAAGAATCTAAATATTTTTTGTGCTTTGAAGGTATTATAAAAATTTAAGAGAGATATTGTTGTCCGCTAGATTAACATATTTAAGATCATTCCATAAATTTATTGAAACTAACTATTTATATAATAAAACAAGAATGTGTTTGAATTTTATATCAGTCATATTTTTTTTTTCAAAACTATCACCAATCATTTATCTCGCTCATCATTTCTTTGTCAAATCACATCACTTATTTCTATCACATATTTAATCATTTATATATTTTCTCTTTAAAAATATTGCACCACTCATTTTTATCATATATTTAATTATTTAATATTTAATTAATTTATAGTTAACATATTTTTAAAAAATTTAATATAATGGAATCAATTTTTTAACGCTCGAATTTATATTTTATCATGCTTTCAGACACAAGTTATGACTAATATTTTATATTATAGGCACGTGGTTAAGTATAGAGCAATAAAAAAGCTTGAGGAGGAATCCGAGGTGAAGAAAGTGACCTTTTTGTCCTTTGTAAGAAAATGGGTAGAGATAAACTGTCATTTACTGGGGTAATTTTTTATGTTTAATTGCGTCCTTGTATCTACCCTCTCACCGGCTATTTTACTGACTGCTTTGAAATTTCTAGCAGCTCTAGCAACCCAATGGGCCTGGAAAATAGTCAACCCTTGTGGTTGGCCAAGACCAAGTTAGGTTTCCTATCCTTTGACTTCATACTTTGAAAAATTATAGAGAATGAATGTCAGGATCTTGGACTAGATTGCTAAGCATGACATGCACCTCTACGCACCCCCCATTGTTTTAGGTTGCAGTATTGATTATTGTTTTTAGAAGGCATTGGGGCTATGATACAGAAAACGGATATGATACGAATACAGATATAAATATGAGATATAGGTATGATACGATATAAATATAGTGATACGACAAATCTAAAAAAATAAGATACAAATGCGGCCAAGATACGATAATAATAAAATATATTTAATATTTTTATTATTTTTAACTAATTTAATACTTATATATTTTGGTAATTCTTTAACATATAATAAGAAAAATTAATAATTCTTTTTAGTTTTAAGAAAATATAGATTGTGTCGTTGTAGTATATTCACAAAGTGAAGTGACTAATTAAAGGAATCAAAGTTAAAATTTATCTAGTATTTAGAAGTAATTTTTGCTAAGATTATAATGTAATAACTTTATTTTATACCTTTTAACATGTAATTGTAGATAATACTTAAAAAACACTTATGTGCCTTTGAAGTAATATAAATTTTTTATTCATGTATTGTATGGTGTGTAAATTTGAAAAAAGATGTTAAAAATTTAACTAAAAAATTATATTTATCATATACGTAAAAGGTGTATCCGATACGGCGATACGTATCTTCTTGTATCTGACGAGTATCGTATCCGATACAATTACGTCAACCTCAATAAAGTATTCGTACTTCATAGCATTGAGATGTATCAGGGCATTACAAAATTATATATGATGATAAACACAAAATGTTAGATATAAAAATAAAATAAATATGATGAGAAATTCAAATTAAATCATATTATCATAAAATGATAATATCTGATTCCCTAATGATGACATGGGCGAATCGAAATTAGCTCAAAGATGTCTCGGATGGATTGAGTACGTTTCGTGTAATGTGGCCGAATTGTGTGAGGCTCATAATGTTTTACACTTGTATCTGTATTGGTTAATATTTTGAACCATGAAATCACCAAGTTTTGGATTCCTGCCACTTCATTTTCATTTATTTTCTCTAAATTCAAGTGAAAGTGACCTAAGTTGAAAAGGACATTGAACAAGGAACTTGTCTTTAAATTAATTTGAACTATGGTGACCATTCTTAAAAGTCAAAAGAGTAATCGACACAAGCCTAGACATATAGAAAAAAAAAATACAAGGACATTGAACATCAAACTCAACATAAATACAAAACAATGCATTAAACAATTACAAGTTGAATTTAAAACCAGTGACATTAATAAGTAAATGATCCCAATGCATCTAATACCTTGTACCCATAAAAAAATGCATCATCTAGTGATATTAATATGCCTCCGGGAGATGTTTGAATTCAAATACAGACACGCTCCATTGGAGTTTGTTTTTCTTTTTCCCTTTTTTTTTTAAGTATTTAACAATCATTGGAGTTGGTAGAATGCCATATTTTTTGAAACCGAAAATTTGAATTTGAGATTGCTTGAAAGTTGAAACGTTCACCGATAAAGGATAATATACGTTCTTTTATTAGCTTTTTATTCAAAATTATGCATGACGTGCCTAAAATTGTTGTCAAAGAAATGACAAACAAGGATTAAATTTTTGTTTTAGTATAGTTTTGGTCTAACAATTCAAATATATCAAAACACTTCAAACATTGAAATTTTCATATCTTTCGCCTCTATTGTGAAACCGTTTCCGCAATTTTGATAAAAATGAAGTGAAATTTTGTCCCTGATCTTCATCATGTGAAATACAAGTGATTGGTGGCTTTTTATAGGGCCATCAACCATTATGGTCTCATTAATTAATTCTGAAGTAGATGCAGCATGATGGCTACCAAAAATGCATACATAGCCACAAAATAGGAAGATATTCTTACCACACATATCCTGTCCCTTTTAGGGGTATATTCTCTCCCCCCCCCCCCTCCCTTTTTTTTTTAAAAGAAAAATAAGTAACTCGTTACATAAAATATTGTACATTTTTTATTATGAAATTAAATTTTCTTTTGTTATAAAATATCTAGACTTACACCGATTACTCTCTCAAACTCTACGGTTATTAGCATGACTTAAGTTAATATAAAACATGTCCCAGGTGTGTGAGAAAGATTTGAAGATCAATCGTTGAATTATTTCTAAAAATTAAAATTAAAATTTATTAATATAAATTAAGAGCAATGTTACAGGAACTTAAAAAATTAATTTAAAAATTAGACTTGATATTTAGAACTATTGATTTCATTGTGAGTCTCAGTATTTATTGGAGTTCATTACCTATTCAATAGTTGAAATTATCAAATCTAATTTTTAAGTGATGTAATATTAGTCGTAAATCAATGTGTTAAATAGTGATATTACGTGTGGACAATAACGTAATGTCCCCCAATGCCGGTCTTTGAAAGCTGAGGGCTCCCTTGGTGTCTTTCAAAAAAACGAAAGTTCATCATTTTGAAAAATAAACACAGGAAATGCAAAAGTCTGCCAAACCAGCATGAACTAGTTCACACTTGTCCTTACAAATTACCCTTGTATGTCCAATGGATCATCTCTTACATGTGCAGCTGATTTTCATTCCAAGAAAAGTCCATCAATCTGACGGTAATCATTGACTACTCCGTGATTCTGCAGATGATGCGTGCTTCCGTCAGAGAGGTCAAAAAGTCATAGACAGTTGAGGGCCTTGAGGCTTTTCGCTCCAACTAGTACAGCAGTACTCTCTCTCACTCTCTCTCTCACACACACACACTATACAAACTTACAAACACGTTCTCTTTCCCACATTACATACACACTGATACACAAACTGCTTCTCTTACTCCGAGGAGACAACAAAAGTTCATTGCGGCAGAACCCAAATTCAGAATAGATACTTACACAGCTTCTTTTTAGTGTTTTTTGAGAGAGAACAAATCTGGGGAGCAGAAGAGAGGATATTTTAGAGTTCTGATCCACACCCAGAAATGGGTACATCGAACTTTTTCGTAACTTTCATTCTTTTTCTTGCACTTCTGCGTTTACAAAGTGTTTATGGAAATGCCGAGCTGAGAGCTCTAATGGAGATAAAGTCTTCTTTAGACCCAGAAAACAATTATCTCTTCTCATGGACCAATAATGGTGATCTATGTAGTGGCACATTCGAGGGTATTGTTTGTAATGAGCACAATAAAGTGGCCAACATTTCTCTGCAAAGCAAAGGACTCAAAGGTAGAATTTCGCCGGCGGTGGCCGGACTAAAGTGCTTGTCGGGTTTGTACTTGCATTACAACTCTTTGACTGGGGAGATTCCGAAAGAGATAGCAAATCTTACTGAGTTGACTGATCTGTATCTCGACGTGAACAACCTTTCTGGAAGCATTCCTCCTGAGATTGGAAGCATGGCGAGTCTTCAAGGTTCGTATGTTGTTAATATAGAAATGCAACTTTCCGAAAAAAAATATAGAAATGCAACAAGATTGAACCTTTATAGAGTCCTGTTTTTGGGTTTTGGGATACTGCCCCACTGTAGGCAGTGAAAATTGTTTGTCTTTTTCTTCAAGTTACCTAACTGGGTTTTATTGGTATAGCTCTTTAGCTAGAATAGATTGTGAGCTGTATATAGGCCTGAATTTCTTGAAATATGGTTGATAGGTGATTTATGGATTTCTTCTTTGTGGGTTTTGTTTGATTTTGGGCAAGTGAATTGTCACAAGGTAGATAGCCCTAGTGGTGACAGGCTTCAATTTTTCAGTCAGATGACTTCGATGTATGGTTTTCTGTTTTCAAATTGGCTGAATTGTTCATCAAATCATATTGCACAAACTGGGTTCTGTCCACAATTTTATGTAGAACTGGATAAAAAGTTTCAATCTTGTTTAGGAGTTCTAATTTTTGAGACCAAGCTTATATGAATACAAATCTGTTGTTTTCAGTTCTGCAGCTAGGTTGTAACCAATTAACGGGTAGCATACCAGCAGAGATTGGGTTCTTAAAGAAGCTAAGTGTCCTGGCATTGCAATATAATGGCATGATCGGTCAGATTCCTGCAACGTTAGGGAACTTGGGGATGCTGAAAAGGCTTGATCTGAGCTTTAATCAGCTTTCTGGCCCAATTCCTATAAGATTAGCCAATTTACTCCTACTGGAGTTTCTAGATGTTCAGAATAATACCCTCTCTGGGGTTATCCCTCCTGGTAAGTTGGTTACTTCTATCCTCCTTTTTTCTCCCTCAAATATCAAGATAGCCTCATTCGAAGATCTTTTCTCTTCTGTTCAGCGTGTAGACCAAACTGACTGAAGTTTTTATTTTTTTCATTTTTCATGGATGACAATGAAGCTTTGAGAAGGTTGAATGGAGGATTCCACTTTGAGAACAATCCTGGTTTATGTGGTGTTGGGTTCTCTTCATTGAGAGTTTGCACTGCTTGGGACGATGTAAGAGTTGAACCCATTGTTCCTATAATAAATAATACTGCTCCCGAAAGTATGCCTCGGGCTGCTAATTTTCATAGGCATTGCAACCAAACACATTGCTCAAACTCTTCGAAACTCCCTCGATTTGGCATTGTTGCTGGGGTTATTACTGTAACTGTCACGTTGATTGTTGTTGGATGCTTAAGCGTATTTCAATACCGTCGGCGAAAACAGAAAATTGGGAGCTCATCTGATACTTTTGACGATCGTATTAGCTCTGAACAGGCCAAAGAATTCTCCTCGAGAAGTGCCTCTCCTCTGATAACTCTTGGGTATTCGAAGGGATGGGATCCTATGATAGATGGTCAAAATTGCAATGGGTTCTGTGAGTTTTTGCCTGGCTTTAAGTTTAATTTGGAAGAGGTTGAGTCAGCAACTCAGCACTTCTCAGAGGTGAACTTGTTGGGGAAGAGCAATTTCTCTGCAGTCTACAAAGGTATTTTAAAAGATGGATCCATTGTTGCTATCAAGAGCGTTAGTGTGATGAGCTGTAAGTCGGAAGAAGCAGAGTTCATGAGAGAGCTGAGCTTATTGACCTCTCTGAAACATGAGAACCTTGTTAGGCTGAGAGGATTTTGTTGTTCCAAAGGCAGGGGTGAATGCTTTCTCATTTATGATTTTGCTTCTAATGGAAATCTGTCTCAGTATCTGGATGTTGTAGATGGAAGCTGTCCAGTTCTTGACTGGCCCACAAGGCTTTCTATCATCAGTGGGATTGCAAAAGGTTGGTTTTACTCTAACATTGTTCACAGTAGCTTGCATTCTGACTTCTAAAAGAACAAAAAAATTTATATTCAACTCCTATGGTGCACAGTTCCAGCATGCTAGTGGACAGACTAGACTTAGATGAACAAATGCAGTCAGAAACATTGTGCAGCTTACTCTCTTTTGGTTTATCCAGCCAACTTGCATTATTACAATCTCTTTTAATCTGTAGTGTTCTCATGCCAGAAATCAGAACTTAACCAGTAGAACAATTATATGTGATATGATGTTCTCAAATATTAGTAATAATAGTTAAACTCTCTGCAATCATGCAAGTAGTTACCCAAAAGGACTAACATATCCTTTTACTTATATCTTTGATCCTCTGACCAATATGTTGGCAAAGAAGACCTTCGGACTAAAATGTAAAATATATCAGGTTTACTACAGAATCAATTGATTATGTTCTTTGAATAAAAGAACAGAGACGGTTACATTAATTGTTTCCTTTGGTGTGTCTAAAGGTCTTGGTCCACAACTGAAGAAAGTAGTTGTAAGCTGCACATATTGGGTACATCCCAAATATATGCGTGTTTTCCTTATGTGTGACTATTCTGTTTATGTTTATCTACTATGTTTGATATATACGTACACAACTATGCATATCAAATGGTTTGTTCTACTAGCCTCTGCTAAATTATACATGTTTCTGGCCCTTCACTTTGGACTTTTGATGTACCATGGAAATTAATCTTCTCAATCATATCTTTTCTTTCCTTTTTTCTCTCTTTAGTTTTACAACTTACACATTTTGTAAGGGAGTTCACTGCATAAAGTTGAAGGGCAACATCTTTTGTGGAAGCTTAGAGCTGATTTTATACACAATCCGTTGTGATACCATGCTATTAAAATGGGCCAATTCTTGAGGGTTTTGTTTCTTCAAATTGTTATGCAGATGAAGAACATGATAAAGCTTTACTTCGTGACAGAACTTTTTGAACTTGCGTTCCTTTTTCTATTTCTTGGTGTTTTCATTGATTCTCAGAAAACAGTGTAGTATTTTGTGTATCTAGATGAGTGAAGTTGATATATATAAACCTGGAGGCTTAAATTCCATTTAGTCGATTTTTCAATTCATATTTTGTTTCAAATAGGTATTGGATATTTACACAGCAGTGAAGCAAACAAATCCGGCATAGTTCATCAAAACATATCGGTGGAGAAAATCCTCCTTGACGAGCGTTTCAACCCAGTGATTTTAGATTCCGGTCTGCTTAAGCTCCTTGCAGATGATGTTGTCTTCTCAGCCCTGAAAGTCAGTGCTGCCCTGGGATATATGGCTCCTGAGTACATTACCACTGGCCGATTTACAGAGAAGAGTGACATGTTTGCTTTTGGGGTGATCATCCTTCAGATCCTCTCTGGAAAACGAAAACTCAGCAACTCAATACGACTGGCAGCCGAATCTTGCAGACTTGGAGATTTTGTTGATCCAAATCTCAAGGGCACCTTCTCTGAATCTGAGGCTGCTATGTTGACAAAAGTTGCACTGGTTTGCACCCATGAGCTTCCAGACTACAGGCCGACCATGGCAACAGTAATTCAAGAGCTGACCAAGGCTAGTGGTAATTCTTGATGGTGGCCATCACCTCGTCTAAACTGAGGAGCTTATGATGATGACGTGATGATGATGAGAATATGACATGGGATCTCACTCAGCATTCTCCTGACGACAAAAGCTTCGCTTGGTATGCATATTAGTACAGCTAGGGATCACAAATGTTGTTACCAAAAAGAAAATCCCAAAAGGTGTGGGATTATAAATCATTTGGGATAGGATACCCCATGTTTCATCTCATTGGAAGGATCCCATCAATATGAGGTGTATAATGACACATCATTTGGCATTTGTTTTTTGGTAAATTATTTGGGATATATAGCTTTACTCATGTAAATTAAGGTTGGTTCTTTGTAGATTCCAGTGGAGGTGCAGAGTTGCTGGGGAAAGTAATTCCCCTTGATTGCTTGGCTGTAATTAATACAACTATGCTGACACCACCTTGAAGTAGAAGCTCAAAAGTAATAAAAGAAATTGTAATGCTTACGATTTGTTTCTGATTGTTTCCTTTCTTTTGACGCCAAATTCTGTAACCCTGCTGATACTGAGCCACCTGCTAAATTTGCTCATGTGAATCAATGGAAAAATAAATTATCTATGTAAAAGGCAGTGTTTGGGTTGAAAGTTACTTAAATTTCAGTTTTTGTCATGATTCTCTAAGTGGTGGCTGTGACCTGTTCCTCTAGACATGGCTGCAGGCATCTTTTGTTGTGGCCTTAAAATCTTCTATTGTTGTTTTTCTGCATATTATGCCGACAATTATTGCTTGTAAAAATGCTGCAGATTCATTCTTACCTTTGTTTCATTAAATTGGAAGCTCTCTGGAGTCTGGATCCTGACAAGGCATCTTATCCTTGGTTGTCTCAAACTTTCCTACCGAACCTCAGGCGGTAATAGTGATAAATTATAAATTCAGACGTCTTGAGTTAGAATCTTGACAATCTCTTTAGACCAGGCAATAAAAATTTATCCCTCGTGAATACACTAGTCCCGACATGAATGACCGAACCAGGAAAAAAATTAATCGAGATGCACGCAAACTGTCTAGACACCCTTGAACATTGAACCAAAAAAAAAAAAACTTTCCTATTGAATAAGCAATTACATACTTGAGATTAAGGAAATGACTGTCTGAAAAGGTCAATTCACTGAAAAAACCAAAATTTATGACTCAATAAAAGCAAGTTACAAATAAAAAAAAATTAGAATCGATCCTAAAATGTTTGGATCAATCACAAACAACACGATGTATATTATATACGCATTAGATTGAGTTATAACGTCAACCTTATTTTGATTGTAACTTTCGCTAATCCTACCATTAAAATAAACATCATAAGATCATACAAATTGCAGTGAAATGACACTCGAAACAGCCACAAAACATGTCAAATACCCTCATTCTTAACTTCTGAGAATCAAACTTCCTTTTGCTACCTAGCTTTGCTGTCTCAGTGGTTTGGAATCTGCTTGTTCGTAAGCTTACCTTTATCACCAAACCAAGAGCAACTATATGTCGCCCTATGAGTCCTTTAACTGCTTGGAGGTACATAGGACAATATTTGCAGGACCATTCAAGTCCACAAGAGCAACTTTGTTCCATAAAAAACATTCTGAACAACTGCACTGTGTTGTTGGTGTTCCAGATACCACTCCGCAGGCCACCATTCTGGCCTTATGGTCTCAACATTCACGTCTTCCCCTTGTATGGTCAGAGAACCCGGGCATTTGAAGGCTTCTTCCAGACGCAAAAGCCCCAGGCCACGACATCCAAGTGCAGTGGTGACAGTTCCAGTCTTTTTGCCTGATGAAGCTACAATTATATCTGACCCAGGAGCAACTTTCTGCTCCATCTCTGAATGAACAAAAAAGGGAAAGGTTAAGATACACCAAGACAACAAATATGATGGAAATCACTGAAACCAAGTTTACCTTTTCCGATATCATCGAGAAACTTCAGAGAAATTAAACACTTTCGAATGACCCTACGGTGATGTGTACGGGCAATGAGTTCCTGGCCTACATAGCACCCTTTGTCAAAGCTTATTGCGTTTAGACCAGCAAGATTGTATTCAAGCGGAATTGCCTCACCTGAAAAGGTTAATATCAAATTGAGATTCAAGATAAAATCATAACTTCGAAGGTAAATCGTAACTTCAAAACCCGGTAAAATGAAGGGAAAGGAACTGGACATCACTGTTTCAAATCAACAGTTAGTTTCTTTCAGACCTAAAGGTCCAGCACTGTCAAAAGAAATTTCCAAGAAAAAGAACACAAATGAAAATGGAAAATATGCATGGAACTATATTGAATTATACAGGTACAAAGAGAACACGAGCTCTGAAAATATAGCCTCTGCACTAAAAATGCGTAGAGAGAACAAACTCAGAAATAGGGTAAGTCCAGATGCACCTTTGGGAATCTCAGTTGAGCCTTCAGCAACCCCCCTTCACCAATCTCCAGAGAAGGTAGTTTTCTTCATCAGTTTCCTTGTCAGCCTCAACCAAAGGTGCTGTGAAAGACTCAAAACATCTTTACACATAATCACTTGTACAAGGTTCATCTGATTATCTAGAAAGTGCTGTAAGCCTCTTCCATAACCAATTCAAACACATACCAGTCCCAGAAGCAACAAAATAAATAAGTAAATAAAACTCACGTGTGGTATTTGATGGAAAAATTCCCCTGAATCCAAGGCAATCCAATCTAGGATCCCTATACCATTGTCATCCAAGATGATTTCCACAGGAAGCTGAGATGCCAGAACGATCAATGGCACCACCCCAACCAACAGCAGCAGCCTCTGGTTCTTCTGCAGAGGACGAATTTTGAGCGAGGTTCCCACCATATCATTGCCAACAAGAGAAATATTCTGATACATTCTCGATATCAACCATAGACCTCAACCTGTATCTGCAAGACCAAAATAGAAAAAACTTTCGTTAATACAAATATGGAGACAATATTGGCACCTCCACCAAAAAAAAAGATACTACTGGTGTGTGAAAGAGCAGCAATTTTATCCCAAACACTTTTGATGCACATACCAAGTGACAATGTCTACTTTCACTTTATTGCAAAATCAAAAGAAAGAGTAACAACAAACATCTCTAAGTAACTAATTTTATCTCTACATGATCGGTACTGTTTTGAGAGCTCAATGATCGCAATGCGTGAGAATGAGGACAAGGAGGAGTAAATAACCCGCACAAAGTCGCAATAAAGATCCTAATTTAAGACAATATCCCTCCAACAAACACAAAGTGTACATTTATTCCATACCTCAAAGGGTTGGTTCAAATGGCATGTGTTTCACCTCAAAAGGAGAGGTCATGCGTCACAGGATTTGTCCCCGTTGCATGTGGCACTGTGGATTGCATGTGTCCATGAGGATTAGGTGAGTGCACTAAGTCTAAGAGACCTGGACATCCAAGTTAGGGAAAGGAAAATTAAAATTTTAACCTTTGCCTCGTTGACAATATCACCGACCATATAGTTGTGCCAAGGAAGCAACTAAATGGGGAGGAAAACTCCCACCTTTACGAGTGCATGCAATTGAAAACAACAAACTAATCATAGAACAAAGAGAATAAACCACAGGAAAACCCTGTGCCTGAAACAAGAAGCACAAACCTAAAGCAAAAATTGAAGCCTATAACCTCTTTACCCGTAAAAAAAAAAAGCTAAGCATCGAGCTAGACTAGCACAATCATCCATCTCTAGCTGTTTAGTTCACATTAGCATCACCAGCAAAAATCTATCAGAAAGAGCAAAGAGTACAAATTAACACAATGTATTCCCTCTCATAATATCTCAATCTTTCCTGAGTGAGCAAAGATCAACTGATCAACTAAGATACCTAATAGTCTCAAAGACTTTGGGATGTATATATAGTTTGTGTGAATATCAAGATCATCCCCAAACTTCTAAGGTTGCATAATGCCCATAGAATAGGAAACAAAAAGGTCACAACGCAAGAGTTTTAGCAAAACAAAAGCAACAAATATGTAAAGCAACTTAAGCAGCCAAATATAGCACAACACACTCGAACAGTTACAAGATGTGAAAAATCCAACATTACTTCATCAAGGTCTTCAATAGCTCCTCCAACACAGAAGCATCCACATCCGCAAGCAAATCCAACTCACCGGGTTCTTGGTCCGACCCAGGTCCAGACCAGGTGCTATCATGCTTCTCATCAGCCCGAGGCGGCCTGTACAAAAACATATCACACAGAAACCTTCCCTGAGGTGTCAACAATGCAGCGTACATCGGCGGAACCGATACAGCAGCCAAGTTAGGCGTAGGCGTAGGCAAGGTCGAAGACTTCTCACCCAAGGGTTCACTGAACCTCCGAACATCGTTGGTCAACAGACCCTGAAGGAATTTCACTGTGTCCGGGCCTTTAAATCGGATTACCGATCGGGTCTTGAGTAGAGAGGCCATGGGGCCAACATTTTGAAGATGGGTCTGCTGAGAAGGGTGTTTTCGAGCTGTGTAGTGGATGGTCCTATGGTAATTGTATCTAATAGTTTTGGAGAATTGGAGGTAGGGTTTGTAATGGCGCATTATTAGGTCTGCTTTATGCAAGTTTAGGTGGTTGGAAGAAGGTTAGTGACTGGAGCTTGGCGAGGACTGCGATTATGTCGACAACTGAAGGTGGGTTCTTGACACGTGGAATTAGAGAGTCTAGCATTGTGCCAAGTGGAGCTTCTTTCTTGCTTGTAAAAGCCAGAAGTGCGTTGGCCCTCAACAAAGATTGCTATGCGTTCGAAGAAATTTCTCAAAGAAATTAAGGGAGCTTAGTGACCGGTGCTTGGCGAGGACTGTGATTATGGCGGCAACTGAAGGTGGGTTTTTGACACGTGGAATTAGAGGGTCTAGCTTTGTGCCACGTGGTGTCGTTTCTTGCTTGTGAAAGACAGAAAGGTGTTGGTCTATTAAGCTTGGAGAAAGATTGCTATCTGTTCGATGAAATTCCTGAGTGAAACAGAGGTGGCCCCGAGTCCTTGTTAGTGTGGTGAAGACTAAAGTAGGAGGCTATGCTATGCAATGATTCCTGTAAAGTTTGTCATTGGGTACTGAAACTATTCATCACTTAATTAGGGGTAAATACTATTTCTTTGTGTAAAAATTAGTCTTTTCATTTTTTCGGATAAGAAAGTAGGAAGCCAACTTTAAAACTTAGAGATTACTAATGAACAGGTTTCTCGATAAGCACATGTGACTCTAAAATTTCAATTACATTCATATTCATTAATGTAGAAATGAAGTTCAAGTTTTCTTGGTCTCTTCTCATCAATAGGCTCTGGACATATAAGAGGAAGTGTGGTTGATTCCATAAGGATTTGTTTGATTAGCGAGAGAATGGTGAAAGGTGAAAAGAAAAAAAAAAAAAAAATTATCGATTGTTTAACAGGATACAAATGTTTCTCGAGAAAAAAACTTTTCCGCATGATCAAATTTTTCCGTATTTGATGGTTTTTGATTTTCTCACAAAATCTTCATGAAATTTTTTTTAAGATTTCCCACAAAATCTGCATGAAAATTTCTACCTCTATTTAACTCTTGAAATGTTTAGATTTAACATTATTCCATGGACAAAACCTCAAAAACAGCCCGACTTCCACTGGCTGTCCAGTTAGTACAGTGATCCACCAGACCTTGGGCCAGCTTGACCCTCCACGCCAAGGTGCATTTTGCACATGTAAAAATCAACGGGTTTGGGGAGGCCGGTACCTCTCAAAAAATTTAATAGGATAAAAATATATTTTTTAAAATAATTGGGATAGAAGTACATATGCTAAAAAAAAGTCATAAAAGTCCTTTTACCCCTACCATAAATAGTGCATACCAAATTAAATGTGAGACTTTCAATATTTCTTTTGATATTCGTGTATCATTTGAATTTTAAAATTTCAAAATTTCATATACAGTGACATCAAACAGTGACACACTTAACAAAAAAATAGTAATATCAAACAGTAATACACTCAACAAAAAAAAAATAACATCAAACAATAACACACTCAACAAAAAAATAGTAGCATCAAACAGTAACACACTTAACAAAAAAATGATAACTAAATATTTTTGTTGAGTTTGTCACGATTTGATGTTACTCTTTTTTTGTTAAGCGTGTCACTATTTGATGTTATTATTTTTTTGTTGAGCGTGTCACTGTTTGATGTCATTATATTACGTGTGTGTTAGTGTATGTATGTATATATATACATATGTATACATACATGAACAGTCACAGTTTTGGCATTCCAATCCCTCTGCCGAAGAATATGGGTTTTGATAATTAAACCACCTATTTTACCTCCCACTTGATTTTGGCCAAAAAAAAATGGATGAACGATAATGGGTTTTCATATATTTTGTTTACCGATGACAATAATGGTATTTTAAAAAAATATGCACTTTACTTAAAATAAGTTTTTGAGTTATACTTTTACCTAAATAAGTCTAAAAAATTATACCGACTTTTAAATTCTCCTTTTATTTTAATATAATTTTTTGATTAAGCATTGACTTTTCTTCTTCCCAATTAAGTACGAGAGCAAGTTGTTTCTTCTTTTTTATTTTTTATAGTGTAACTATGAAGATAAGCATATATACCTATAGAGTTGTTATCAGATCAGACAGTGAACTACTATTATTCTTATCTTTGTGTTGTTTTCAAAACAAATGTTTATGTTTTGGTACCAGTGCCTCAGGCATTGCGTCTGCCATTTGTTTTTGTGTGTTTCAGTATCTTTCTGTGTGCTGCCTTATGACACAGTTTGACGTTTAATATTCCTGTGAGTTATCATCTTATTAACTTCTTCTTTATTCTCTTAGGTCAGCTCATGACAACTTGTAAGTTACTCAAACTAGCATGCAATTTCACCTCCCATTAGGGGTGAAAAGAGAGCATTAACGTGGGTTTTGAGCTTTAACTATAATCTCAACTATATTCAAAGAGCAATGGTATAGGACCAACAAAATTGACATAATGATGTGATTAATACATGATCCAATAGCGTTGTTATGACTATAACAGTTGAACTTCTTTGTTACGATTCTATCACTTTATTTTGGCTAGGCCAAATGGGTTGGGCGAATTGTACTTTGCATCCTAAAAAATTTTAAAATTTTTATTCTCAAAAATTAAATTTATCACATTGCACCTTTAATATATCATAAGTGTTATAATGTGACCATTTTATTTATTTTTCATTAAGTTTTCGGTCAATGCCACTAGGTTGACTTTTGACATAAAAAACAACGGAAACTAACAAAAAGACTCTATTCTAATATTTTTTATACACCGAGAGTGTAATATGAAAAATTTAATTTTTAAAATTATAAAATAAGAATATTAAAATCTTTAATAATACAACTTGTTTTTGCCTTTTTGCCAAGCTTTTATGGGCCAGTGCCTAAACCTTACAAACATTAAAATGACTCAAGATTGAATTTATAAATTATAGCTCCAAAATCATTGTTCACCTGTGTGTTTTTTTAATCTTTTAGTTGCTGCAAGTTGTAGGGCTACAACTTAGGCAGCTCAATTCGAACTCAATCCAAAAAAATAGAATTTTAATTGAAAATTTTAATACTTAGTTGAGTCTGAATCAAAAAATATCACCTCAAATTAAATTCGAATAGTACTCATGTTGAAATATCTGAGTTATCAGATTCAACCTTAACCCTATATATATATATATGACACAACTAGGCTTCACCGTTCACTTCAGCGCCTCTCTCAATCTCTCATTCAGCCTCTCTCATTCTCTCACTCTTTCCCTCACTTCCTCCGCCACTCTCAATTTCTAGTTCAGCATCTTTGCTTTGCGATTGTTGTTGATCAACTGCCACTGCTGTTGATCGACTGCTTAGCGACTGTTGTTGTATATTTGTACGTATGAATGAGATTAAAATTGATTTTGGTGTTTGAGAAAACCCTTTTGTTTATATATTTTTAATTGGGTGATTTTGAAATTTATACAGAAGGTCTATGGTTGATGAAATGAATCCTATTATTGTTATTTTTGGGTTTTTTTTTTAGTATTGTTGTGATTACTCTCTGTTTGAGTTTATGAGTTAAAGGTTTCATTTTAATCAGTTAAGGTAAAATATTCAAACTCGTATCTAACTCAAAATCAAGTTAAATTAAGTAATTAAAATTTAACTTGAACCTGCCTAAATTTAACTTGGTCAATACTTATGTGAAATATCTCAAATTAAAATTAAGATTAAAATTTAAAATTATATACTTAATATTAAATTAGAGTTGACCAGCTCTACCCAGACGAATTTCACGCTTAGCAAGTTGTAAGGCAGATGAGGCATTGATTTATTGCTTGACAACGAGTTTTGGCCGCCAAATGAATAAAGTCAGTGTCATTCAGTCGCAAAGTTCATTGTTTTTTACCAACAAAAACCAACTGTTACGAGGTGATACACAAATAAAATACACTTTTCAATATTATATCTCTATTTTTTTTATTAATAAAAAATACATCACCCGCATATTTTTCTTGTTTTATTATTTTTTTATTACTGTGTCATTTTTTTAAATTATGTTTATAAATCATTTAATTTAAAATTAATTATTTTTCATCATAATACCATATAGATACTCTAGCCTTAGATTATCTCTAATGAAAATCTTAATTCTTATCCAAATTTGAATAAAAAAAAGGGGTAAAAAAATTGATTTAATATAAACCTTACTAGCACAAAAATTCAAGTTTAAAGGAAGAGAAAATAAAATTTAAATAAGAACAATTTTAAATTTAAAAGAGTGTAAAATATGACCATTAGATTTTTAAAAGATAATAAAATTTCATCATTAAAGATTTGAGTATGAATTTAAATCTCCCTTAATTAGAATAAAATAATGAATCTACCTTAATTTTATATGGGTATGGATACAATATTGAAGAAAGTTTTTAATTTTTTTTATCTAAATTTAAATTTATATTTAAAAAATAGTAAGAACTGAAGATGCTCTTACATGTAAAACACTAAAACCTTATTTTTTACAAATTAGTTTCAACATGAACTAAGGGGATGTTTGATAAAACTGAAAGATGAAGACTGAAAATTAAATGTTGAATTTTAAGTGATTAATGTTGAATTTTTTAATTCGAAGATTGTTTGTTATTAATTGAAATTTAAGTATTGAATTTAATCAAATTGTTTGACAAATTTAATCAAACGGTTAGTACTTAAGTTGGGTCTGAGTCAAAAAATACCAACTCAAATTAAATCCAAGTAATACTCAGGTTGAGATCTCAAGTTATTGGGTTCAACCTGAACCAGATATATATAAAGCGTAGCACAATTAGGGTTCACCGTTCACTTCAGTGCCTCCCTCAGTCTCACTCAACCTCTCTCTAACTTCCTTAACCTCTCTCAGCCTCTCTGCTTTGCGACTATTGTGGACTGACTGCTGCTGTAGTTGAATATTTGCATGTGTGTATGAGATTTAATTTGATTTTGTTGTTTGAGAAAATCTTTTTGTTTGTATATTTTCAATTGGGTAATTTTGAAATTTATACAAAAGGTCTATGGTTGATGAAAAAAATCATATTATTTTTGGGTTTTTTTTTTTTTTGGTATTATTGTGAGTGTTTTCTGTTTGAGTTTTTGTGTTAAAGGTTTCATCTTTGATAGATTGATGTAAAAAATCTTAACCTAAATCTAATTCGAAATCAGTCCAAATTAAATAATTTGAATCCGGCCAAATTTAACTTGAACAATAATTATGTTGAATATCACAAATTAAGATAAAATTAAAATTAAAATTAAAATTAAAAATTATACACCTAATGTTAAACTAAGTTGACCCGCTCAACCCACCCCAGTTACACGCTTAGCAAGTTGTAAAGCAGATGATGCATTGATTTATTGCTTGACAATGAGTTTGAAAGCAATGGAGCCGCAAAAAGAATAAAGTCAGTGTCAATCAGTCGCAAAGTTCATAGTTTTTGACCAACAAAAACCAACCGTTACGACATCAAAAGTACACTTTTCAATATAATATCTCTATTTTTTTTATTAATAAAAATACATCACGTATATATATGTTTCTTCTTTTATTATTTGTTATTACTATATAATTTTTTAAAAAAAAAAAATTTGTAAAACATTTAATTTAAAATTAATTATTCATATTATTTTTCGTCATAATACCACATAGATACTCTAGTCTTAGATTATGTCTAATGAAAATCTAAATTCTTACCCAAATTTGAATAAATAAAAAAAGAATAAAAAACTTGATTTTGTATAAGCTTCACTAACAGAAAAACTTAAATTTAAAAAAAGAGGAACTCAAATTTTAAAAAAAATAAAATATGACTATTAAATTTTTAAAAGATGGTAAAATCTCACAATTAAAAATTTGAGGATAGATTTAAATTTCCCTTAATTCAAGTAAAATAATGAATATCTCTTAATTTTATATGGGTATGGGTGTAACATTGAAAAAAAAAATCCAAATTTAAATTTGTATTTAAAAAAAATAAGAATTAAAGATCCCGATAAACCTTAACTTTTACAAGTTGGTCTCAACGTGAACAAAACTTTCCCATTTTCAGAAGCCAACTTCAAACCTATCAAATATTAGAAGAAAGGGAAAGCTTACGGTACCAAAAAAAAAAAAAAAAAAAAAAAAAATTGGCATCATAGCGTTGATTACAATTTTTTATAGTGCAATTATATTTTTGAAATGAAAAGTTCCAGGAAAAGATTATGATTGATCATGAGTTTCTCTTGATCAATTATAATTTATCTCTTATGAGTTATAAGTTAACATTTAAAAATTATAATCTAACTTCTAAAAATTATAACTTCGGTATTGATCGCAATTCTCGTCCCTCCATAATCGATCACATCATGTACAAATTATAACTAACACTTTATAAAAATTATAATTTAATCTTAAAAAATTATAATTTTTAGTATGACACCGCCCCTTTGCGCTAGAAGAAACAAATGACTAATTAATTAAGTGGCACTTACAACTTGATATTATCAATATCATGCCGGTGATCAACCACTCTACGCCTGCTTCGACATTGTACTTTCTAACAACTGATATAAGTCAAATTGCTGTTTAATGGATTTTTAAATTGAAAAACTGGCATTCCTATCCTTAAAATAAAATAAAAAACGTAAACGCGTAGTATGTGGGAATGTATGTAAGAGTTATTCACCGTGGAGACGTGGACATGAGGTGGCAAACCTACCAGTCAATGAGATCGTATTACATATCGTAAAAGTCAACCAATCTGGCGGCTGACATTCCGTAGTGTCTTTTGGATCTTACGGACGCGGTTCCTCTTTTGTGGCTGGACCCACTGTGCCCCTGTGGACCATTTCTGCTGCTTCGAGATTTATCCTGCTTAATTGCACCCTACCCATTACATGTATTTTTTGTTTGCCCAAAATGCACGTTTTTCCTCGGTTAATTATTTGCAATTTAGGGATAAATCTTTGGCTAAAACCTGATTTTTTAATTATTTAAATTCATATTTTATTATATTTTTTAATTCATATAATTTTTTTTTTGCTTAACGGTTAGGCATATTGAGGTAAATTTACATCCATTTTAACTAATTATCTCGTCGATCCAATCAAAAATAGATTATCCACATCGAAATTAGGATATACATAAGAGATAAATCTCTTATGACTTAATCTTAAGTAGTTATTAAAATTTAAATTCAAGACATTTAAATTAGAGTAATGCTACACAGAATTAAAAATTAAATTTAAAAAATAAATTTGATAATTATAACAATTAATTTTAATATTTATTAAGATCAACTACTTATTCAATAGTTATAATTATTAAATTTAATTTTTAAATGCACGTAACATTACTTTTTAAATTATAATTTATTTTTATAAGCACCTGATCAATCTTCAATTTTTTGACAAGTCTTGTCTTGTTTATTTATACCACTGGAATTGAAAAGGTTCCGAAACCTGGTTGGTTAGTTTCAGTAAAGAATAATACGTTGTAGTAATCCAAATCAACACGTTGGATTTGAATGGAGCAATCAACGGTCTGACATGACCCTGACCGTGACCCATTCAGGGGTAACTTTTTGTCCCATTTAAGAAGCCAATCTTGACACTCATGGCCGTACCATCGTTTAGATTTGCAACAAAGAAAAACACAACTTGGAGAACAAGAAAATTGAACAACAAAAAAACCCATCAACAAGAAGATTCAATCAACGAATACAAGAAGAGATGAAGCTAGTTTGGTCTCCAGAGACAGCTTCAAAGGCTTATATCGATACCGTAAAATCTGTAAGTAACCAACAAAACTCAAAACCAAGACTGGTATATGTTTGGTTCTTCATCTTTGCTGAGTCGTTTTGATTTGTTTCCTGTGTGCAGTGTGAAGTTTTCAATGAATCAAGCGTTGCAGAACTCATTTCGGCCATGGCTGCTGGGTGGAACGCCAAACTCATCGCAGAAACATGGTTTTCCGGTGGGGTTATAGCGACAAGCATTGGCCTTGCCGTTGCTAGCCGTCACACAGGTGGAAGACATGTCTGCATAGTTCCAGACGAACAATCAAGGTTGGAGTACGTTGAAGCCATCGGAAAAGCAGGTATATCGCCGGAAGTTATTGTGGGTCAGCCAGAAGAAGCCATGATTGGTTTAATAGGTATAGATTTCCTGGTGGTGGATTGCCGTCGAAATGACTTTGCAAGGATATTAAGGGTTGCTGGATTGGGTCACAGAGGTGCAGTTTTGGTGTGCAAGAATGCTAGCTCAAGAACAGCTTCGGATTTCCGGTGGCGGAGCGTTCTAGACGGAAAATCACGGCTCGTTCGGTCAATGTTTCTGCCGGTGGGGAAGGGGTTGGACATTGCTCATGTAGCGACGAGTGGGGGGAGCTCAAATTCCGGCAATGGCGAAAGACGATGGATCAAACACTTCGACAGGCAATCGGGGGAGGAGTTTATCATCAGGAAGTAAGGTCTCTCAATGAAAGAGATCATTGTTTTGTTCAATATGTAAACTAGAGAAAATTTGATTATCATTTGTTTTTTTCTTTTTCTCCTATGTTCAGGCAATAACTATGAGCATGTGACTTGTACAGATCTTTCCCAACAAATAAAAACTCCATTTTACTCGGGTAGTAATCAAATTAGGGTCTTGATGTATTGAAACCGAATCCAATTTAAGAATTCGAGTTCAAACAATTCTAACACCAAATTTATGTTCGAATTTTGGAATATTAAATTAAATCCAAATTCAAGCTGACTTGTATAATTTTAACTCCGATCAAACAACACTCAAAATGAATTCAGACTCGAAATGAAGTTATGCTCCGTCTGATAAGAAAAATAGAAAGTAACGAGGATAAAAAGTATGAGAGATACACTTTATATCATTAAAAGAAGAAAAATAAAAATGATATATTTTCCTTCCTTTGTGATTGGTTGGATGGATGGAAAATAAAAGTTATTAATTTTTATTTTTTTTTGTTGGTTAAGATTAGGGGTGACAATCGAGTCTTATCGTGTTAAATTCGTGTTGAGTCATTACGGGTTTGTGTCGAATATTAGTCACGCCTAACTCAACTCATTTAATTAATTGTGTCGTGTCGAATTACGAGTTAACTTGTTTAATTTCGTGTTCAAGTTAATTAAGTTCGTGTTATAAAATTCGTGTCGTATTCGAGTCGTGTCATCGTGTTGAGTCAAAAATTTTCACCCCTAGTTAAAATAAAAAAATTTATTTTTTTTTCATTTTTAATTTTTTTTTTAATATTTATATATATATATAATATTTCATCTACCTTTTCATTCTTCCTATTTTTTTTTTTTACTAAATATAATATTTTATTTATCCCTCTAATTTTTCATCCTTTTAAATTTTTATCTTTCTTTGTTTTTTCACATCAAAAGAAACATTAGAATTTGGATTTGGATTTGGGTCGATGATTTTATAACAAGGTTAGTCTCCCTGAAAACCGTTGAATGCCTGGGTGCATAAAGTGAGGGCCCTTTCAAGTCGTCTGAGAGGATGTAAAACTAACCTAGCAATCAAATCAGTACGAACAAAGGAGAACCCTTCTTTTCACACAAATTGACATCTGTGTACATGTGCCTGCTTTAACACGATGCCCATGAAAAAGAAAAACCTGCAACATGATTAAGCGCGTGCTTTATTGAATTTAAAAGTATGTTTTGAATAATTATTTTTAAAAAGAATAATTTATTAAAATATAATTTTTTTTCGTAAATATTGCTTGGATGCTCATTAAAAAATATACTTAAATAAAATAATTTTATAAAAATTGTATTTGGATGGTCAATTAAAAAAGTATTTATTTGTATCACAATTACAAATATGTCCTTCATAATCAAATATTTATAGAAGAAATTTTAACCACACTCCCTCAAGTTTATCATATCTTCAAAGACACTCCATCTAATTTCTAAATCTTCAATGACACCCCTTGTCAGATTAAAAATATTAATTGGAATGTAATTTTATTAAATTGTCCATGATATATTTAAAGACAAACTTTATCCACACCCCCTCTAGATAAACGTATCTTCAATGAGACCCCCTCTAGATAAGTATATTTTCAATGAGACCCCCTCTATTTTTTAATTTTTTTACGTAATTAAATTCGAACTGATTAAAATTTAATTCAAGCTAATTAAAATTTATTTTTTTACATTTTAAATTTTGTGCCAATTAAAATTATATTTTTTTTATGTATTAGAATTTGGGCTAATTAAAATTTTGTTTGAGCCAATTAAAAATTATTTTTAATCCACTCAAATCAAATTTTAATTAATTCGCATTGAATTTTAATTGACTTAAATTTTAATAAATCTAATTTTAATTGACACGAATTTTAATAAGTAAAAAAATATAAATTTTAATCGATTCGAAAGAGAATTTTAATCGGTGCTAACAACTCGGGTAGAGTTCAAATCGGCTCAAATTTTAATATGTAAAAAAAAAAATTTAATAGGCTCGATTTTTTTTAAAAATTCAGGAATTAGCAAATAACAAATTAGTATTTACTAACAAATTATTTACTAAAATTTTTATTTATGATTTTTTTTAAAATTTTAACAGATCAAATTTTAATAAAATTTTATGTAAAAAAATTACTTGAGGTTATGTAGGGGTATTTTTGGTGTTTTAGATGAATTTTTTTTTGTTAGAAATAGTAGTTTAATGGTAAGGGGTGTTAGTGATGTTTAAATTAAACTAGAAGGGGTGTCATTGAAGATTCAGAAACTAGAGGAGATGTCCTTAAAGATATGATAAACAAGAGGGGGAGTCGTTGAAATTTTCCCATATTTATATGTGTGTTTTGCATGTATTTTGTTGAAAATGTCAATGGTTATCCCATGATACATTTTGTGGTAACTTATCAAAAATTTACATAAATTTACAAAAATGAAAAGGTAACAACGAGATATCAGTGATCTGAAGACATGATCAAACAATTTACACTCGAACTAGTACTCCAATTGATTGTCACTACACGAAAGGTTTTCTTTTTGACACCTTTGTGACAACATTCATTGTGTCATAATAAGTAACGGCTTAAAAAGTATTGCGATGGTAAATCCTCATCACAAATATTTTTACGACGATATTACTTATCTCTTACACTCCTTCATCTAAGCGATACAATTTTCCTAATGAACTCAAGTGTAAGCTTAGAGTTCACTACTATGGATTTCTTCATCACTCATGCATAAGCTTCTACTATTTGATGCAAATATTTTTTTTTCAAACAAATAAACACTTTATTTTATTACTCAAAAATCATTTACAATGGAATAAAAGGCAAACAAACTCTGTCAACCCAAAATGAATAAAAGAAGCCAAGAAAATTTACATAAGAATCAAAAAATAAGTCACTCATAACAGGCATACCGCTCATTGAACCAGCATCATCAACCTACTCCCCTATTTTGCAGAAAAAGGCAACCTTACTCTTTATCATTAGAAACCAGCACCTTCTTCAATCGAAGAACAGACAACTGCCTTGAATCATGCAATACTGCCATATGAAGGCCAACCTGATGGAAGGTGGAACTATGAAGGCCATCTGTGTGCATAACTATATGAATTCGATCAGGACTGAGGATAAGGATCACTTACATTATATATCAAACAATTCCAACATTTCACAATCATAAGGGCACGAAAAAATAACAATGGGAACATTCAACATATGATCAACCCATCATAGTTTGTTAGGGTTCTTCAAGGATAAATTCTTTCAATTTGCAAGGGGCAAACAGAAAAGAGGATATCTCAAGTTTCAACCAAGTCATTGCAGTAACAAAGAAAACTTCATCTGAATAAATTATAGTCTCCTTTTCCAAAATGGAGAACGTACACAAAAAAAAAAAACAAAAAAACAAATGGAATGTCATAATGGGTGCTTGATGTAAGAATTGACTGATTAACGTCGAGTTTATTCAGAAACATATATATAAATTGGCCTACCCGCATGAGTCTCATGTTTACCCGAAACATATAATAGTATCGGATTAAAAAATATGGATAGCACTCGACCCAATCGTATCAAGATCGATGAACGGATACTTTAACAATGGAGAGAGAGAGAGAGAGTTGCAGGGTATTGGACAGTGCCACAATTAATGCAGTCGGTGTGGCTTAGTTTCTGTTGCTACTTTTCATAGCCAAGCCCGAAGGTGACTAGTGAGAGTCACACACACTGACCATACCCCAGTACTTCCAGACTATTCTCCGCTGCTTTACAACACAAGAAAACTAACAGCCACAAGCACAAGAAAAAATCCATAGCACATGTAAGTCATTTTATCAAATAGTTGGTGGGCATTCTATAAGACTGCCCAATTTTGCTAAAAATTAAATGCGAGAAAGAGCAATGAATTATGGAGGTAAAATTAACAAATGGCTATAGTCTAACAGCTATTACTAATAAAGGAATTTTACTGATAAGTTTAGAGTAACAAATTATTCATGATCAACATATGGAATTCAGATCAGATTGACAATTAAACAAGCTTGTATAGTTAAACATGCAAGAGAGAGAAAATAGAGATGTACTGGCTTGAATTTTAGAGCAATCAAGACATTTCTGCATATCGTCAAGCCGAACAACATCTTGATATGTGCACTTCCAAATTTGAAGATATCGATGAAGGCAATGAGTCCCAGAAGAGATGCAGTGCTTACAACAGCAAAGATTGCAATCAATACAAAATATTTTGTTTTCATTCTTTGGAAGATCAATGTGATGAGCACAAGCGTCAAAGAACTTGTTGTGTAGTAAATTGCTCAGCCACTCTGATTTTCTCTTATTTATCGGTAGTGCTAGACCAACTATTCGAATTATGAATTATGGAAGCAATGCTTTACTTCTTGACTATTCGAGCTCTTCTTCTACTTCTACCTCCACTTCCTCTTTAATTTCTTTGTATTCTTCGTCATCATTGACGTCAGGGTTGGCTTCGGAAGCTTTACGTTTACTGGCGGATTGCTGATGACCCGGGGAGTGAGAAGAAAATGAGAAGTGATTTTTAAAAATAAAAATTAACTATTTTTACTTTTTTTTTATTAACTTATTTAAGTGCTCAAATTATTTTTCCTTATCAAAAAGTGTTTTTAATAAATTAAGCCAACCATTATTTTTTTAAAAAAAGTACTTTTCATATGTTTAAAGTTTCAAAAACACTTTTTTTTAAGTCATGCCAAACACACTCTAAATATTTTAAGAAATTTTCACTCTTTTTTGCAGATTCTTCATCGCTGTAATTGTCTTGTGATCCTGCCGGGAGATTAAAGAGAACAACAGGGGCCTGGACGAAGTTTGTCCTAGAAAGCATTCATTTCTTCTGTTGCCTTTCTTTTAAATTCTGTTTCACACTTGTCCTGCCGAGTAAACTATTTTTCGCATCTGTAGCAATAAAAATGAAACTTTCTTTTAAGTTCTGAGGTACAGTCGTCAATTATAAACATAAAATATTAAGCATATATACAACTTGTGCGATGTAACTCTAGATCATTATGTGCAATCAATCAGTAAAAATGATAGATATCTGAACACCTATGGAAGATATATTCATTACAAAAATATCAGTTCACTCAACTGTCACTTCTATATTTCTACCATCTTTGTAGAATTACAATTAGGTGGCAACAAGGTACTCTCAACTTACTTCAAGCTGTCTTCCAACAATCTTTATTTTCCGACTGCTTTTGAAGGTTTGCGATTAGATCCCATCAGCTTTCTATTGGTTTATCAAATCAGCCTGAGATCTGTGCTGCAGCCCCTTCATATTTACATATTAAGGGTGATATAGCATTTCAGAACATGAATAATGAACAAATGCATGTTGGTGAATCTTACATATATATAGTGCCATGTCACTCACCAAAACTTAGGCTCTGGTAGGTCAGTCCCAACTGTCTCGACTTCTTCTAAAAGCCTTCTTTTGTGAATGTTCCTTCTTGGTTTGCAGCCTTTTCTGCTCTCCAATAGCAGCCCTATGGCAAAAGAAAAAGGGTAAAAAAGATTGTTGTTAAAATGCTGCCCTTCAGAATACAAGGACGGTAATGAAGTATGGTGGAAATGGAAATAGTTACATATACAGCAAGATTAGGATGAAAAGCGAGAGAAAAACACATTAATGGAAAAGAGATCTTACAACTTCGCAATTTTCTTCACTTGCTCTTCTGAAGGAGGAGGTGGTACATAGGAAGCAGCATCAATAATAGCCTGTTTTATTTGTTCAAAAATTGTAAATTTATGTTAACAAAAACCTTGGCAGAAACAAATGACCGCCCATCACTCAGTATTACACAGCCCGACAAACTCTGATTGTAGTACCGCCAGATAGAAAAGCCCACGTCAATGTAGTAGCAGAAAAATAGCCAGATTTTGGCAAGTATCTATTATGTTACCATTTTTTGTGTTAGAAATAATAAATCGCCCCAACCACGCGCCTGTGGACTCATGGCTACAATGAAAACCCTAGACACACGCAATCATCCGCAAACCTTGGTTTTAGGCGGCCAAGGGGACTCTAACTCAAAACGTGCGCATTCGGACCCCACCCATTGGTCGACCACTCAACCAACCCGTGCAGGTGCAGGTGGCAGTGGCAGCATATTACTTGTGCATACAATGTACGGTATGCATTCTCAGGTACCTGTAGTTTCTCCAAAGCATCTTCAATGTTACCCCTGAAAGGAAAAAGTTAGCATGTAATCAGTGAGCTTTGTCAGAAAAATGATCAAAAGAAAGAGTTTGCAGAAGTTCACTTCTGTGTTCTAGTTTTTGTTGAAGAAATCACAAGCTCCCCATCTTTGTTGATACGATTCTTCTCCTGCACATAACTAGAAAAGTGAGAAACATAATGTGACATTGTATGGAAATGTGGAAAGGGGGTATATATGAGGTTCATTCACATCAAACCATCCTTATTTGCTTGAAACCAGAGTTATGGCCCTCAAAAATAAAATAAACAAAGCAAAGAATAAATCAGACACAGGGGTAAAAAGCTCTATAGCCTGAGTGCCTATAACACTTGGAAACAGAAGTAAAGCATATGAGTACCTAATCTCCACACACGCACAAGAAAAAATAATAAATCAAGATCTACATTTATAGCCCCAAAAAATTTCTACAGCCTAGCAGCATAAGAAGTGGAAAAGGGTCAATGCATCAAAATTCACTGGAAATATGCATGATACAAGAAGTAGAGTAGCCCATCCAACGGACATCTACAACCAATCGTTTGCAAAATAAAAACACCCATCCAACTTACCAACTTTTCATAGAAAACCAAATCTACTTATCAAACAAGTGGCACATTAGGTGGAAAAGATAAGAAATGGGAATAACCACCCTTTTTAAATAGGAAACATGATAAGCAATGGTGTTTACTAACCATTTGTATAATCTTCTCCCTCACCCTTTCACTTAACCAATGTGCATTTTTAACATTGAACCGCATATCTACCTTGGTGTTCACTGAAATTAAAATAAATGAAATTAGGACACAAGCTCTGATTCATAGAGGCACCAATTTAAAGACAAATAGCATGCAGTTGTAAAGAAGCAGATCCAAATTACCTTTGTTTACATTTTGACCACCGGGCCCACCACTTCTTGCAAAGTTCACTGTAACATGGTCTACATAATAGCTACAACGAATTAAAAGTATATCAAGAGCAAAGAAATAACATGTCTAAACTACTACATATACTATTTTACCAAGCATAGGTATCAATGTCAGAGGTTGCATAACAAAGCTAGACATCCTTTCCACCCCCAGAGAAAAAGAGGAATAAAAAAGTCTTTATGTTTTACTTTAGTAGCATATCATCAGATTGAACTAAGAGAAGGAGATTATGGAATCCTATGGTTTGCATCAAGTCAATTACACAGTTTAGAATTTTTAGTAGCATATCATAAGATTGAACTAAAAGAAGGAGATTATGGAATCCTATGGTTTGCATCAAGTAAATTACACAATTTAGAACACAACACTTATATCTGCAAATACCTTTCACGAATATCACAAAAGAAGCAAGCTACAGAGCTAACATTCACACCCTTTCATTTTGCCAAAACTTCACTAACAAAGTTAAACAGCTTATGCAATTATTTTGGTTTGGGGAAGGTACTTGGGCACTTATAAACTCATGTCCCAGCCGTGTGGAGATGGAATATAAAACTAAGCTGCAGTGTTATATTGGTCTACCACAGAAGTAACGTACCCAGACATTGTAATTCATAGGATACAGTGAAGTATGTTCAAAATTAAGTATCAACAAAAAGGTTCCAAGTACACTGCCTCACAAGGTTTACTTTTACATTAGCATCCGGGACTTGCCAATCGACTACCTAAAAAGAGTACAGTTGAATTACAAGGCACCATCAAAAATCACCTAGCAATATTCACATTCACTAACACATGAAGGAAAAGAATGTTGGCATTCTGAAATCTGAATGTAGTATATCTTGATGACATGCCATGGCGGTTAAAATTACTGTTTTCACTAACTTGCAAAGATCAGGACTTCAAGCTCCCCGTCATCCAACTGTAGCAGTAAGGGGAGCATAATTCAGTGTAATTACCACATTTGATGATAGATAATGTCAAAAGCTAGGTTTGTACCCAATACCCTTCCCAGACAATGTTAATACTTAATAGGGAATAAAATGACTCTAAATTGGGTGTTACTTGTTGAGCTATATTTTGATGGCATGGATTAAAGCCAATTATGAGAAACTACACTTACTATGTGGTAAAAAGAGGGGGAGAAGGGGGGAGAAGGGAGAGGAAAAATAGAAAGGAGGAAAAAAGTAGAACAGAGGGGCAACCATAAATAATTTCTATGGCTAGGAACTTCTAACAGAATCACAAGCTTTTATGATTCCATTACAAGATGGAAATAGCAACTATAGCTCGGAAAAAAAAAAAAAAAAAACCCCAAAGCATGAATGACCTAGCACCAAACAGGATTTTCCAGGTAGCAGTTTCACATTACCGTCAACAAATATCAAAAATTAAACATTTCACCAAATATTCCTCCTGAAACTTCTAGATAGTTTGTCTCAATTGATCTCATCGACATGTTGGAGAATAGATATTAAGTACATTCACAACTAACAGTCAATTCCTGAAGTTGATTAAGTATCCCCGACTTGACCAATGGGATTAAGTTTTAATTTCCTTGCTTTTCCAACCTTTTCTCCACAAGCAACCATGTTGTAATACATACCGAATTATTTTTGTTATGTTCAGATTGTTAAATCCTTGACATTGTAACTTCACTAGAAGAGAAGCAGAAGAATTCTTATTGTGAAAATGCTACAAAGCCTCGCAAAGCACCTAAATTTAATTTTCAACCGAACAAAATTTGAGCCTCAACATACCGAGAGTGATTTTAGGGATAGGTTCATTTCCGGCGACTTTAGCTCGCTCCGTCGCTTCAAGCAAGAGTTGTTGAACCTGAGACAGCCGTGCCGACGCCTTCTTTCCAGTTTCACCGGATTCTGAAGCCGCAGAGCATCGGACTGAACTATAGTTGATACGCGAGATGAGGCGGAGGGTGGTTCCACCAAAGGTCGAACTCAGCGGTGATGAATGCAATATGCGCACCCTTGCTAACGGAAGTGATGACCAGAAGAGTTCTTTGGCAATCAAGCTTGTCGTGGTTCTGAATGCCGCCATTTTCGTCCCAATCAAACCCTAGAAGAGTGTGTGAGGATTATGAAGTTAATCTCTCATCTCAGACCATAGTTTTAAAACCAGACCTGGAAAGGGGGTTTTGGTTCAACCGATAATATAATAAATAAATATTAATGATAATAAATAAGTTAAAAAATTGTACTAATTATAAAAATAACATGGTTAATGTATATTAAATCAAACAAAAAATCTAAAATCATCAAACATATATCTAATACATTCAATTTTCAATATAATTTATAAATTTTAAGTAGAGAAAAATACATATATGACAATAGGGGCTTAGGTTTATTGCAGATTAGGAAACATATCAAGTCCAATTAGAATTACTTGTTAGCATGAAGATTAATCTAACACAATTAATCTGTCAGCTTTCAAAATTTAGCAAACATTGTACAAAACATTTCTTAATAAAGGATACAAAACATTTCTTATTATATAACCCATTTTTTATTATCTAACACAATCCAACATTGGTTCATTTTTCAATGGGTCATTACAGAATTTTCAGAATAGGATCTTCAGCTAATAATAATGATGGGTACAAAACATGTGTTTGTTGTATGTTGAATCTAATTTTAAGCTCAATTCTTGTTTATTTGAATTGTGATCTTAAATTTGGAGGGCCACTAAAGTTTCTCAATTTTAGTGTTTGTAACTTGAAAGTGTAAGACTTACCAAAAAAAAAAAAACTTGCAAGTGTAAGTGTGGCGACGGTTATATCAAAATAGGCCCAAAACTTGAAATTGAAAATGTGATAATCAATATTCAAATTAACCCAAAATTTATACACTACAAATCTAAAACATCATACAAGCATAGAGAAAGAGAGGGGGGGGGGGGGGGGGGAGAGAGATGTACCTATTGGAGTGTCAAGTGGAGGAAATGTGTAGACTCAACTAAGTGAGAAGCCAAATCGTCAATGAAGGAGGTGAAAAATCGCAGTAGGTCATAGTTTTTTCCCTTCTTTTGCCTTCGTAAGTTCGTCGTTCCTACCTACTTGGTTACCACGATCGCTGATCGCAAGCTTGCAAGGCACAGAGAGATCAAGAGAAAAGGATAACTTCGAAAATTTTTGGATTTTATTAGTCACCACAAATATTTTTCAGGAGAAAAATAATGTCGTAAATCATAAATTTCACGCGATCGTGTGTATATAACGGTGACAATGGTCTCGTATTGCGTCATGTGTATGTCGAAGATTAATTAATTCTAATTAAATTTATTTACTTAATTGCATTGTGCCTATTTATTTATTTTCGTTTTATGTTCGTATTAACTTATATAATTTGTGAATAAAAAATTTAACGCTCAATTTTATGTCAAAAATTTCATTATCACTTAATCGAACATATCCTCATGCTTTTTTTTTATAAATTTAAAATTAATTTAATAAATATAATAATAAAAATAATTTAATATATATATATTTATTTACAAGAATTAAGTCACTATAATAAAATTTTAATATTTTATTCTTATTATTATATTACTACAGTGTTAATCGTGTGAATTTCGTATTATTTGTGTAACATTAACTCAATCCAATTATTTTTTGTATTAACAGGTTGTGTCTTATGCAAATTCGTATCAAAAAATGACTAATTCTAACCCGTTAATTTTGTGTCAATTTTGAATTATATTTTTATGTGTATGTCAAAAATTATCACCCTCATGGGTGCTTTTGAATAATTGATAAGGATAAGAAACGATAGGACTTTCTGTTTTCCAACTGATTTCATCCGAACCCAATCAGCCACTTAATTGGATGAGTTATGTTTGATAACCAATCTAAATCATTGTTTGGCAGGGAACAAATCAATTTCGTTAGCCCACGTACTTTGACTTTTGATTTTGTAAAAGTTTACCATTCTAGCCATTCACCAATGTTAATTTCAGAGAGATGAGAAACAGAACAAAACGAATCTGTCTTGACCATAACCAGGCGAAGAGAGAGAGATCTACAGAGTGGCTGCGGGAGAGCGAGAGACAGTTCTGGACTCTTGTCATCTTCTTCGTGGTGGGTTAGAGATTTTGATTAAGAAGAAATTTTTTGAAAAAAAAAAAACTCTACTCCCAATAACCAAATCCACTTCTCTGCTTTCGTTTATTGCCTAGTAAGAAATTCCACAAAAAAATGTTTGTTGATGGGTTATGGCTTCTGGTTCAACAACTCAAAGAAATTTAAAAAAAGAATTTAAATCTGCAATAGGTTTGGAGAGAACATACCTCAATACCCAGGTGGTTCTCTCCTGTTGCTTTCACGTTGATGAATAGTGGAATGGAGGCTAGTGTATTGGAGAGGATGAGAAGACATAGCAAGGGCACAATCGAGTCTAATCTTCCTGTCTTCCATAGTCGACTTCCTCTGGTTTGGAGAAAGTAAGTGCAAGTGATCCGAGGTTAAATAGTAAAAAAGCGGTATTTATAGTAATTATGCAATATATTCCATTGGCTAGGTTTGTAACCCATGAGGGAGATGGGTTACATGTAACCCGTATTATTTGGATAAAAAATATTATAGCACCCGGGTCAAAATTTGACCCAATTTTTGCATCCTCACCCATTTTTTATTTCGGACCTATTGATTTATTAGCCTATCAACATGGGTGTTAACCCACTTTAACCTATTATCCAAACACAATCTATGGGAATGTTTGTTTCAAGGAATAGATTTGGGTGGTATTGGAAATAGAGTTGTTAAACAAGTCAAGCTTGAACATTTTTTAAAACTCGTTTATGTGTAAATAGTCAAACGAGCCAGCTCATTTATATGTAAATTCAGTTCGATTTAAACTCGGATTCAGCTAGATTAACACCCCTAATTGGAAAATGATATTCATTTCATTCATATCCAATGTGATACTATACTCGATCTTAAACTCTTATCTTATCATTCCCCTTATTTATTTGTTACAAAAATTATTTATGTGATACCTACCTAAAAATGTGTGTCAGGTGAACTATTCAATGTAAAAAGACAATTATAACCTTATAATTCAAAGCAATTCATGTCATTGTTTGGTATAATACATGATATAACAACCTATACCAAAAAAATTTCGAATAATGTAAAAAATTCATATAAAAAATAAAGAATCTAATACTATGAATCAGTGATACCGTAAAAAAAAAATTAAAAAAAAATTGGTGACACCGTACTCTTAAACACAATAGAAGGAAAAAATTCAAAATAATTTTAAAAAAAATTAAAAAAAAAATAGTAACACCGTACATTTAAACATAATACAAGAAAAAAAAATTAAAAAAAAACCGGTAACACCGTACACTTAAACATAATAATACAAGAAAAAATTTTAAAATAATTTTAAAAAAAATTTAAAAAATTGGTGTCACTGTATGTTTAAACATAATACAAACAAAAAATTCAAAATAAATGTTTTTATATGTAAACACCTAATATTGGAGGACATTTATTTCATTTTACTCTCTTATATCGTCATTTCATTTGTATCGAAAATATAATATCACCGAGTAGACAATATTCATTAATACCATATACAAGACATTTAGGACACTATTAAAATCGAGTCAGTATTACGATCTAAAAAATAATACTATGTGTAAAATATCAAACAAACAAAGTATAAGGTGGACCCACGTACTATTTTCTTCTGCCTCACCCTATAATAGCATCTAATCCTTCTACCAAACATGCCATGTGTGTACACATGGTCATGGGATTAACATTTAGACGAAAGGCCCAAAAAAAAGAAGAAAATGAAATTAACAAGGCCTAAACTAACATGGCCTTTATTAATTCTAGCGAATTTAGGTGAAAAATAAATGAGAAATGTAAAATAAATAAACTAATATAAACTCAACATGATAAATATTTGGGTTAATTGTAGGTCCTCAAAATATATAATTTGTCTAATTTTGATTCTCAATATTTCAATTGCATCATTTTAGTCATTAAAATATTGAATATGTTTTTATATAGTCCCTCATGCAGACAGTGTCCAGATTGCTAATGATTTTTTATCATAAACTTGTCACATAAAACTTAAATATAGATAAAAATAATAATTTGGATAACTTTTGATCAAAATTTTACTCAAATCATGGTTAAATATCTACTTAAATTACACAGTTTTGATCATGAGCTATCCAAATTTTAATAAAAAAAAAATTACACATATTGCACATTTTTTTTGTTAAGAGCTACTTAAATTTTGTTTAAGAACTATCAAAATTATTTTTTGTCAAAATTTAGTATTACATGACAAATTTATAATAAAAAATTATTAACAATCTGGACGTTGTCTATTTAAAAGACCGTATAAAAACATATTTAATAATTTGGAGACCAAAATGATACAATTAAAACATTAAAGACTAAAATTAGACAAATTCTATATTTTGGGAACCTCTAATACAATTAACCCTAAATATTTTAATTAGTTGCGCCTTATATCAATGATTCTCTTACTTCGCTAAACTCAACTAAGTTTAGTACAATATTTTTAAAATTGGCTACTTGAATTATAAATTTTACGTCTGAAATGTGTTGCAAATACTTTCATTTTTAGTGGATCATCTTTTTTAGAGGAGCAAAACTTGAATGATTTTAACTACATAATTTAATTTTTTTTTTCATTACTTCCATGGTTGTGCCTAGTGGCATGACGACACACGTACTATTAAAATGATTCGTCATTAGAGATGTTGACAGGGGCCCCATCTTCCAATGGTACTATAATTTGTATTCCTATCTCTTCATTCCCTCTTTTATATTTTCTACATTGATTTTGCACTTGTTTTTTTTTACTTCCAGCTTCAGCACTTTGACATTCCCTAATCATTAACTTTGATCTATTTTGTTAACATAATTTATTGACTTAATCTATTACAATCATTAAATCAATTGTGGATCTTAATAAATATTAGAACTCACTGAGAATCTAATGACTATGTCAATAAATTATGTACAAATAACATTATTCTTTCCTAATTTATGATTTTGTACTTGTTGGACAATGAAATATTTCATTTTTTTCATTCTATGGTTGCCTTATAAGGATTAAATCCCATGTAATTCACTGTTCTTTTTAAGTTTTCTCACATCACTTGTTATGATTATTCGTAACTATATTCGTCATTAATATACAATAGGTAATCTTCGTTTTTTAGAAAAATTATCAATAAGTATTACTTTTCTCCACAAACATCTATTAAGTCTTATCATTTTTATTTTATATCAATGAAGTCTTAATCTTGAATTTTTTTTTCAATGAAATTCTAAATTCCATAAAGACTATATTTTGTTCTAATTCTATCATTCTCTTGTTAAATATTTCCACCTAATGTATTGAAGATATAATAACATTAATCATCTTCTATTCATACATACCACAACTTTTTGTGTTTTAAATTATGTATTAACTACTTGATAATTTTATGAAAAAATTAATTACTAATAATTTTTAGAATTTTCATCATGAGAGGCAACATAGGGCTTTAGACCCTATATATTCTCGATAAACAAGAGTTTTACTATAAAAACTCTAAACAAGTGCTTACTAATGACGCCTTGAGTCAAAGTGAATAGATAACCCAATATTTTATTTGATATATTAAAGAGCATATCCAATATTGTTTTTCTTTCAACAAGATCTTAATTATTGTTCAATAATAAAAAATGAGTGCACAAGAGATTTTTTGCAATAGATTGAGGTAGTGATGACCTGTATGATAAACCTGAAACAATCACAAGGTCAGAAAAAGGCCCGGGTGAACACCCGATTTATCTCCTCCGAAACTTAAGTCAGTATAAGATTGGAGACTTGATCACTGTGTATTTTCTATCTCAGTTCTGTTTTGCGTACATTTGTTTATTTTTTTGAGAAATATTTATACTTGGGTTAGTAATAAGTGCAAAGGCTTTAAGTTTCATCTCAACATTTAATGTATGACACTCTTATCCATGAGCAATGAGTGTTCTCTACTCAAATCTTCTTACCTTTACTGCTCGGATAATAGGACAAGTGCTCGGGGTCATACTGAGAACTTATGGCTATCCCTGGGAACCCAAATTCCTCTAATCGACGCCTGACACATACTTCCGAACATTCAATACTCGGGGAACAGTATCTTGGGGCACACCAAGGAGGTATACTCTGTGTAATAGCCATTAATACCTAACCATCATGACTGTAAACTTAGGTCTTAAGGATGCAGGGGCTCATTAATAGTCATGTCTCAATCACTCACATCGTCATAAATGAATAGTCGAGTCGTATTAAATGCGGATATCAATTTGCGTACTCGGCTCATCCGAGCCATTAGTTCTCGACGTCTTTTGAGTTCCATAACGGTTATAATTTCATACGTGTCGATTTGGAGATTTTCTGAGTCGCCTAAAGTCAATTAGGTTGGGTTCCAATTATAGAGCTTGAAAGAATAAAACTCAGTCAATACATGCATGAAAGATGTGAGAAATTCCATTAGTGGAGTAAATAATTTTAGAACATTGCTATGTTTATTAAAATTAAAATTATATCCAAATTAGGTACTTGGGGCTCATTGGGCAGCCACAAGGCAAACAGTTGCTGTCTGAAAGCCTCTTGCCGTAAACGCGTGTAGACCTTTAATTCTCTAGAATGCCAGTTGCTTTGGAGATTAAGCAACAAAACAACGAAATTTCCTCCAAAGCAACAAGGATTAAAAATGGCCTTTCCTATATGCCAAATTATAGCTTTGTGGGCTCCACATGCCATGGACGTTTTCTCACTAATTAGTCTTTAGATGTAAAACTCTAGATTAATTGCATCTACAGTCTCTAATTAGGTTATGACAAATAATGCAGAGACCCCTTGGACATAGATCTCTACTCCTTACATCCCGATATCACTCTAATATGCCTAAACTCTCATTTCATTCCATACTACCAATTGCAACATCCCACCTACTTGAACTACCATTCAAATCCCCACCCCATCCCGAGCCGCACGACTTAAAACCTTACATCCCTCACATATTGATCTCCTAGGCCCAATCCCACCACCCCTCAAGAAACTTACCATTTATAAACAATTATAAAAGAAATCATAACTACGACAAAATTGTACATACTCTCATACACACACAAGATAAGGACACACGAAAAGGGCATTAAGGGCAATTAGGAGAAGGATGGAAATACTTGGGAGTTTAGGATATAGGTTTGGCATGATTACAAGGCTTGTGTTTTAATTTGAATTTCTTTTATTTTATTTTTACCAACAAAAGAAATAATCATTCCTAATTTTCATCACCTTAGTCGATTGACCATTAAAGCCATGGGAGGAGGGTATTATTTTTCATATTTAAGGGGGTTTATTGATACAAGACTAAACATTAGGGGGCCGAGATGTGATTAACACAAAACACGATTATTTTGAGGAAGGTAAAGGGCATAAGTGTAACTTCCTGCTCACCAACGGCGGCGTCAATTGCCTTCTTCCAACAACGGACCCGGTCGGACCACTGGGCTCTAATAGTCAATACGGTATCTGTAGGTTTTCGATTTCAGGACTCATCACTTTAATCCTCTCTCGTTCCTCTCTCTCTCTCTCTCTAACCACTTTGCAAGACTTTGTTCAGTGCGATCTGTGCCTGTTTGATTGAGCAAAGGAAGATATAGAAGGTGATCAGAGCTTCGAATTCACCATGTCGATGTCCGATTCCGATACGTCTTCGCAGGGAAGCGAGTACAAAAACTTCAGACAAATTAGCCGCGAACGTGAGTCCCAAAACTCTCTCTCTCTATCTATCTACTGTTTATATCTATGTATTTCTTTATATTTTCAATTATAATTTACCAATTTAAGTGATAGTTATGATTTAGTTTATTATCTAATTTTGATCTTGTGATTCCCTGTTATAGTTATTTTTGTTGAATTGGAAAGTTCGTTTTCCTATGTATTTGTTAGAAGAGGAACGTCGATTTAAAGATTCTATGTGCTATAAAATCAAGTAAGCTTGGAGCACTTGTCCACATACTTACATTAATGTGCGTATTATTATGTAGTCTTTGGTTGGTGTAAGAGGGAATACGGGCTTTAAAATCATTTGATTTTCTGTATGGACGGTTTAGTCGTTAGCATTTGTGTCTAAGCGAATAAATTAATGAAAATGAGTTCAAAGTTTTGGGGACGAAGGTGGAGGAAGTGGAGATGAACGTGTATGTTTTTGTATATTTATATGTAGTCCTGATCAAAAGACACTTGGGTATTTATTTGAGGTAGTAGGCATTGATTGTCTTTACTTTTGTTAGTCTAGATCTTGGTCTCATTTTAGTATATATTACTGTACATATCTCTTAAGTTTTTAGTTGGAAAGTTTAGCATTCGCATTGCGACGGGAAATTGAGAATGAATGCAACTAAGTGGGTTTGTCTTCTTAACATTCAGCTCCCTGTTTTTTGGAGGTAAAGCTTCTAATTTGGAACTGGTCCAAATGTTCCATGGTTAGTGTTCAGAATTCACCCGTTCATATTTGAATCTTATCACCTATGAGAAAACAAAGTTTAGTTATCACGGAGTTATTGATTCCTTTTCGTTGTTTCATATCACCTAGGACCTCATGTGGTCTGTTGTTTTTTTTATAAATCTACAGCTGATTAACTAATTCTATGTCATCAAATATTTTTTTGATCAGCAATATCATAAAATATTTTAATGTACATTTTCCAGGATTATTATGCGAAATGCTTCGATCAGCCAAAACAGGAGACTCAAAATCAAACTGGAAGGTATCTGCAACTTGCACTAATAGTGTCATTGGCAATTTGAGGACTACTGCTTTTGCTTTACTTATAACCTTAAATATCTTATCCGCCATGTTTCCTTTTTCTAAAATTTAGAAGTTGTTACTCTTAATATCTATACGTGAGCAGTGGCTATGGTCTATGTGCTGTCAACCAAGTTTGTCCATTGAGTTAGCGTTAGTTCACGGCCAATATCAACGGTAATACATGGGGTTTGCTAATTCAACTCCTTTAACACCTCTGGGAATAGAAAACTATGCTAAATACAGTGTGACACTTTGCACAATACTGGCATCACTTGTTTTATCAGATTCTATTTTCTGACTAAAATGGCAACTGAGGATTGATGTTTTTATTGTAAATTTGTGGTTTGCTCCCCGTTGAATGAGACTACCTGAATGTTTCATGCACATAAGTTTGTGGACTTACCCCGCCCAGATGGTCCCAAGGATTAGTTTTTGCCTTTGTGCTCCTCTTTCTCATCATTTTTCTCGGCCATAATTTCCATTTCAAAGGTGACTGTTTACTCTCGCAGGTCTTCTATTCTTGTGGTTAGGGCCTGTAAGTTGCAAATGTTCCAAAACAACCTGTGGGAAAACGTAAAAGCAATATTAAGGCATTCTTGTTTTTTGGGCTGGACAAAATTGTGGGCAGCTAATGATGAGTTAGACATCTGTTAGTTTCCTATAATATAATAAATTAACTGGAACTAATTACAGCTTATCATGCATTTATATGATAGTTTGGAATTTCAATTGGAAATAGTATCTATAAGATAAGAATGAAGCATGGGGTTTTGTGAATTCTGTATGAAGTTCCAAGGGGACAAGAGCCAAACACAATATTAGCCATATCATAAAAGAAAAATGAGCATGCTTTAGGCAAGAACTGTGAATATATGACTTTGGAGAGTAGTTGTAGAAGCAAAGTTGTAGCAGCAAAGTTTTTAGTTGTTATTCCATCATTGCATACCAGTGAATAACGGGAATCAGTTGGCAATGTCAGTGAGAATCTCATGTACTACCTTGCTTATGTAGTGGAACAACTTTGCCAGTTTTTCACGATATTTACAGTTTGTCACAAGTTAGCAAAGCTATGTTTCAATATACAGCTCAAATTCATGTGGCTTGTGGGCACATTACTGGGGACTTTAGTGAAGCTACTCAGACCGAAAAGCGCCTTTCTCTAGGTTCATCATTTGCTTTAGGTGGTCCTTTGAGTTTAGCCTTTATGCTTAAAAAGGAGTGTTGCGACATTGCCATGGCCATATGTCCTTTACTCTTTGATTTACTCTTTTGACACAGTTGTTATGAAGCCTGGTGCTATTATCCCAATTCCTTTGCTATTGTATACTGGATGTGGGTTTACCCTGGAAATGGGTTGGTCCTCTTCTTATGATTGTTGATACCTATTTTCATCATCTTACTGATGGAAAGGAAACCAAATCACTGCACAAATCTGTCTTAGTCTCTTCTTGTTGCATTATAAAGTTGTTACTTGCTGCTACTACATCTTCTAGTACTTACATTGAGTAGATATTTTTCAAGCTGCCTCATTGCTGATGATGAGGTGCCATGCAAAACATCGTTTTTATTGAACTGGTGCATTAAATGTAGGCAACAGTACTACATAGCAATCATTGGAGAACTGTGTCACCTACCACAATGTGATGTTTTGAAGTTTTGATTTGTGTCTGAAATAATGGAAAGTCCTAGCAATGTGTTACTAGCCCTACAAAATTGGATGTGTGATCTTGAGGAGGTGTGGGAGAATAGTAAGCATTAGGCAACAGAAATAAAAGTTGGTGCTGTTGACAAAGTTCAAAAGGTGATGCATATTATTTTTCCAACAGTTGGTAACCTTTTTTTAATAACACTTAAAAACACATGGCTGCAGTATGAAGCATTACTTCTTATATTTTATGTGGTCTTCTTGTGATTTGTCTTCATCTGTTTCATTTCCCTTGTCAATTTTTCTTGCTTCTTACAGAAACTATTCCTTCTATACTTGTGATGTTCAAAACTCCTTCCCGTAGGTACTCATCATGGACAAAGTTACTGTAAAGATAATGTCGTACTCATGCAAGATGGCTGATATCACTGAGGAAGGAGTTTCATGTAAGATATATAAGGCCAGTCCCAGAAAAGTTGGATTCCCCGTGTTTATTTTCTTTCTTTATGGCTTAGTGTTTCTGCACATCATCCTTGCTGTCAGATGCATGCATAAATTAATTATATAGCATGTCCATGCTTATGGCTTTGCCAATGTATATGTTGTCTTCCATAGTTTTTTAATACATGATAGCTTGCTTAGCATGAGGTGCTGACAGTATTGTTTTGGAGATTTTATATGACAGCATTAAGTGCTGCATTGCCTTGCAACTATTGCTCCTCCCCCAGCCCCAAGCAACTTCTGACACTTCTGTTGAATTATTTGAGGCATCATGAAAAACTTCATTTTCCAATAAGTAAAAGTCTTTACTCCTTGAACTCTTGGTCATCTCTCTGACATGACAGTTTACGTTGGTCTTGACTGGTGAAAGAAGTACTGTAGTCTGACAAAATTGTTGCAGATACCCCACTTCAGTATTAAGGAATCTATGCAGAGCCCCTGGGAATTAGTTAATGTAGCCAGGGACGGGTCCAAGAAATGGCAGATAAATTATTGAAGAGTTTAGGTGTGAGCCTCTAGTTGGGGATGTTCCTAACTATTGAGGCGATTTTAGAAACTATTGGGGGAGATTGCCCCCGCACACCCCAAAAGATCCATAATTGGCTATGGGCATATCATTTTCAGTTAAAACTTTATTAATTAGACCAATGATTCCCTTGTTGGTACTTGGTAGAGTGTTGGTAATTCTAAGATAGAAGAATGGGTATTTCTTGTATTGGAGCATTGGGATATATCACCAGCTCTTGCTCCCATTGTGAACAGAAATCGAGATGTTGAGATGAAGTACGATGTCTGACAGAGAAGCAATTTCGAATGCTCGAGTTGATTTTATCATTGATATTTGCATTAGAAGAATCATTATTAATTGCAAATAACTTAGAAATGGTGTTTGAGAAATTCTGAGAGATAGATCCTGTAAATATATTAAGCACACAATTTTTTGATAGTCAAACAACACATTAGGTGACCTCAGTGTTGCCAACATTGATCGCTGCCCTGACATGCCTACTCTTAGCTTGGTTACTTCCATAGTGTGTCATTAAGTGGGTAGTTGGCAGTTCAACTAGGTGTCACCTTTTCTTTATTCTTGTTCCTTGTTATTCTGTTTTTTTCCAGAGTTGGGGTGGTTGGCATTTTTTTTTTTAAAAAGTTGCCAAACACTGATTTGACCACTGTAGTAGTATGTTATCCTAAAATTACCGGTTGGTTAGTTGTGAACTTTGGAAAACTAGGGATAAAATCTCCCTTGAGCAGAGCTCTCAAGACTTCCAAATCATCTATTTCTTACATGTTTAGTCTGAAACTGTATTTTTTGTATCTGAATGGCAGTGCAATTCTTCAAAATTACTTCTTTTAATCTGCATTTTACAATTACTGCGTGCTGATTTCATGATTCACACAACATAAAGTTTTTCCAAGTCTTTATAATGTTATTTACAAAGGTTCATTTATATCATGAATGAAAATGATTCAGCTTGTCAAAAAAAGGGTTTGTTAAGAGGGACCATATTAGTTGGTGAATTCTGGAAATTTTATTTTGGTAATTTTATGTTTGTAAATTTGAAAACTTGATGTGATTCTGAATTTTTTTTTTTTTTTTTTAGATTTGTTCCCTAGAGTGTGGACTTTGTCAAAAAAGTCTTGGTGGTAACTTAACTCTATTTGGCATAGCAAACATAATATGCCGCAACGTTTCAACGCCGTGACTTCGGCAGATGTTGTAAAAAAAGCATCAACATATATGCGTCACTCGAACTATTGAAATTTTTTATGTTTTGCTATGTTTTGACGCCATTACTCGGCATATGCAGTAAATGCAGCACTAACATATGCCTCACTTGAACTAATGAAATTGTTTATAATGTTTTAAAGAAGTAATTGTTTCTCTCATTTTCCCTGCAGTGGTGGAAGACATACACAGGCGAAGGCAGCCTTTGCCCACCATGGATGCTATTTATTTCATCCAGCCTACCAAAGAAAAGTAATACATTTTCTGTTTTTTTGCAGTTCTGTTTCTGATTTCTATATGCAATTCAGTTCCTTTTCTTGTTTTGGCAAATGCTAATCTGAAACATCTAAGCATTGATATCTGGGAGACTGGGACTTTGACCTGTGTATTTTTTCCTAGCAAGAAAGGTTATATATCTGAAACTGCTTGATTATATTTTGGTTACATCCTTGTTCAAAAATCTTAAACACTATATTTTTGTCTGTGATTATTGTTTGGTTAAGAGAGATTATAACTTGTCGGAGGGGAACATCAACTCTGGTGAACCTCAAAACCTGCATCGCCACCCATCCGCCATAGTTCAAGGTCACTGTATTGGTCATTGATTTGGAGAGCTCTGAGACGCATTGCGGTGTCATGAAATGATAATAGGCAAAACGGCCCAAACGCATGCTAAAAGGTGAATTTGAACAAGACGAGATTCAGGTGATATTGTAATGTTGCGAAGCGGTATTGGTTGACTCGGCGACTCTGGTTTGATTTTGAAACATCTTAGATGACTCGACTGAGTTTATGTGAGAGACATTATTTATGCATAGTGTTCTTGGATTGGAAGCTTGTGACACTGGTATGACTTGAGTCAGTATCGTCTGATGCTTTGAACCACACCACCTGTGGCAAAGGGGGGTTTGGTGGTGGTTTGAATATCTGACCAACAGGCCAGCTCTTGATGTTGGCCATGATGTTTACAAGTCTCAAAATTCAGTTGTACCAGTCTAATTTATGCCATAATTATCAGAACCGGCTCGGTCTGGTCAAACCAGAAAACCAGCCAACCGATGCCTAAGCCGGGGCAGCAGTTCTTAAGTTGGATCACTTATATAGTTCACCCGTCCAAAACCAGTTTAAATCAGATGATTTCTGTTAAACTTGGCGGAACCAGCCAATTTTTACAAGCCAAATCCATTCTTAAAATAAAATGTTATAACTAAAACCTCAGCATAGCAAATGACTGGCACACTTTTCAAGGCCTCCCACATGGATTCATTCAAAACACTTGGCTCCCACACTACTTATAAGCTAGATGTCCCTTGTTTTCTTACGTGTCTCCGATGTGGGATATGATCTTGGCTGGGTCTTCTTATGTCTTTTTTTTTGGTCTTCTCAATTCTGGTTTTCTTATGTTTTTTGTTTGTTGATATGCAGTGTTGTCTTGTTCTTGTCCGACATGTCAGGAAAAACACCTTTGTACAAAAAGTAAGTGAAAGATATCGTTTTTAATTTGTCGTACTTAAATATTTATACAATTGCATTTTTGGTAACTAGTTAATCTTTTGTCTATTGTAGGGCATTTGTCTTCTTCAGTTCTCCTGTTCCACGAGAATTGGTTAATCACATCAAGAGGGATGCAAGTGTGTTATCTCGCATAGGTGCTTTGAGAGAGGTTATAATTTCTTTGTATTTTTTCTAGACTTTTGGTGTGCCAGCTAGTTGCTTAATACTCTTTGATTCTTCCATTCACCTCATTTTGTGTGGGAATATGCAGATGAACTTGGAGTACTTTGCCATAGATAGCCAGGTATGTGATGCTGATCCAGCCAAGAACATTTAATTTAGTATGATATCGTAATTTTGCCATTTGGGATTACCACACTTCCCAGTTGGAAGTCTTTGATTATTCATCTTTCACCTTGTGAAAGGGGAAATATAATTTTTAGTCAAAAATGCCATAGCTATTGGTCTTTGTAGTAGGGTTTCTATCTAGGCGGGGTTAGCCTTTGGTGTTTTTCTTTCCTCTGTGTTTGTCAAATTGTTTCTAGCTGGTTAACTTTTTTGGTTGATGCTGGGGTTCTATTAGTGGGTAACTTAGGAGTAAAGAGTTGAGTTGCGGAAATGGTCTATCTGCATGCAGGGTAAGGCTATGTTCATTGACCCTCCCTAGGCCCTGCAGTGGCAGGAGCTTAGTGCATTAGGCTGCCCTTTTCTTTTGTTGGTGTTATGTTCTTTTTTCTTTACTCTTTTTTAAATTTCTGGATTCGACTTTGAAATTTGGTAGAAACTAGAGATGAAAACATTTGGAAATCTATAAATGTGGAATGAAGAAATCAGGAATGTATGAAGAGATTCAAATTCCAATGCATATGATGGTCTTCATACCAAATATGGATGATAAGAGAAAGATTTAAACAATTTCTATTTATCTAATCAATATTGCAATTATACATACGCAATCTCTTGAACCTAAGAGAGATGAACCATGAGATTCAATCATTTTAAATGCATCAAGAGCGTGGATTAGATTCATGAGGTCAAAGGAGCCACTAAGAGGAAGGGGAAGAGGTTTGATCTAGTAATATGGCTCAGTCTACCGCCCATTTTATAAGTAACATGCCTTTGAAAATGAGAGGTTCTTTGGCATCTCTCAATAAGCAGCTGTCCCTAATTGCCTGCTTCATTATGGATTTTCTGCATCCAGGGAAATACGTTCTGCCGGAATACCAAACTACCCCCCAAACTTCAAGGGAATAAAATACCAAATAGTACGAAAACATTTGGCTATATGAATAAATTGTGAAAAATTCAGGTTTTAGGAATTCAAAACCAGCCTTTTTAGAAAGCAATTAGATATATAAATGAAGTGGAAAAATGTCTGTATTATGTATAATATGATATATTTATTTAAGCAGAAAAAAGACAATGTATTTCGAAAACTCTAGATGGCCTTTTCAGCAAGCAATTGGCGTCACGGTTATGTCTTTGTTTTTAGTAGTCCAAACCATCATTTTTCTACCACCCGAGCTTGTGGTCTTGTGATAGGCCATACGCGTTTGGGGTCGTTTCTGACTCCCCAGTGGTTATCAAGTAGGGTTTGATTCACGGGAGTAACACGACTTTCTTCCTATTCTAATTAGCTTGATTAGAGAGGCCTTTATTGAGGGTTGTGAGACGCTCCTCGACCTTGTAAATTGCCAATATGGGCTAAAAAAAAAAAGCATTTTCTCGAGCCAGAGATATGATCCCCTTACAGATCGTTTTAACTCCAGTTTAGTTTGGACTAAACTAATAGGGATGCCTATATATACAAAATTGTAAACACGAGTTCCCTCCTATGTTTCCAACAACAACTGTATTGCTTAGCTTTGGTGGTCGTGTGGTGACTGGCTACCTTTCTGGGTTAATAGCTATAGCTCAAACCGGACATTTCACAATGTGGGACCCTCATGGTAATGCCTGGGGAGTTACTACCTACCGGTTCCCCTTCCACCCTTTTACGAGTTCAAAAAAAAAAAACCATGATTTCTCTCTCTCTCTCTCTCATGTGTTGATTTTATGTTTTCTCATAATTGGACTGCTATGATAGTTTCTCAACTTTGGTATTACCATATAGGGTTTTATAACGGACAATGAGAGGGCTTTAGAAGAACTTTTTGGAGATGAGGAGGACTTTCGGAAGGGTGATGCATGTTTAAATGAGATGGCAAACCGCATTGCTACAGTTTTTGCTTCCTTGCGGGTATGTAGTGGCGATTTTCAGTTTTTGTCCAATATGTATTTGAAGAATTTCTGACGCATGTATGAGCTTGTTTTGTTCAGGAGTTTCCTTTTGTACGCTACCGTGCTGCCAAATCCCTTGATCCCACCACAATGACAACGTTTCGTGATCTAATTCCAACAAAGCTTGCTGCTGGTGTTTGGAATTGCCTTATGAAATATAAAACTCACCTCCCCAACTTCCCCCAGACAGAAACATGCGAGTTGCTCATCCTGGATAGATCAATAGATCAGGTGTTTTTTGCTTCATGTTTTTCATAAAATATCCTTATGGCATGTCATCTTCAATTTGATTGTGCTTAAGATACTTATTTTTTGTTCCTAGATTGCTCCAGTCATACATGAATGGACATATGATGCCATGTGCCGTGATTTACTAAATATGGAGGGAAATAAGTATGTGCATGAGGTAAGGCTTGAGGTTCTAAATTTCACTTGTTCTCTGAATTTGCTGTTTGGTCGTCTATGGACTATGGTTACTGTATGTTAGCTAATTGTACTTCTTAGGTTCCAAGCAAAACAGGCAGTCTTCCTGAAAAGAAAGAGGTCCTATTGGAGGATCATGATCCTATCTGGCTAGAACTTCGCCATGCACATATAGCAGATGTATGCCCATTCCTTTTGGATTTAGCCTTGAACAGAAATGTCATGAATGCTTTTTGATTAATGATTGCTTTGCCAGGCTAGTGAACGGTTGCATGAGAAGATGACAAGTTTTGTGTCCAAGAATAAAGCTGCTCAAATGCACCATGGTTCAAGGTTGATATGAATACACTTTTTAGTAATTCAGTTAACATTGTAATGTTAGAAATACGAGTGTGGTATTTGAGTTGGTGGATAACCAGGAAAATGTTGATATTTTTGTCTGGAGTGGAGTGGATTATGCCAAGATCTGTTAGGAATCTTTCCTACAGTGTGGTGGAGGGTATGGCAGCAGAAAATAGAAGAGTTTGGGAGACCACCTCTTTGTGTGATATAGTGCATTTTGTGGGAGCACAACATAATCTTTGGAACAAGAATCACCCAATTGAGTAAATTGACAGGAATGATTTTGAGCACTTCTCATTTTGGTTCATATAGACTTTCTTTTTCTGTTGCATTCTTGTAGTGGAGAGAGCTTTCCACAGATGGGAGAAATAGAATGCAAGCTCTTGCAAGTCTTGATTTCACTGATTACTAACTTTTGTTTTGAAAGCATGCTGATGTTACTAACTCAATTGCAATTTTTTCCCATATATTTCCCCCTGGTTCCTTGCATTTGAAACTCAAGTTGGCCATGCAATTGATCGTATATTTTGCTCCTTATAAACTTTATGCAATTCTTTTTTTGTTAATTAAACATGATGTGGAAGTATCAACTATGAGTTCTGGGACTTCTGGCAATGCATCTTGTCATGTTTGTTTAGTTACTGAAAAGTGATATGTTTATTCAGATCATGTTTTTCTGTCTGTATGTGTCTCACACTGGAGTGCACATTTTGTTTAGAGATGGTGGTCAATTATCTACACGGGACTTGCAAAAGATGGTTCAGGCTCTGCCACAATACAGTGAACAAATCGACAAACTTTCTCTTCATGTGGATGTGAGTATCTTGTAAATATAAATGCTTTGTTTGTTGCTGGAAGTCAGTTACTTCACATTACGTTACCAAAGAAAGTCAAATCACTTGAGTTGATATGGATTCAGCAAAGAGAAGCATGCAATGCTTAATTCAATCATAAATTTTTTGGAAAAAAGTTAGCAAAGATCAAAATAGTGTTTCAATGCATAGTTTCGATCAGTTCTAAGATGGAAACATTTCGGAAACAGAAAATTTTGAAAATTTGTTCTGAAACTTTCCGAGTCATTGATCAAAACATATCAATGCACCTCGAAACATTCCAAAACACTTCAAAACATTGAGAGTTTGATATTCAATCCGTTTCGGCATGGAAACCCGAAACATTTCGGCCATTTCAATGAAAAAGAAAAAAATTGATCCTTACTGGGGGGTGTGGCTAATTATGTTATTCTAAATGTGATTTGGACTTAAAACTTTAAAAGTCAAACTTGCTTTTGGCAACTCTAGCGTTCTTCCGAGTCCATTTGGGGCAATTACATGTTTATGCTGATTTAGAGGAAAATTGTCGGCTCTGTATCCTGTATGAAGTTCTTCAAAGTGCTTAATGCTTGAGCTTATTATATATCACATATTGACTTTCTAAGGACTTGATCAATTCCTGTTGCTATGATGTGCAATTGAGTATCTAATGTGGCCAATATCAAGGTGTGGGTCTATATATATCATATGCTTCCCATGCAGCATTGCTCACTTTTTTGTCACTGCTTGAGTTCCTTTTATGTTTTGAGTCCTCTTGTCTTTTTAGTCTTATTTAAACCTGGAAATTAATTGATGCTTTAGGCTTAACGAAAACTTTTTCTCCTCTTGGGAGTGCTGTCTTTAGTCTCTGTTATTTATGAAAAGCTTTGACTTCTGTTATGGTAAGATTAACACTTTAGATGTGCTCCAAAGAGGAGACCTTATAATAGTATTTACCCTCAATGGTGTGATATGTGTTGAGTTCAATTGTGAGAGTGTGAACCAGGGGTGTCAATTTTTTCTGTTAACACGAACCCGACATGAACCGAACCCGAAAATAATACGATTAGTTGACACGAGTAATAAATGGGTCAAATTAAGGTTTGACATGAATAACATGATTAATGGGTACTATAGATAAAAAATAATTATTTAACGAGTATTGTAGATAAAAAATAACGGTTTTATAATTTTTTAAATAGTATTATATTAGTTGTTGTCAAATTAAATAATTTTTTATTAACATGAATATTAACACGAACCCGACACGTACCGAAAGTGACACGACATGAAAATGATATGACATGACACAATTGACTGTGAACCATTTATTTTTATATTGTCCTATGGCTTTATACTTGTGGAATAAATTATTCAAGTTGGTTGGGCTTTGTTGGGTGGCTCCACAAACCTTCGGATGGTGGTGCTACCGTTGATATTTGGCATTGTGCTCTTTTTGCAATGGTGTGGGTTATTTGGTTGGAAATCAATTCAAGAATATTTGAAGATAAAGAGATGGTGGAAGGATTGTGTGGCTGGATCTTTTCCTTAGCTTTTTTTGGGCTTCAATGACAAAACCATTTGAGATTATTCCCCTTTTTGGTATCACGTTGGGTTGGCTTGCATCGTGTGGAAGCTAGCTTGTATTTTGAGGGATATGGCTAATGTTGGTTGATACTTTTTGGCTTTTCTTATTTTGCATGTAATTGGGTTGGACCTCTTGTCTACCTTTTGTCATATTATGTCATGTCTTCTTCCTATTAATGAAATGTCATTTCTTATCCAAGAAAAAAAAGCTTAGATTTTATATTCCTAACTTTCTGTATGTTCTACTATGGCTAGCCTTATTGCTGCTATTGAAATGTTCCCTTCTATTTGATGGGTTTTAATGATGCACAAGCAGTACCTTGCAGCTTCATTTATTTCTGTTTTTTTTTCTTTTGAATCTCGGTGCCATCATCTTCAATCTTCCTGCTCGTGTTTTTTTTTTTTGAAAAACCACTGAATGTAGCATAAAATATACCCAAAGAGGGGAAAGTTCATACAAATAATGAGTTGTTCTTCTTTTGTCTCCATGACCCTGAGGCACAAATATTGTGTGACTTCCCTTTTATCTCAATAGGCTAGATTTGCTTGATTCACATAGCAGTTATCATTTATCATTAGTTACCTGTAGATCAAGGAAACACATAAGCACTAACTGGAAAATTTCCCAAGGAAATGCGGATTCAAGCTAATCAGATTTGATTGACACAGATTGCTGCAAAAATTAACAAAATCATTAGGGAGTTGGGGCTGAAAGAACTTGGGCAACTAGAGCAGGACCTTGTCTTTGGAGATGCAGGAACTAAGGAAGTTATCAATTTTTTGAGAATGAAAGAGGTGACAAATGGTAGTTTTTGAAATTTAAGTCTTGTCAATATTTGTACACTAAATAGCATGACCTCTGTTTTGCAGGATGTAACAAATGAAAACAAATTGCGCTTATTAATGATTTATGCGGCAGTTTATCCTGAGAAGTTTGAGGGTGACAAAGTTGCAAAATTGATGGAGGTATGTACTTTTGTAATTCCTGGTACTTCGAACTTCAGCCCTTGTCATTTTGTGGCTTAAAAATCATTAGTACTGACTCCTTCTCAAAGCGATTTCCAGTGAAAAAGACGAATATTGATCAAACATTGCACTTGTTCAAGGAAAGATATGTTTGAGCATGTGTTCATATTTTTGCAATACCAATGTGACATCTAGACAATTGGAAAGCTCTTCCTCCTCCCATCTTCTTGATAGGTAGCCAGTCCTTTGAAAATTAAATGAGGGCTACAAAATTATTGACTTGCATAATTAAAACAAAATATCACGTTTTAGGTTGTAAGCTGTGCTAATTACTGTAAATGGCCATCATCTATTGTTTGTGCTATCAAGTTGGAGTTGGGAGAGGAGGCAGCCTGCAGACAACATATCTACTAGCGGATTTGCAAGAAGCAACTGATCTCATGCGTGGACAAGCATTCGCATGCTCTCTGTATATATGTGCATTGCACCAACAATGACCCATATTACCCCATATTTTATTTTCCTATAAAGCAACTTACAATTGACCTTTTTTTGAGAGCACTTCAATTCCATTATTTATATGAGTATCTTGTTTTTGGGTGACTGTCAGTGAACTTAATGGAATTAAGTGGAAGGTTTCATATTATTATTTTTTTAACATGTCTTAGCTAGCCAGACTACCACCTGAGGATAAGAATGCTGTTTATAATATGAGACTGCTTGAGGGATCGTCAGACACCAAAAAAAGCCCAACTCCCTTTTCTTTGAAATTTGATGTTCACAAGGTATGCATATGATTTATCGTTTAGAATTCTTTTTTTTGCTTGATGAACTCTCTCTGAAATCTCAGTTCTTTTTTCCTCTACTTTGCATTTTAATGCAGCGAAAGCATAATGCTAGAAAAGATCGTACTGATGAGGAAACAAAGTGGCAACTATCACGCTTTTACCCAATGATTGAGGTATGCCACAGGTCAGACTTATTGCTGCCTAGGTGGCATGGACTTATCACACACACACATAAAATTAATATGGTACTAAGAAATATGGTGTGGAAGTTTATTTCGGATGTCTAAAGTTATATTATTCATCACTTAGAGATTAGCTTCATTAGGTGACCCCAAATTGTTGGGTCAAAACTTAATTGAATTGAGTTGTAGTACTTGGAGATTTGTTAGTCAAATGATCAAGTAAATTATTGTATTGCTTTATGCAATAGGAGCTGCCACAATTTAAACCTTGATTTGTAGAAACAGAATTAGTAACTCTGATCTTTTATTATTATATTTACTCTCCTTCCAGAGGAGTTGAATGCTTGACGGAAGCTTGTCTTATCTTTTAGGAGCTTATTGAAAAACTTGGTAAAGGTGAACTACCAAAGAACGAGTACCCATGCTTGAATGACCCAAGTCCAACTTTCCATGGGAGCTCCTTGGCTGGATCAGTGCAGACAAGTCAAGCTCCAGCTGCTCATTCAATGAGATCAAGACGGACTGCAACATGGGCTCGCCCTCGAAACTCGGATGATGGGTATTCAAGGTATTCCTGTGGCCTTTTTTCCTTTTTTTTCATGTGGTGCTTTTTTGCTGGGGATTTTCATGCTGTGGGAAGACTGCCCATAAATTTCAGTTCGTTAATATCTCCTCAAATCTAACCCATTCATCTCATTTGATCTTTTAATATGGTTTTCTTCCAACCTTTGTTATTCTCCGTGTCTTGCTCCTTAGGGTTTTCATATTTTAATAGTATACTCACATGGAGGAAGCTTCAAATGAAACTACTGAGAGCGGTCTTGTCTTTGTATCTCTCTAGATCTTATTCCTTTATTAATTCCTTTTGCAGTGATTCCATTTTGAGGCATGCATCTAGTGATTTCAAGAAAATGGGACAACGTATTTTTGTATTTATTGTTGGTGGAGCAACGCGATCGGAGGTATAAACCGTTTGTTTATTTAATTTATAAGAGAAAAAGCTATCAGTAGCTTTGAGGCAAATATTTATTTATAATGAAATGGTTTTTCCTTTTCAGCTGCGGGTTTGTCACAAGTTAACAACAAAGCTGAAGCGAGAAATTGTTCTAGGCTCATCTAGTCTAGATGATCCTCCACAGTTTATGACTGTATGTGACTCTCTCTCTCTCTCATATTGTCTCTATTTGAACTTACGCCATCCACCCTGCCCCTTCTCCACTGAGAGGCTGAGTCTCTCTCTCTCTCTCTCTCTCTCTCTCATATTGTCTCTATTTGAACTTAAGCCATCCCCCCTACGCCTTCTCCACTGAAAGGCTGATCCAAGGAATTCAAGAGGACATCCACAATATGCTTAGGTAAAGAAGCTTAGGCAAATATGAAGGAGCGGATGTGTTTAGCTTCGAGGGTGGATACTTTGGAAAGAAACTGATTTCCTGGCTGACTTTTTTCCCCCCTCAAAATATGTTTCTTCATCTAAACAATAGTCTAGTAACTTGTACCGCATTTCATATTATGTGGATTACCGGGTTTTTCATCGACCAAAGAGTTCTGGGGATGCCAGAATCATATATAACCTAAAATAAAAGCATAACAAATTTGTAGACATAAATGAACGTAGAAAATAGCTAACAGCAATGATTTCGTTTCTGATGGTGTCTAATTGATATCGAGTTGCAGAAGTTGAAGCTGCTGACTGCCAACGAACTGTCCTTGGATGATCTTCAGATTTAAAAGCGGGATGCTTTTGAAGCTGGAGATGCAATTTTTCGCGGGCCTGCATCCAATTTGTATTAATAGATATATAGCATCATTGATTCCATTTTTTAGCATTTAATGTAAAATGTCTACCATGATCTGGGTAAGCTGAATGTAGGGTTGAAAGAAATATCAGGGTAGCTGGCAGTGTTGGGTCCTTAGTTCTGATGTCAATCAGGCTTATTCTGGAAGAGCATCCTTCCATTCCCAGTCCATATTTGTGCTGTTTGGATTTGTATTGTAATTGATTTGTTGCGGGAATTTAGTTATTCTCAATGTGTATAATTTCGTTTTGACCAATACGAAGAACCTGTTGTAACAGTTCTGACCCATGTTCATTTAATTTTGAGAAAACTATGGATATAATTCTCATACTATGATCGTTGAATACTTGAATTTTTTTTTTTGGGTGTCATTTGAATCATAAACTTTGTAATTGTGTTAATTAAATCTTTCTATCTGCCTTCTTTAGATTTTTTAATGGAAAATGACAAAGTGTTATTCACGTAATACACAAATGGTTAGAATAAATTACACATATGACCATTAAATTATGATTTTTGTGTCAATTAACTTGATGAATTTTTTGTGTTAATTAAATTCTTGAACTCTTTAATTGTATTAATTGTGCTTTTTTGTTTTTTTGTGTCATATAGTCACGCGGGTGAGACATTCTAACGAAAACAAACTGAAATGTTCAATTGATATAATTAGAGAATTCAAAAGTTCAATTGACCAAAAAAAATATAAAATTAGGAGTTTAAATGACACAACAATTATAATTTGAAGGTTATATGTGTAATTTATTCTTTAATTTTACTATCACTTCTCTATCGTTGATAGAAAATATTGAGGTAATTTTTTCTGTTTCTTTTCATCATCTTCACTAATAAATAATACATTCAAGTGTGCAAACATAAATCGGCATAGCAAAATCGAAAGCTCAACTACAATATATTTATAAAATGTACCCGTTTCGGGCTGTTCCTTGACTCCCACGAGGTTAGCAAGTAGGAATCTATTTACTGGGTCTCCATGCCTTACTCATTAGTACTTCAAGGTGGTGTGGTGACAGGCTACTCCAAGGGAGTCTGTAACTATGGTTAACTGAACATTCTACATCGGGAGAGACCCTCATGGTCAGACCCAGGGGTTTCACAACCTGCTGGTCGCACCTCTCCCCCATTTCTTCTTCCAAAAAAACCTACAACATATTTATATTTCTGATGAAACTGACGACATCTACTAAATGTGGTACAATAGTTTGAATCTTGTCACAGATTAATCCAATCCAGCATGACAAAAAAGAGAGAGCACTGTCACAACGGTAAAAAAGATTCGAAAACTCAAAATGGATCAACCAAGCTAAATTTAAATAAATTTAACTTTAAATAATCTAAATCTTTTTCATTCTGCCGAGGGAAACACACCCCCCTGTGAATAAATCATGAACGATATCCTGTACTTGGAAATACGATCCCATTTGTTAGCCAATAGTGTCAACTTCGGAGTTCCTTGGCGTTATCACTGAGCATGGTTTCTGCTTTCCTCTTCTTAATGTCTCCTGTTAGCTTCTTTACATAAGCAATGTAACCATCAACATCAAATTTCCTCTTGCAGCCTGCGTAGTTCATATAACGTATCTTTCCAAAAATTGGTCGCTCTTTCCATCCCTGAAAAGCCAAGTGAGGAAACTTCAGGGCTGTTCCAATAGTATGGAAAATAAAGCTTAGACTTTAAGCCCTAAGTTTTTAAAAAGCCTTATAATTTTAAGTATATGACTAGCCTACAAAAAAATTCAATTCATTATATTTTAAGCACTAATAAAAATTTCAAAAAATTAAATCCAATTAAAATTTTTATTGCAATAATTTTGATCCATTATCCAAACTATAACATTAAAAACCCAAAAATCAATAGTTGAAAAAAAAAAATACTCAAGAGTCCACTCATATTTATCCCCCCTCTATCTCTCTCACAAAAAAAAGTAAAAAATAGAAGAAGTTAAAATTGAAATTAAACACTCTCTGGTAAAAAACAAAAAAAATTGAAATATTTTTCTCAACAACATTAGCACATCCTTCTTTTTTTTTCTTTCACATAAAAAAATAAATTAATTTTTAAAAAAATTAATACTAAAAATAAAAAAAATTCATTTAGTATTTCCGCTTTACACCTCAAATTGCCTTTGAACCGCCCCTCGGAAACTTCAATAATATTTCTGATATGATGTAACAAGGATGAACAAATGATGATGTCACCTATTAGCATTACACATGATAGTTCAAAAATATACCCACCTGGTCATGTACACCACAAATAGACCACATGCAACCAACGTATCCATTTGGATCCCTTCCATCAATTTCATACTTGAAGCAGAGACATTAAGAGCAAAGAAACCTGATGAGACTTGAGTAATAACTGTGTCTGTGTGTGCAAAATAAAACTTAACAGTTAAATTACCTTGTCGTTCAAATATATTGAAATTGCAAGAGCTTCCTCAGGCTCTCTTGTCCATTCGAGAATCTTTTTAGCCCAATACATCCTGCACATGTCATTTTCATAATTTTACTCATTGTAAATTAGTAAATATACTTTAATAAACCATAAAAAAATCCATGAAAAAAGGGCCATCATATATTTTTGGAAAATGCATAACGACATCCATAAGGTGCATTTTCGTATCGGAAAAATTACAATACTATTCGGAATCTGTAAGATGGCTGAGTATCCGCAATGCAATTTGAGAGAGAGAATATTAACCTTTTTTCCTACTGTTATAATACAATTTGCACAATAATTTAGATATTTGGTGTGCTGGAAACCACGAGAGACAAAATATCCTTCCACTTAACAATAGAAACATGAAATGGATCATGGAAGAAGATATATGTAAAGAATGAATAATTCAATCCCTCCCCACTCGCCACTTTTTCCATCGAAGTGATTCCCCATATACTCTGAGATAGGGCAGACATACGAGCAGAACTTACTTAGAACACAACGAATTCTAAAGTTACTGATGTGCATTTATGTTCATGGAGGAGAAACAATATTATGCGTCTTGTCTAATATTTCAAATGGAATACGGGAGACACATAGCTCTTTTATCTGCAGTGTCATTTGCTGTCAAGATCTTTTGTTTTTTTAAAAGAAGTGCAAAAAAATACCACGAAGACTGAGGCTCATAAAGAACAGATCAGGCAAGCCCCATTACTAGAATCATGTCCTGATCACCCATTCGCAGATGTTGTGCATAACATCCACACAGTGTTAGCATCGCATGACAATCAAGAAGAATGACAAAACAAAAAGAAACTCAGAAAAGGATGGGAAAAGGACTGCACTCGAGACAAGACTTCGAAAAACTTAAAAAATTTAACGCACAAAATTATAGTGCAAGCAAACGGATTGCATTTAATCAAGAAATTAATGCTGGAATTTCAAGCTTCTCATTCTGTTTCTAAATTACCAGTTAACCACGTAAACTGACAAAGGAAAAGGATACTTCTTGTGAGCACAATTAGCACTCCCCAGAGATTCATGAAGTCAGAATTATCATGCATAAGACGTCACTTGCAGAATAAAAATGAAATTCTAAGTGTAAGGCATGTCAACGAGCAATTTGCAGGACAAAATGGAGTCATATAGAGGTTACTTGCCGCATGAAACCATGCATCTTCCCATAATGAACCATCTCCAACTGAGAAGCATTCCAAAGCTGAAAATGACAAAAGAAAATAACCAGAATATGCATATAATAATATGAGTAAAACAGGTAGCAGATTCGACAGAAAACACAAATAAATTAAATGCAGATGCACATACACCAATGCATTATCTTCATGAGAAGCAGATCTCAACCATACACCTTTTAAAATTGTTGGGATCAAATAACAACCTCCTCCAAAATTATTCATTAAAGGGTCAATTAATAAACATTCCAAAGAACCTCAATTGCTTACAGGATCTGCAGCTTGTGCCTTCTCCAATTGCTCAAGCCTGCAAATTCAAAATTTACATAAAATTTTGACAACACCACACAACAAACAGTAATCAACACTGTGTTAAATAATCCAACAGTCCCACACAACCAAAACCAAAGCCATTCCACTCACGTGTATATATGTTCTCGCTTATCAGAGGCATGGTCCATCAAGGTCTTACGTGCCCATTCCCATGCCCCCTGTAAAGAGTCATAGTGAGGCTGGTAGAAGCAAAAGTTATCAGCAAGTTCTCTGCGCACGATCAACTCCTCTAAGAATGCATCAACTGACTTCGAAGTAGAAAGCAGTCACAGAAAAGCAATGGATCAGATAACTTAACCATGAATATAAGAGATGGAAAGAGAAAAGACGTCCAATCAAAATCCTTTCATTTGTGGAAGTCAACTACAAAGTTCATGCTTAACAAGGTTGGTTCAGTTTTCAAAACAATAATGTCGCAATGGTCTACCACTTTGACATATCAAATAGCAAACTATAAAAGTTAACTTCAACTGAATTTGAAGCTATCCCAACAAAAGCAGAATTAGACAACACAAACCTGAGGACAAAGTTTCCGGACTCTACGTGCCTCTAAGGCACACCGCTGTGCTGATATCTGCCCAAAATGCAAATATGGAGAAAGATTAGACAACCCTTTGGGTTTCAATGGGTTATTCCTGTCTGTGGAATAGTTCTTCAATCTTTTCATCAAGAACCCATTTTTGTTCCCTATCAATACTTCCATGGCAGCATGTTCTCCAGGTTCACACCATTCTATTTCAGGTACTTCTGCTCCTTTCCTAGTCATATTACACAATAAGTTAACATCTGTAATGTGATATCCATCCTCAAAAGCTATGAAGCACAGACACTCTCAAGAAGGTGACGCATCCGTGTCAGACAACGACAATCTTTGGACATTCTCGGATGTGTCTGATACTCTTTTATCCGTGTCTATAATTAAATGATAAATTTTTAATTTCGGACACGCGTCAGACACTTTTTTGGTAACGTGTCCAACACTTTTTTAGAACGTGTCTACTATTAAACAATAGACATATGTTGAAATGTGATTAACAAAACTTAAAAATTTGAGAACATATAATTACTAACACTAGACATGTTAAAGTTGTACTCCAAATATAATAATATAAACAAAAGAAGTATAAAAATTTTAAAAAAAAGGAATTGAAAAAATGAGAGCAATTATTTAAATTATATATTAGGTACACATTGTCTACAAAAAAAAAATTGATGATTATTGACTATAATGAGGATGTTTTAGTCTAAAAATTCACACAGATGACTAAACATTAGGTTTACCTATCACAAAATACTGAATTTTTTATGAATTGTATGTCATTATCACTATATTTACATGTTATATATAAAATATAATTTTTTTGTAACATGTCCCCAACGTATCTGTGTTCTATTTTTTTTGAGAAATGTCATGTCGCCGTGTCCGTGCTCATGTCCATGCTTCTTAGCTCAAAAGGGATAAAAAATCAGATGCACACCATCAAACTAAATTGATTCCTACAAGATTTAGGAAACATGATACCTTAAGACATCTGCTCTGAGGACCGGCCAATCTATCAATTGATTTTTAGCAGCCCATTTTCTATTCGGAGGCCCCAGTGTCGGAAAATCAATTAGAAACTCAGGAAGCTGTTTATTTATCTTACCCCTTATAGTCCTAGCACTGTACTCCAATTTCTCCGATGCCATCCAAATGGGCACTATGTTGTGTGCGTCAACCTCATGAATTGACACTGAATCACCCACCCTCTTGCAAATATCCACTTTCCATCTCTGAACTTCCCGTAAAGGTGAGAAGTCTGTAACCAAAAGGGAAGCCCCACATTCTCTCAGGAAATTGGGAATTGTATCCACAGCTTCTCCCTATATAAGACATCGCCCAAAAGAATGAGTTTTGGAACAAAATGCTTTTTCTGTTTGACGAAAAATGAAGGCGGGGAAAGAAATAAAACAAAAGTCAAATCTAGATGTCCCACTAAAACTTGATATAAATTATGTGACATAAGAACACTGTGTGCATTTAGTGCACAATATGGACATAAGTGCACTTGTGCAAGGATTGTACATACCACTGACCCAAAACCCACATGCACATAGACACAGAAAAGGTGAAGAAATTCTCACTGCAACAAACAAGACTAAATCATAAATGGTTTTATACCTCGATAATACGTCTAGTGGCATTGGATCAAATTGTGCTCACACATTGAACAACAAATACGAAGACATCATACTGAGCCTAAAAAGGCAACTAATAAAAGTAAGAGCATGGAAAGCATATGCCCATATGGTATGTGAAAAGGTAATATTTGAGAAACACTTCAAAACTATCAATTTCATTGGTTCTTTATCAGCAAACGCAAAAAATTAAAGATGACTAGGCCCATTTATCACCCCAAATTTATTGGAGTAAGAGTTCTATTCTCCTGAGTTTTTGAAGAGTAAAATTTCAACACTCAAATTTGTAACTTCCTTCACCACCCCAGCAACCAAAACTAAAAGAGCGTAATATCCAAAATTAGCATTAATTTTTCATTTTCCCCCCATTGTAGAAGAAATTCAAACATACAGAGACATAGAGACACCCATGGGCCTCTAAATTGATGAGCCCAGATTTTACCAGGACAGACCCACTAGGAAGGCAGTCCAAGTTCAGTTCATCAAATTGACCGAGTCTAAGATCCGAGGAGTCATGAAGAAAAGAGCACATGAGGGAGAGATCATCAAGATGGATACTCAAGAATTAATTGTACTTACCTATTGTAACTATCCTTCCCGAAGAATTAGTGCCCTCACACTCACGTCACCGTCTCAACCAAGGCTTCATGCGTATAAATTGTAAGCCTTCTTCACAAGGAGAGACATCTCACCCATGGTTTTGAATAACGCCCGTTCCACAACCTAACACCTGTTCCGTAACGTATTGACACGCAGTGTTCCCATTACGGAGCGATATAACAGGCAAAAAAAATTCACGCCAGTAATGGCCGTTATCGGGTCGATCCGTCCAAGCTTTGCCCTATTTTTCCTAATTTTGCACAAAATCGTAACAATTTTTACAGAAAAAATTCAAATTGCTAGCCATGCCCAGATAAAGGCTACAAATTTCAGCCAAAACGATTAGTTTGGTAAGAAAAAACTCACAAAATACTACAAAATTGACGAAGTTCACCAATCAATACTGCTAGCAGTCACTCTCTTCGACAGCAACAATACTATTTCTCAAACAATCACAGTCGACTTTGCCATGGGCACCATTGCATTGGCCACAAAGCACCATAGAGTTTACAGATAAGGAATGTCATTTGCTCCATCGTTTCTTCTTTGCTGTAGCTGGTTTTTTTTTTTTTGGTCAACTGTAAAGGGCTGTCGATTTTTGTGAGAAAATATGGACATCATCAACACAAGAGGGGGTCAACCACCCTTTAGAAACATCCCATCCCTTTTTTAGCTTCATTCTTCTAAGAAATTTGAGTTTGTTGTAGCTGATCAATTGCCGGTTGTTGTTGGCGAAAAATTGGTAGACAACGAGAGAGAAAGAGAACAAAACAACATTTTGCACTTCTCAAAACACCACTTAAGATTTGGTGGTATGTGTGTGGATGATAAGGCAGCCACGTGTCCAAATTTGAGTGAAGAGGTGAACATTTGGAGAAATTACTCTTGTACACGTGCTGTGTAGATTTATTAGATGTGGGTCAAATGGGTCTAGGTTGGTCAAATTAATAAAAACATCTTTTGTTTTTTTATATATTTTCTATTAATTTTTTCTATTAATTTTTTCTTCTCCCTTGACCTAAAATCATTTAAGATCTAAAGTAACTTATAATGATATAATAAAATAAATTGTATGTTTAAGTTAAGATATAAGCTAAAATAATTTAAGGTCTAAAGTAAGTTATAATGATATAATAAAATAAATTATAAACCACAAAAAACTTATATCTCAATAGTTTTAAAGTTGAAATATACATAAATTCATTTTTAGGATAAATTGTGAATGAAAATTAAAAATTCACGAATTCGATTTTCGTTACCATTACGTAACATCTGCTATATCCCGTGTCCGTTACAACGTTACCATTACCGTTACGACAGCTGTTATCGTTATTCAGAACCATGATCTCACCACACCTCTCTACACACACACATAGCATCTCTTTCCAAGCTATCGTATCTCCTTTGGACCTACCCATTCTTCTCTCCACCATTTACTTTACTTCATCAATAAAGAGCCCCCGGCTACCGTTGCCATTTTTCAGAGTGGAATAGGTCACCCAGACCGAACTACTATATATCTTTGTGTTAACTCAATATTTACATTACTGTCATTGATTACTTTATTTATTATTCATTAATTACACCTTATCACACACTCAACTGTTGTTAATTTGTGCATCATTAATTTGACATCGTTTGTGGGAACCAATTTAATTCTCTCCTTATAGTCTTCCTACCTCTAATGGCAAGAACAACCAAATTCGTGAACCAACAAGCAGAAGATGACCTGCCACATCAAAAAGAAATCCCGCCACCACCGGCGAAAAGTAGACACATGCAAAATCTACTTTTTCATTAATTTAGGGTAAAAAACTCAAATTTTATGAGAAATAAGCATTTTTTGGAGAAATTTAGTGCCCTATGTCGTAGATCTCGAAAAAATACACAAATTCAAAAAAAACTGTCTCAAATCGAGCTCAAAATTATGGTCGTCTGAAATTTCGCCCTTGTTTAGTACTCCACCTAGCGCCCAGCGGTCAATATCCTACAGTCAGCGCCAGTGCCCAAATGTCAATAACCAGCGCCCAATGGTCAATACTCAGTGCTAGCGCCCAATGGTCAATAACCAGCACCAGCCCCCAATGGTCAATACCCAACGCCAGCGTCCAATGGTCAATACCAAGTGTCAAGGTCCAATGATCAATATCAAGTAACCCGAGGCGCCGCCCAAACGACCCAAGGGGCCACCCAAGCGATCCGAGAGTCCGAGACGCCCCATGCGACTTGAGGCTCCCCTAAGCCACCCGAGACGTCGCCCAAGCGACTTGAGGCGCCAATAGCAACCCGAGGTGCTGCCCAAACGACCTGAGGAGCCGCTCAAACAACCCGAGATGCCCCCACGCAACCCGAGGCGCCCTTAAGCCACCCAAGACGTCGCCCAAGCGACCCGAGGCACCGACAGCAACCAAATAACTCGAGGCGTTGCACAAGCGACACGAGGCGTCACCCAATAAGCCAGACGCATCGCCCAAGCAGCCCCTGGCATCGCCCACACTGTTTCTCCAAGGCGTCACCCAATCCACCCAGCAAGGTGTCGTCCAAGCCTGGCATCACCCAGGCCCTCACTCTATTCCCCTTGACGTCTATTCCTATCGACACAAATACCCAAGCTCTAAACAATGTCACCCAAATCAACCAAAAGGGCGCCAACATCACTGGCATCATTATTTAGCCATCATCATGGGTGCTGCTCTCTTGCATGTTTCTCGAGGCTTCTCAGAAGGCGTTGCTTTCCTGCACACAATGTGAAGTGTCATCTTCCATGCAGCTGGCACCGTCCTTCTGCGCGCGATGTGAGGCGTCGCCTTCACTACAACGGGGACTGCCTTCCTACGTGAGATACAAGGCATCACCACCCACTTTATTGTCATCGTCGTCCACAAGACTAAGGGAACCCCGACGCCAAGCACTATGCCCAAGGTCAGAATGGCTTCGCTCCTACCCAGCACATCTCCACTCCATTGGTGCTGCCCAGTACCCCTCAACGTCCGCGTCCCTCGGCGTCTGCGCCTAGCGCCCTTGGAGCCCAGCGTATCTTAGCGCCCAATGCCTAGAAGCGCCCAATGCCTAGAAGCGCCCAATGCACCTCAACGCCTAGTGCCCAGAAACATCCAATGCTCCTCAACATCCGTGCCCAAAGGCGCCTAACGCCCCTTGACGTCTGTGCCCAACAACGCCTAGTGCACCTTAGTGTCCATGCCCAGCGCCCCTCGACGTCCGTGCCCAACGAAGCTCATTGCACCTCGGCGCCCATTCCCCTCGGCGTTCGTGCCCAGTAGAACCCACCGCACCTCAGCATCCGTGCCCAACAACGCCCCTCATTGTCCTCGCCCAAGAACACCCACTTATTACTTGGCTAAGGATTGACCCAGTACCTAGAGCTCTATTAAACACTACTCCGAGTATCAAGGGACTATTGATAAACAACGCCTCCTGGCGAGCACATTTCATCCTACAATCTAGAACCCAACGTCCTAATACGACTTCACCTTGAATGTCGAGAAGATTGGTGATAAGGTCTATCCTATCACAACCTAAAATTCAAGTCCATGTGGAACACCGCTTCCTAAACCATTATAAATAAAAGTTTTGAGTACCATGTATGTCATAGAATTCTAACCTATTCACCATATACTTTTTCTTCGACTTGTTTATTGACTTAAGCATCAAAAGTTCCTTTGACCGTTTCCGGTCATCGGTTTACCTAGATTTTCTTTTATCGTACAGGTTTACCAAAACTCTCCCACCATCATCTTTGTTTGTAAAAGGTGGTTGAAATCGAGCGACCAGCAAGAATAAGAATCAACCTCTAAAAACATTTGTTCTTTGGCCTCGCATGGATTGTAGTGTTGCACTGACCCTTGAGCTAATTAGAATCCTTGAATTCGACCAGGGAAGGCCCAGCACCACCCATGCCTTAGTGCCCAACAGTACTCTCCTGCAAGCATTCTATATCTCCAACTTCGCACTCTCTTGCGAGTCGTCAGGAAGCTTGACCTAATCTTACTAGTACTCTTAAGCAGTCTATATCTCCAGATTCGCACTCTCTCACAGGTCACCAAAAAGCTCGCCCTAATTTTACCTCTACTCCCAAGCAGCCTCAATCTCCAGCTTAGCGCCTCGCATGAGAGTTGCCAGAATGCTTGGCCTATCTCTGCTTTGCTCTTAAGCAAACAGTCTATGTCTCCAGTTTAATGGCTCTCTCGTAGGTAGCCAAAAACTTGGTCTATCTCTGTTCTGCTCTCAAATAGACAACATATATCTCCAGCTTAACGGCTATCTTGTAGGTCGCCAAAAGCTTGGCCTATCTCTGTTTTCCTCTCAAGCAAGTAGCCTATGTCTCCAGTCTAATGGCTCTCTAGTGGGTCACCAAAAGCTTGGCTAATCTTTGTTTTGCTCTCAAGCAGACAACCTATATTTTCAGCTTAGCGATTTTTTTGCAGGTTGCCAAAAGCTTGGTCTATCTTTGTTTTGTTCTCAAGCAAGAAGCTTATGTCTCCAGCTTAGCGACTCTCTCGTGGGTCGTTAAAAGTTTAGTCTATCACTGCTTTGCTCTCAAGCAAAAAGCTTATGTCTCCAGCTTAGCAGCTCTCTCGTAGGTCGCCAAAAATTTGGCTTATCTCTGTTTCGCTCTCAAGCAAGCACCCTATGTCTCTAGCTTAGCGGCTCTCTCGCAGGTCGTCAAAAACTTGGCCTATCTCTGTTTTGCTCTCAAGCGGGCAATCTACGTCTCCAGCTTAGTGGCTCTCTCGTGGGTCGTCAAAAGCTTGGCCTATCTCTACTCTCCTATCAAGAAGGCAGCCTATGTCTCCAGCTTGGTGGCTCTCAAGAGAGTCGCCAAAAGCTTAGTCTATCTCTGCTCTACTCTCAAGCAGTTAGCCTATGTCTCTAACTTAGCGGTTTTCTCACGAGCCACCAAAAAGCTTGGCATAATCCTAACTCTGCTCTGAAGCAGCCTTGGTCTCCCAGAAGCTCGGCCTAACTCAACCTATGCTTATATGCAAAACAACCTCGTTCTCTAGAAGCCCGGCCTCGAGAGTTGTTGCTCTCTCATAAGCCAACTCAATTGTAGTTGGGTGCCCAAGTCTCTTTTCCACCAAAGCTCTCGGCACCTCATTGAGATTGAACGTCCTCAAAAGTACAGAAAAGTCACAACCATCTGCAAATTTTGGAAGCCAGAATGTCGACATGACAAATACAAAAGAGAGGGTTCCACATAACGACAGGGTACCATGGCAAAGTCCTCAATCTTGGTATCGATGATACCCTCAAGACTTCGAGATTTGACATCCAAGGGTGTCACAAACTTCCGAAGCCACTCCTTAGCCAAAATTCACATCCTGTAGCAGGGACACCAGGTCTTTGCTAGAAACAGGATAATTATGTGAAGTGTTGGGGAAATCAAACCCTGCCTTCTGAGAAACAATAGGACCATCAGACTTCAGTTGGGAAACACTAAAGGCATCAGATCTCACCCCTTCTAAGAGGAGGGGAAGTCACCATTCTAGTGATGTAGAGAGCCTTCGTTGTTAATCCATCAACCACAGGATCACCGGTAAAAGAGAGAATTTTCATAAACCAAGGACATTATCAATTTGCCTAAGTCTTCCATAGTGTCGTCCGTGGAACCACCCAATCTTATGCCTTCCCTAGTGTTGCCCAGGTTCATAACCATGGCGCCACTCGCCAAAACATCTCCATCTCCACGCGCCGAAGCATCCATGTTTTTCTTTATCCCCTTTCAAACAATGGCGTTACCAAATTGATAAATAAGCTTAAAAAAAGTCATGGATGGAAAGTTGAAGAAGCCAACATATAGAACAAGATATATGTTCTACCCAAAGGAAAGAGTTCACTTATGCCCCTCAACCCCTAATCACTACTAGGGCTTAGGGCATGGGGGGGCAAATGATGAGCCCAGATTTTATCGGGTCAGACCCAATAAATCAAGTAAGTCCAGACCCACTAGGAAGGCAGCCCAAGTCCAGTTCATCAATCCAACCCAGTCCAAGATCCAAGAAGTCTATGAAGAAAAGAGCAGGTGGAGGAAAGATCATCGAGATAGATACACAAGAATTAATTATACTTACATTTTGTAACTATCCTCTCCGAAGAATTAGTACACTCACACTCACGTCACTGCCTCAACCAAGACTTAATGCCTATAAATTGTAAGTCTTCTCCACATGGACAAACATCTCACCACACCTCTCTATACCTCTCTACACACACATAGCCTCTCTCCCCAAGCTATTGTATCTCCCCCGGAACTACCCATTGCTCTCTCCACTGTTTACCTTATTTCATCCATAAAGAGCCCTCGGCCCCCGTTGCCATTTCTCATAGTGAAATAGGTCACCCGAACCAAAATACTATATATCTATCTGTTGGCTCAATATTTATGTTAATGTCATTAATTGTTTTATTTATTGTTCATTAATTACACCTTATCACACTTGACTGCTGATATTATACGAGACCAATTTGTGCATTAACGTATATAATATAGCATATGAATTGAAGTGTTAGAGTCTTGCCTGAAATAAGAAGAATGGTATCTCAAGACTTTCTTCAATATTGCGATGAAGCTTCTCGAGACCTCTTAACATGAACCCAAAGTGCCTTGCTTTCGCACCCAAGAACTGATCAAACAGATTGAATGCTACAGCTACGGGTACATTGGCCTTGTTAGCCTGATCAACGGCATGGATCAACGCCCAGTTGTCTCTTACCCGTTGATCCCTGAACATCCAGTACACAACCGGTCCCACTAGTTGATCGGACGGTCCTGATGCTTCTTTAAGAACCCTAATTCTGCCGGGCTGGACCGTGGTCGATTGAACTGAAGGTGGAAGGGCCATGGATGAGAACAGCGTGAAGAGAGAGGGTGTGCTAATGTGCGCCGGGAGTGAAGGGAAATGCGGGTGGATAAGGCTAAAGTGAGCCAGGTGTGCGAAGGTTCTATAGTATAGCTATGGAAGATGATCTCAGAGAGCAGGAGGAGGAGGAGGAGAGAGAGTAGGGTTTGAGAATTGCTGGGCAGTTGAGAGAAAAGGGAGGGAAACGAAACGGTTAAGGGTTGTGGTTTTTAAATTGAACACGTAGAGGACTCTGGTTCGTATAGTCTGTTGACTTTTTTAGCGTTGACAGCGATTTGGTGGAGCGTGGCACACGAAAGTTTTCTACGAAGAGTTGTGACCTGTCCGTAAATATTCCGAAATGTTTAAAGATATTTCCATATATTTTTACGAACATTTTTTTTTTTTTTTTGAATAATATTATTTGTAGTTAATTTATTAACACTATTTCTGATCTAATCACATAAGATCATTAGATTGATACTAGATTCTATTATTGGTTGAAACTCGCTCTTTAATTTAATTTAATTATTAAATAATAATATTATGTCATAATAATAATGTGATGTTACCATTTTATTAAATATTTACTTTAATTTGATGCGAGAAGACAGCTTTTTCTTCATACTCTCAACAAATAAATTGAGCATTAAAGATAAAACGTGTAGCCACAGGTTTAAAAATATTAAAAATAGGCCTCTTGGTAACGATATCTTATAGTCTTCTAAAGGTTGGACGGTTATATTTCACTCATCATTAATTTAAGTATGTCCATTTGGATATACTCTCACCAGGTATGTGTGGTTGGCCCAAATAATCTCTATTATTTTGGGCTGAATGTTGGCTTTTATGAGTATGAAGAAGAACATTGAGATATCCAAAAACAGACAGAGCTGGAAAAACACGCCCACCGTGGGGCTCGAACCCACGACCACAAGGTTAAGAGCCTTGCGCTCTACCAACTGAGCTAGACGGGCTTCCTTTCCACTCTTTTTTTTATATTTTTAATAAATAACTACCATTCCTGGGGTATGATTTGAAACCACATTTACCTTTCAAACCATGCTTTGAGCCTATGTTCAAACAAAACCCAACCGTGCCCTACTTCAGCATTCATCGTCACCAAAATAAAATGCTATTTAGACTTAATTCAATAGGTCTATTGGATTAAAAGTGGACTCCATTTAACATTAATATAATGATTGTATTAAATTACATCACTAACTAGGTTCCCAAATTAAGTTTTTATAATAGTGTCTTTTGGGTATCTCCTTTGGAAATCTAATTCCATGCGTCCATTAGATTTAACATAAACTTCATTTAATATTAAAAATCATAACTAATTCAATAACTATATTAAATTAGGTCTTTATATCATTGCTCTTACCAAAATTATTCCTCCCCCTCAAGCCAGAGCAACATGATTAATGAAAAAATGACCGGAGAACATCGTCATGTGGTCTATTAAACTATTCTTTTATTTCTGATACGCCAAATATGACACTTGATAAAACACAATTGAGAAATATAATTTATACAATCAACCTCAAATAAGAAGCTTTGTCGTGCTACTTTGTGTTACGTAACTTACCTCTAATATGTTAACTTAGCGTCACAAATGCGCACATCCATCAAAACGATGCATCACAGGTTCAAGTTTATAACCCAATCTTTCTACCACAGAGGTAAATTTACCTAGCACTTACCTGTCTAAAATCCCACTACAAATGAGAGCATTGTGCACTTAGATTCGACGTTTACCCACCAGCTCAATCAGTTAACCATGTATCTAAGATAGGGTTGAAATTGGGTGCTTCCTATGGGCAGGAGCAGGACCAAATACGAACAAAAGTTTAGCTCTAGAATATCTACACACTATACCCACTAAGATATACAATACCAGTCCTAGACCAGAGCAATTCTGCACATGAAACTAGACCACAGTACATGATAACGATTAGGCTACACCCTATTATCAAGTGTAATATTCTTCTTACCAAAATCATGCCCCTGTCAAGTAATTCCTCCAATATGCTCAAGACGTCTATCTATTAAGCCCTTTAGCAGTTCCAAGAAGTACGATTGCGGCTTCCATTCTACCAAATCACTGGAAATTGAATAGGGAAGAATAAAAAAAGCTACAAACCCAAAAAAAAAAAAAAAAGAAGAAGAAGAATACAAAAGCAAACACAATCTAGTTATCGCAATAAATAAACCTATATAAGCCTGTATAACTCTTAGATGGACAATTAAAAAAGAACCCCCCGAGGGGGGGAGGAGTATATCATTGAAAACAACTGAAACTATGGATGCAGAGAATGTCACGTTCGCTGTGGCAAAATGATCTGCAAGTGATTCATTATGCTGGACAAAACCCCCACTAATCATCGTTGAATAATCTTCAGCAGTTTGATTGAGCTGCTAAATATCATGATGAGCCATTGCTAGGTGTTTTCCCAGATCAAATTTAGTTATTGAACAAGAGAAGAAAGCTCTCCACCATTACCCAGATTAAGCTTGCTCCTCTACCATACTGTAGATGCTTGAATTGCAAGAATATTTATTGGATTCTAATCCTGATACACCGTTGCATATAAAAATAATAATAATAAAAAAACCAAACTGAATAAAACCATGAAACCAATCTGTACAACATTGATTTAAACATATTGAAGAATGACAGAAGTTTGGTTCCATAACACAATATATTAACTCCTCCCCTCAAAATACGAGGGATCACAATTTTAGAGAAGCCCTAGTTAAGCCCCACAAGAACCACTAGAGCTCTCTAATCTACCAGATGACTGACCAGCATAGTGACGAAAACAGATCATGTCAACTTGAATCCTAAGATTTCAGAGGGTTATCACTAGCAAGAAGCATACCCAAAAAAAGCAAAGGTCTGGAGCAGGATTATGAAGTCCGAGATCTAGTCACATTTAAGATTTTCAGCAGATGCGTACAAACCTCCATTCTGTTCACTGTTGCCTTTTAATCCCTCTTTCAACTGGATCAGATCAACAAAGTACTGGTTGAATGAATGATAGCAAATTTGATAAATGACTTCCAAATAAATTAAACTAAGTTCACGAAAAGGAAAGCATGTGGTCAACATTAAGTGGTAAAAATAACAAGCAGAATATATCTTACTGAAAAGGAAAAACATTATATCTAAAAGAAAATGAAGCTGAAATATTGTTGCATGAAACCTAGTGTCCAAAAAATTCATGAAACTAAAGCTACTTTTTCATTGCAAATCCTCTTGCCAACACTAGAGTAAAAAAAACCCTTTAAATTCAAAATGAAGCTGAAATATTTTAATGATTGAAAACCTGAAGTTCAGAAAATTCTGGAACTCACTACTGACCCCCTAAATTTATAAAGCATTAAAAGTCAATCAAACAGTAATTCAGTCCAGCTCATGAACCAGAACAGTCAGAAAATACAAATGCAGAAGAAACGCCAGCCAGGCTTCCAAGGGAGAAAATTAACAATCAAAAAATCAAAAGGAAAAGAAAAAGAGCTGCAGTGTTACCTGGCGAAGGAGTCTCTTTTGGTAACGGTAGCCCTAATTAAGATAAAGCAGTAAAACATTGTTACACATTAGGATTTAATCAGTCTACGTCAAAAATAAGACCATAAAAGGATTTAATTCTACATCTAAGGGATACTGACCTTGTCAGTCCCATAGATGTAATCACAGTAGGTGAACACAGAAGCGAAGTTGCTCTGGCGTTGTCCACCAACATAATGATGGTAATCATGGTAATCAGCACCACCATAAAAAGGAATATATTTTGTGGGAGTCCAAGGAATATTGTACGTGTAAAAATACGGTAGATAAGTGACAAGTGAAAACATGGTCCAAGTGCAACCACAATAACGGTTTTAGTTCAAATGATAAGAAGATTAAGATATATGAGGCATTCTCACAAAAAAAGCATACTATTATCATGTGAAAAACAAATGCTATCAATTACACTGAAAATAAAAGAAGGTCATCATCACAGCTATTAGACAGATTCAGAAAAAGTTCCTACAGAACACGAAGTTGTTGGCATATTCTCACACCAGCAATTGCTATTTCAAATACATATAATGTGAGTAAGAGATAAGCATGACAAACCCAAAAGGCCCATTTATCAAAATCCAATAGCTGTAGCAATTAAACTATATACATAATTATGGGAAACAAGAGAGAGCTATTCACTTATAAGTTATAACTAAGCTGTAATCTAGTGTCACCAAATAATTACATTACTATTGACGCAAGACGGCATTGCTGTTAAATCCCCAGTCCAAATTTTACAACCCAAAAGTGCAGTCCAAATTTTTTGACAAAGTTTACTAGCTATAATAGGTTGGCTCTATGAATCATAGTCTACAATTGTGGTCTGTCCAAGAACATAATCAAACTATCTACTTCGCACATTTATACGTTTGTGGATGATCTCAAACTAGTGTTGCCATTGGTGGTAAATCTTTCGACAAAGATGTGTTCTATGGTTTAAATATTGGTCCTCTCACACATTATATCCATTTCACTTCTTCATAATTCAATAGAAGTTTGCAATATCTAGAGTCACCAGAGGTTTTTGGACTCACTATTTCTATTTAGCAACTTCTACTGGGTCCACTTACCAAAGAACTTCTATTGGGTTCTCATGGTACTATAACTCAATTCCCAAGTCACTAGATTTATCACCACTTAGCTCAGTTCTGCAACAGTTCCAATTCATTTTTGAAGTCTTCACAAAATTGTCTCAAATATTAGTATCTTTTCACTAGATATAAAACAATGATGATTGGTTTTAGGTTCACCTTTTGGGTTCTGCCTATTGGTAAAGAATAAAAATAGTCATTACGACCATAGTGCTTGACCAGTCATTTTGTAGATCCCCCCCAAAAAAAAAAAATAACCAAACCAAAAAAAAAAATAGCAGCAGGACAAACACAACTAATATGCCTACGTATACTATTGATAGCACAAATTATGATGCCCC